GTTCTTACTAACTATGCTCCAACTGACTGTAAACCACACCGATCATTTTGGCTTTCGACTAGATGTCCATAATCATTTCAATTCCAGTCTAGGCCTATAATGACAAGAAATGGTTATTGACTGATTTTACTGACCCTTCATACCAAGTCAAGTTTGATTGTTTCTGATGAGTGATCTGAATAATTTAAAGTTATGTATATACTTAAAAGCAAAACATTTTGTTTCGTGAATATTTTCAAGGGGGGGGGGGAACAACATCACCAGTTCAGACCATTTATGCGTCCCAATTCCAGGACAAATGAACGAAATCACAGGCGTGGCTGCAACTTGAACTTTTTTTCAGTCACTTGACAAGTCTTGTAAACTCCTTGTGAACCTCGGCAGGATCAGGACCACGTGCCCATAATAAAATAGATAATGGATTGATTTTTAAGCATACGGCGGCTTCGACAATGGCTTTTCCATCCCGTACCCAGTGCTGCTAGATCTATTTGCTACGAATTTGATCACAAGAGTACGTGCTGCGCGTGTGGCCAACATGCCAAGTTCATTTAAGTCAAGGTTTCGGTGATCATCATTTCGGGGATGCGGTGGCCACAGAGTACGGTTACCTCCAGCGGGAACAGAAAGGGGATCGTGATTTGAGGCTTAGCACGATAGTGAACAACTTTGGAGAAGACACTTTATGACAACTCTCTCGGGTTTTGCTGAGATAATCTTTAAGTTTTTAGAGATCATGAAGTCTTCAAGTGGCGGATCTGCAAACTTGTCACCAAAAAAATGTATTGAGTACACAAAGGCCATGTTTCTTTTGGTACACACCAGAGATACTAGTCTTGATATAGCAGGTGAATTTCGCAGGAGCAACTGTAGGGGACCCGGCTCTCAATGCCTAGACCGCTATAGGCCTGGGAAGCACAGGTAATATAAGGAAATATCACAGTTCTCATCAACATTTTATGAACAAATTCAAAGGCGTGATTGTTCAAATAAAATCTTCAAGTCCCAACAAATTAAGGGAGTCATCATAAAATCGCAACTGTGAAGTGTGCACCTTTGAATGGGGGGGGGGGGCTACGCTCATTAGCAGCGATATGTCAAAGGCAGTCGCGTCGACGTTTCGGGCAGTGAATTTAGTCCGGTAACCGCAAGAAACTTTATAGGCTAAAGTATCAGCTCATACACCTCGGTGTGAACATCAGATGTGTTAAATGCAACAGCTTAAATGCGTATCGTATAGACTTGATCCAAATATCTATAAAAATGTATAGGCCTAAGGAATTAGAAACTACTAGACATCAATGAATCGACATCTCACATCTGTTATGTTTTCACTGAGCAAATCGCCTCAAATTGCTCCGTTGTGGAACATCACACACTTCAAATCGCTTTTATCGATTTCGGATAATGGAGGATTCATCTCCAAACGGGTTTCCACTTCACTTGATATTGGAGGGCAACATATGTTTTGTTGTACCAAAAAAAGACGTAGAATATCAAAGGGCTTATTCTGAACAAAAACAAATACGGTATTAAAAATAAATTTCTCTTCAAAAAAGGGGAGGACATTTTGTGTGTGCAAGGTTGACTAGCTTAAGAAAATTATTTGATACCAGACTGTCAGAACACACACAAAAAATGCTACGCTACGAAATCAGCACACCCCACTTCATATCAAACAAGCCCCGCCTACAGGGGGGAAAAGTGATGGATACATTATCCACAAATTATTGTACACGAGTCACAAAAATAATTTCAAAGTCACAAAAAAATTATAGCGGGTAGATGGTGAATTGGCCCGGAAAAAATCTTCAGAAAAGACAGGACAATGTTTTGAAAAGGCTGTAAAATAAACCATCTGATTGTCAATTAAAGTACAATGTTCATGTGCAGTCAAACCTGACAAATATTACCGAGGAGTAGGCCCATTTGATTTTGATTTGGTCTTTCTCCACACCACTTTAGACAAACCCCAGATACTACAGGCTCTCTGCCTGACACCTGTTACTGTCATATGGCACTCCAAAAACTGGCTTTCTGAACTTTCAAGAGAGATATAACTATACTTAAGCGGTTTGGAAGATTTTGACATTTAACAAAGCCTTTTTAATGCCGACGTCCTTGGCGCTATAAAAGCCTAAAGACTGTTGGATATTAGCCCGAACTACGGTAGGCAATGGTATTAAGAAGATTTATATATGAGAGTTTGCTATTATGATATGCATTCAGGGACCACTCGCGTTTACAGTTGATGACCGATATTATATCAAAATTGTGCGGTAAAAACAATGGACTTGCGGATGAATGACCGGACGTGTTTTTTTTCCTGCAGTGGAATGAACGGAGCTCGCGCGTGGGAGAAACAGCGGACTGTCAACGGGTGAGAAAGTGTGCGGCGTACCCGCCGAAGTTCTCCGGGGAGGCTCGGTCTCCGGAACGGTCCCGTAACTTTTTTGCGGTGTCCTTAAGACAAAGGCACTATACTCCGGGAATCCAGACTACTTACGGAGATTTAGTGGTCTCCTAGGAAGGATTGGATCGTTATTTTTCCCCAAACGATTTCCCTCGCCCGTCCGTGATTAAAAACAAAATCGGCTCAAGTTGTTCGCGCATCACAGATCGGATCCACAACATATGAGCAACAGATGTTATTGCAAGATTGTTTTTTTTTCGAGGCCGATTGCTTTCGGAAATTTATTGCTTTAATCCGATCGTTTTTTATTCACCGTGTGGGATTTCACAAATATTAGAAAGGAAAATAGGGAAATAAATACACGTACAGAGTGCAGCCAGTGCAACAACACGCCCGATGTAACACTCCGGAACGTAGCCTGCGACAATGAGCCGTGTGCACGCCAAGTTGTGGTGTACACCAATTTGCAGCATACAAAATGCTTGAGGATGTGATCACGACTTTTGTTAACCCTTCATAAACCACACACAGTCAAGCGCATGTTACTGTATCAGATCTATACATGAACGTGAACATGCATGCTACAATTGCTTAAAGGGAAGATACAACATTTGCAAACATCAATAAACGAAATGATCAAATTATCACGAAATACCTTACTGAATTATTAGGAAATGACAGTCTAAAACATCCTGTAAAATTGTGGCTCCTGGTGTGCTGACATTGTCAAGGAAAACTGTATTTTTCCAACGCTGGTCGGCCGACCAGCGTTGGAGAAAACTGGCTTTTTTTCAAAAATTGCTCCTTATTTTTCATATTAGTTATTCTGCATTTTCTTTACAATTGATTACACACCTGTGAAGGGGTACACGCCTGCTAGACTGATTCTTTAACCTAACACTTCCCCAAAGTCTATAAATTGCTGCGTTTCATCTTAAGTGGGGACAGGGAACAAGACTACAAGATCATGATTGGATTTCTTGGTTTTTCCAGCATCTACAAGCCCAAAATGTGAAACATGTCAGTTTAACAATATTTGCTATAACATACTAATCGCCAAATCCATTTATTTCTGAAAATTACAGCAAAAGCAAATGTTGTACATTCCCTTTAATCGACAATAATGTAGTTTTGGATAACTTGGGGAAAACGCAGTAAAAAGCAACTTATTTCTGTATCATTCCTAATAACAGCGGGCCTAGGCCTACATGAAGGTTGAGGATTTTTTTTTCAAATTATATAAGTCAATATTGCAACGTACATTATTCAATACTCAAATGGCAAGCTTGTTCAATTCAGAAAAAGTACAGCAGACACAGGGGCAAAACAAAATTAATAGAAACAAAATGAAGAAATTTGGGCTAATTGGCTTTCTAACTGGAGGCTTTGTTCTTATTCTGGGAGTCAATCTTTCATGGTACGCTTCTCGAAACTTTTTCAATTCAAGCACACACATCAGACACAGCAGCAACATAATTTAATCGAGAAGGAAAAAAATGAAGAAATTTGAGACAAGCTTGACATTTTTATCCGGATGGGTTCAGTATTCCAGTAAATGCCAAGCACAATAAACGCAAGGGCCGTGGCGGCTGTGCGATGGGTGGCAGTCGTGATGCGAGTAACAGAAGTTTTACAACATCGCCGCGAATGATAAACGGCATGCGTGAGATCATAAAATTGTCTATCTGACCTCCGCTTGACATTTTAATAAGCCCGCAATGCCATCCAAAAAAATAGGGGATGTGGGAATTGGAGGAGGAAACTGAGGAGGAAGTAGGCGGACAGAGTGTGAGGGAACCCCGACTCAACTGAACGGAAGGAAAGTGGGTGTTTGACTTGGCCAATCAATGGTATCGATTATATAACGGCAATCAATAAAAAAAAAATCAAAGTAAAATGAAAGTAGAAATTAAAGTAAAATTATCAAAATAAATACATGTATTGTCGATATGTATGAAAACAAAGGTATAAATAAAGTTTTTTTTCTTAATTTACCTTAATTTGTATAGTCCGTATGGGACTTTAATAAATAAATGTTTACCTAGCCCCAGCAACCTGACAATACTTCTTGGATATTTTTTTTTATCCAACATTCTTGCGTCCCCAGTCCAGGGGGTTACAAAATGGTGAGGTACACAGATGTGTGTATATTTGTGTGCAGGAGAATGGACGGCTGATTACTCATACATCCAAAAAATAAACTTAATAGCAATAGACTTCTGGGATCTGATTATACTAACACCCCCCCCCCCCCCGGCCGCAAAAAAATAATAATAAAATCATGCAGACAGAAAATTTTGCAAATGCCTGCTAAACATCTGCCCTTTAACAGCAGTATGTACAATTACTTTGAAAGGAAAGTCATCTCGATTTGAAAGAGCAACTTTGGTGCAACACCAAGATAGTGGTGAGGGACAGCCTTTGGACACTATGTGTCCAATACACTTAACTCTTCCTCCTTTGAAATATCAAGGGGGGTTTTAAAGGGAGAATTGCCTCAGAGCAACGATGAATGACAGGGTACATGTGCGCATCTATAAAGAAACATCAAGAGTACAAAAGTTAATGAAGCAGTATTTTTCAAAAGTCTGTTTTCCTGCCATTGCTTTTAATGACTGGTTTAATAGCATTGCAAAAAATGGAACAATGAAAAAGTAAGGTCTGTTGAACTATGAACTTTAATTAAAATGAGTTAATTTTGCTATTCACAATGAAATATCATAATAAAAGCTTCTTGCGCAGCATTAATGCATTTAGTTGAATACACAAAAAATGAGTAAAATGTGAACAAATTTAAGGACAAAACTTAAGAATTTTATATTTCTCTTTAAAGATGGGTTTAAATTAATACTGAATAGTTTCGCTAGAAATTAAATGCGTTCACTGTATATCCTGTATACTGTATATACTCCATGCAAAAAAAGAAAATGAAAAAGCAGCCAAACATGAGAAATTAGGCATTATTTAAAATATTCTAAATTATTGCCATCCGTTTATGTAAATTTCCATTAACAGATAGAACAAATACTAGGTAGCACCAAATACACGTACCATTATTGTACGGCTGATTCGTGATCCCATGAAAATGACTTTGCCAGAAATGTAGGTTCACAGAGGGAATGTCTTACTATTTTTCCACAGTTGGCCTTCTACTGGAAGAGCGAGTGAGCCTTCTTGTGGGCTCGCCCGACTCACTGCCCAGAAGGCTGCTCTGCTCCAAGATGGAGAGATCAGCTCTTGACCGTGCCCGCCTCTTCTTCTGTCCAGACACTTGTTTGGGAGGTACCTGCTGCTCTGTGGTGGTATCATCACTCAAAGCTAGTTTATCCTGTCGAAAGTCCTTACCACCAACCTCAACTGCATCTTTGGAAGCTTCTCGCTCATCCTTTAATAGATTCTTGTCTCCTTCAACATCCGTGGGCTTTTCTTTTCCTTTCATGTCAGTTTCCTCTGATGCCTGCTGCTCATTCGTCTGGTTATCCCTGCCTTTGGCTTTCTGATCTTCTCGATCACTCATTAGTTTTTGTTTCTGTGACGAATCCTGACGACTAGACGCACCAGGTGTCACCACGGAGGTATCTCTTCCAACAAGTCCCCTTCGGCTTCTGCGGCCGAGGTTTTTCTTACTGGTCAATGGCTTGTTACTCCGACCATCACTCTTGTCAACTTTGGACATAACTACAGGCTTTTCTTCCACCAGTTTTGTATCATTATCTTTAATCATGTTAGAGCCTGTAGGTGATTTTGATGTAGGAGCTGAGGATACCTCCTCCTTGACAGTAGAAGACTGACTTGGAGTATCATAGGAGAAGTCTGGGCTTGCTTGGGAACTCTGACCGTCAGTGATGGCAGGTTCTGGAGAGGGTGGGGGATCCACCTGCTGGGTCCACTCCAAGTCAATCTCTCCAAGGCTCTTGTAAGACATCCCCAGTACTTCTTGTATCTGCCGCTGACTTGGTGTCATGTCCTCCTCTGGAGAATTCTCCGGCTTGCATGTTGCATCAAGATGTCTCTCAGTGTCCTTTGCAGGTGTGGTGAAAGCAGCCGACTTGATGTCTTCTGAAGACTGAACTGACTCTGTGACAGCACATCCTTCCGATTCAAGAGTCCTATGACCTTGGTTACGCAAACTGTCGCACTTGACCCCTGACCCTTGACCTTTTAACACTGGTGTATAATGAAGATTCGATCCATAACTCAATCCCTGCCTAGGGAGAGATCTCCTGCTTGACGGTAGCCTGAAGCTGCGCGTCGCCCTGTTTGTCAAGGGGGTGGGGAGTGGAGACAGAGGGGGTGGGGAGGGCACCCTGGACAGGAGATCGTACCGCCTGCTTACATCGAGTTTCCTCTTGTCATTGGGAGTCATGACTGGAGTGGAGACTACACCAAGTGGTGTTCTACCTCCTGGCGTGGAGGCTACTAAACTTCTAGGTGTCATCAGAAGGCGAGGTGTGGAAGCTGCATTTGGTCTTAACTGATTTGTCCAATTTGCTGGGGCGGGAGAGGGAAAGCTTTGATGATTTGGATTCGGATTAAAAGAGGGAACAGTCCCACCGAAAGACGAGTGGCCCATTTCAGAGGTTACACTTGGTGTTGCACTACCCCTGGTGGGTCTGCTGTCAGACCATGGTGACATGCCAAATGGACCATTTTCTGGTCTCGGTGTCATGGGTGTGGGGTGTCGCAACTGCTTATGAATCATTTCCACTGCAAATGGTTCCATACTCTGTGAAAAAGCCTTGGGATTCTGTGAATGGAACGATCAAATGTGAAATTGTTTTTGTAAAACAGAAAAGCAACAAATAAACTAGTGATTACCGATGATTTCGAAAATAGCGACAACCACATAAAGCACTTTGCACTGATTGATATCAAAATGTATTCAAATGCAAATTCTTTCCCCACTCGAATGTTTCATGCTGCTCCTTAAAGCTTTGTAGAAAACAAAAATATCTTGATATTTTTTCTACCTTAATCTGGTTCTGCAGGTGTTGCAAAGCAGCTCTGAGATGTTCAGCCTTAGGGCTTTGGGTAACGGAGGTTGTGTCTGTAGCGTGCAGGCAAGGTATGGAACTTGAGGCACTGTTGGACCTCCACTGGAGACTGGCAGTGGCAATCACAGCTCCTGGCTTGACCAGGGTCTCCATGCAGTGGGCCTTGAAGAAAAGAAACAAATAAAATCAAAACAAATTGTAATGCTTATATAGCGCTTTCCATCGTATCAACATCACGCTTTACGATTATTCCCCCATTCATCAGGCCATGAGACCATGCAGCAGCCAATATCAGCGCACATTCGGTCCTCTACCCTCACAGGTACCCATTCATACTCCTGGGTGGAGAGGCAATTGTAGTTAAGTGTCTGGCCCAAGGGCACAAACACCATGTTCCTGGCAGGGTTCGAACCCACGCACCTTCATACATGAGTCAAACACCGTAACCACTGGACCATGGCATTCTACAGAATCGGGATTCAAGCCAGTTGTCAAATCAAAGTCGCTGGTAATTTTAAAAACTAAACTAAAAACACTCAGCAAAACTGACGTCACAGAATTAGGTCTTTATTAAAGTTCATCATTACACATCTGTTTGTGTGAAATATTATAAATGCAACAGTATAACAGACCAAGCTGTTAATGAACAATGCCTAGTGGGGTTCAATTTAATTTTGATTAATACTGGCACTGATTTGCTGAATGACGAACCAAATGGATAAAATTAATTACCAACTGACTGACAAACGTACAGCTTTTGATTGAATTGCATAATACGTATGGGACTCACCTGTAGGCCACCCCAAAACTTGATGGCGATAAAGTTTCCCTCGGCATCGCTGAGGTAAACTATCTGACTGGAGCTGAAAAAAATAAGATAGTCAATGTTAGAAAAGCAGAACGGTAGACTCTGCTGAATGACCTACTGAAGAGACACATCACAGACATGCACTTGTTCACGTCAGTGAACGGTGCGGAGTGCACAAATTGTGAAAAGTCTCTGAAGTGTCTGTCAATGACAGTTATGTTTTACATTTTCACAGCCTTCCACCGCTGTGACCCGGGTTCGAATCCCACCCGGGCCAATATGTGGACTGGGTTTTCAGTCCCTACCTGATTCCGTGGGTTTTCCTCAGAATATTCCTCTGGGCTTTTCCTCCCACCTCTAAAACTGTAATTTCTTCTCATTGTCTTCTCTCTACAGGTTTTTTTTCAGGCTTTCGAGCTACAGTGCTTAGGGTACTTTTGAGGAATCCTTGGTTTCATTACGAGAAAGAAATAAAATAACTAAAAATTTTGGTGGTAAGGGTGTAGTAAAGCCTGGAGTCCACTACATGAAGTAGATTTAACGAAGAGATCCAGGAAAAAAGGTGACACAATGATGAAACAGAAAATGGTTGATTCATTTGCTCCCTCTCACCTCATGCCTGGGCTGGTGGCAGCTCCCTGGATGGTGACCACAACCCCAACCACGTCCACTTCACCATACGCTGGCTGGAACCCAGCCTGATGAGCCTCAGTGAATCTCAGCACGTCCCTGGGTTGATAGAAGGACCTGCCAGTGGCCGAGGGATTAGGGAACGGCATGATCTGGTAGCGGGTGGCGCGGGTTGAGGCTAGCTGGATGGTGCTAGATCCCACACAGAATCTAACAGGTGGACAGGGTTAAGGAGATTCATTGCTTTATTTTAATTGGGTTTTTCCCATTTAAAAATTGAAAAGCACTGTAAGCTCAGTGCCATCCGAGAGATGAGAGAAGCTTGACGAGTTTGCTTGGGTAGGACTGTGACCTATGACCCCCGGCTTGCTAGTGTCTTAACCACCTGACTGCCTAGCATGCCAGGGTCACCCAGCAAAGTTCATTATATAAGATATCAATTGCATTCTTGCTGCTGTATCAAATTTGAATCAGCAGTCAACACAGGCAAACTGGTGTTGACTAGGGAACCCTGCTAAATGAAAGCAAAGTAGGACATTTGTTGAATCCAACAGAGTAAGGGTTATCAAGGCAAAAACAAGATCTATAAATACAGGCAAATGATGACCAAAGAATGCAATACTTAAACTTACCTTCCTGCTGAGGTGCTGAGGTTGAAGATCTTCAGTCGTTTGCCTTCACTGAGTAGCTGCAGGACATCATCAGTGGGTCTCCAGACAGTCAGCTGATAGGTGTCCGTTCCTGACTCGGGCTTGCCGAGGTAATCGGCCACTCTCAGCCTCAACAGAGGCGTCACGTTTCTCTGGAGTTGGTTCTCCTGTCACGAGTTCAATGTTGGCAGGGTGATTAGTTGTGCTGAATACTCTACAGTTGAGAGATTTGTGCTAAGAGAAAGATATCTTGGAAAGTCTGACATAATATGGAAGTGGGATTGCGGGTGTATTTCATCAAACTGTTGAGATCCATACGAGGACAGAAATCCAGCCGTTGATCAGTCGATATTTAGTGAACCAATGACCCGTTGTCAGAGTTGAAATTGAGTCAATCACAAGTCAATTCACAGAAGTCAGTTCGCAAGTCAGTTCACAAGTCAGTTCACAAGTCAGGTCAGAAGTAACAAGAGATGAACAATGACAAGGAATACCTTTGTCACAGTTCACTTAAATAGCTTGTGAGTTGACTAAGGACTGGATGACTTGTGATGGACTTGTGATGGAGTTATGATTGACTTGTAATTGACATGTGACTGACTTGTGATGGACTTGTGACTGACTTGTGACTGACTTGCGATGGACTTGCGATGGACTGTGATGGACATGTGATTGACTTGTGACTGACTTGTGATGGACTTGTGATGGACTTGTGATTGACTTGTAATTGACATGTGATTGACTTGTAATTGACTTGTGATGGACTTGTGATTGACTTGTAATTGACATGTGATTGACTTGTAATTGACATGTGATTGACTTGTAATTGACATGTGATTGACTTGTGATGGACTTGTGATGGACTTGTGATGGACTTGTGATGGACTTGTGATGGACTTGTGATGGACTTGTGATGGACTTGTGATGGACTTGTGATGGACTTGTGATGGACTTGTGATGGACTAGTGATTGACTTGTGATGGACTTGTGACGGACTTGTGATGGACTTATGATGGACATGTGATTGACTTGTAATTGACTTGTGATTGACTTGTGATTGACTTGTGACCGATTCAAATACAACTCTCTCCAATGTATTACATTTCTCTGCCCAATGTATTACATTAAAGCACCATACAATGTTTAAAGCAGCATAAAAACAACTATTGACAAGATTTACAAATACCTCTAGTAACGCATTGAAGTTATCACTTGATGTCCAACAGCACACTACCAGACAACAATATTAGTTAGTACAATTAAGATGTTAAGGTACCTGCTGTTTGTCCTCCATGGCCCGTTTGAACTGCCCCTGTAAGTCTGCCTGCTTCTTCTCATGCAGACAGCGCTGGTAGTCATTCAACTGGGACATCTGTCTCTCTGATAGCAATGTCTGCAAACAAACAATACATGTTATTATTTGATTTTGTCAATGGAAATTGCATCAAGGGGATGTAAAATTAAAGACTAGGTTAGGCCCTTTGAAATGTAACTTTTACAGACGTCTTAACCGCTGACCTTGCCGGGTCTGGCTGGCCGCAGCTGACTGCTGCCCTTTTATTGAATAAAGCAGAACGCAATCTTTAGAGTGTACAACTAGTGTCAGTTGATGATGGGTTTTTGAAATGTATGAAAAATCTTAACTTTGAATATTGTAATTAACAGAATGGTATCTGTAACAGAAGTCACTTGCTGCAGTAAGTCACACTTTGGATGCAAAAACCCGTCTCTGTGCCAACCACGCAGAATCACCCAATAGGCAACAAGCATCACACAAAATACATCGAAGCCTCCCTGAATCCTGCAGGCTAAATATGACAACTTCCCACTGAAGAATCTCCGCCTTAAATCTTGTTTTACCTCGATAGCTCCTGGGTCCATGGCATTATTGAGTGCCTCATACAGCTCCTGTCCCGTCTGGAGTTTCCCAACTTCTTTTGCTGTAAGCTTCTGAGCTGAGGAGGACCGTCTACTAGGATTCACTGGCAACAAGAACAGGAACAAAAAGTCAATCATAAGTCAATCATAAGTCAATCGTAAGTCAATCACACGTCAATCACAAGTCAATCACAAGTAAGTTTTATTCGTTGTCATCTAGCTAGTCCAAATATCTTTCTAGTTCTTTTCAATGCTGTTGGATATGTTTTTATTATTCAACACTTTCTGCGCTCGGAAAATGTGTTTGTGCTAAGCATCAGAACTGCAATCAAATCAATCGTACGTCAATCACAAATCAGCCAAATATCAATCACATTTCAATCACAAGTCAATCACAAGTCAATCATAGGTCAGTCACAAGTAAGTTCACAAGTCCATCATAAGTCCATCACAAGTCAATCACAAGTCGATCATAACTCAGTAACAAGTCAATTCACAAGTCACAAGTACTGGAATATGTGAATAAAAAGGGAAACCTATGCCACAGTTCACTTGAAGAGCTTTGCACTTGACTTGATAGGGAGTCGAATCCGGCCTGGGCCAATATGTGGATTGGGTTTTCAGTCCCTGCCTGATTCTGTGGATTTTCCCCAGAATAGTCTTCTGGGCTTTTCCTCCCACCTCTCAAACTGTAACTTCTTCTCATTGTCTCTTCTCCACAGGTTTCTTCAGGCTTGCGAGCTACAGTGCCTAGGGCGCTTTTGAGGAATCCTTGGTTTTCATTACCAGAAATAATTAATAATAATAATAATAATCATACTAACTGACTTGTGGTTAATTTGCGGACTTGTGATGAATTGGTAACAACCCCGCTAGTGACCATCTCCAAGAAGATCAAGCCAGTATTTGTTCACACTTGTGTTCAAGAATTAAATCCATGGGATACCTTTCTTGTTTTCCTTTTCCTGATTCTCCTTATGTATCTGATTGTACAGCCTCTCCATCCTCTTCTGTTTCTCCTGAGCAAACCTTGCCGCCTCCTTCTCCTCGGCCCGTCTGCCTCTGAAGGTACAGCCTCCCTCGCTGTGCTTCTCCATGAACTGGAAACAGTCAGGAGGGAAAAAACTTTTAAAAAGCTGTAAAAACAACTGAATATTGATCCTGATCATGTCAGCTGAAGAGAAGGAATTGTGAGACCGACTGATAGCAAAAGATTTTCCCTGGAAACATCATTCCTGGGTTATCCACCCAAGCCTGAAACTGAACATTTTGTTGTCTTTCTGCATTTTTCAGGCTCCCGAGCTGCAGTGCCAGTTTTTATTACTAGAAATTATTACTAAAAATTATTAAATAAAGCTGTATATGTAGACTGGGAATATTTTTTCCTGTTTATCGATATCTAGCAAAAAGACACAGAGAAGAATGGGTAGTATTAAATTTCACCCCTTTTTGGACAGTCGGACGCATCATGTAAGGCAATAATTCAACTGACGCAAGGCAAAAAATTAAAATGACAACGGTCAATATTCATTTAAGTTTGGTAAAACGTTGGTGCTCATGTACTTTGGGGGGGGGGATGGGCAAATACAATACTATGATTAAAAAAATTTTGGTTTTATGACCAAATGTGACAACCTGTAAAATGTTCAGAATGGGTAAACTTCAAAGTTTCTGCACCTTTGGAAAGCCACTTTTTCAGGGGTTTCTACGTAGTAAAACTGACACATTTATTGACTGTCTGGCTAGCCACTTCCAGGAATGTTTTAGCTATTTTGTTTTAATCCAACATAAGACAGTACCTGCATGGGATAGCTTCTGATGACCACCACATCCACACAGCCGACTGGCCCACCTTCAGGGTAGAGTGAGGCCAGCGAGAGAGGGAAGGGTTGAGGGCGACGCTGGAGACCCAGACGGGCATCGTAACGAGCCCGGCGGGTAGCATTGGCGGATATCTTCAATCTAAGGCTTGCAGGCACCTGGCATTAAAAACAAACTTAAGACAGTTATGCTGCAGAAGTAACTTGTTAATCTTAACATTAATTAACCCTAACAGTCCTGAATCCTCCAAATTCAATACGATTTTGCACACCCCCTAGGGAGTTAGGGTTACGATTGGGTTCTACACTTTACCAATGTAACGTGTACTGTATACTGAGCTTTAAAAAAAAGTTGCTCTGGTGGGACTTGAACCAAACACCTCTTGCTTACTTACTAGTGCTAATACCTTAACCATTCAACCGCCAAGCTTGTTGGGGTTAGCTGATCTGATTAAAAGTCAATGCAGCAGCAGTTTTAAAGTTGTCAGGTTTGCATGCTGCACAAGTAGTGTCGTGTTTTGAACAAGTCTTACATGAAGGGCAAAACCTAAATATTGAATTTACATCAACCCGACGCAAGTTACATATTGTGAATAGTTTCATTGGGGTACCCGCTGCTACATCAGATTCGAACCAGCGAGCTGATCCCGGCAAGCTCGGTGATCGAGCAGTAAAGATGTCTGCACTAGAAAGCAGGATGTCGTGGGTTCGAGTCCCACCCGAGTGATTTTTTTCTCCCTTTTACTCGGGGGTTAACACACTGAGTATACAGTGTTTATACGTCGGTGAAGGGCAACACCTAATGTTGGAATCTTACATAGATATTACAAGGCCTGCCAAAGGATGGCAACACAATTATACAGGAGTACAGAATGATCAGATGAGCTATACAAAATAACAAACTGGTAGATGCTGCAGTCATATTATTATTGATCAGCGACTTTTTTTATCAAAGAGTTACTTACTAAGTAATCATTCAGTATTATTTCAGGGTAGGGATAATTTTGTTTCAACCAACTCTTAAACAGCAATTTGAAATGACAGGGCAAATTTTAAAAGCAAATGAGTTTCCACTTTGGAAATTGATGGACCGGTAATTTTACATCTGGTCGGAATGAGAGGGAAATTACCTACCTCTAGTGGTGAACAGGCATCCTGTGATCCCACTAGTTCTGCGCCATAGATGCATAGCTTCTGACCCACGTTTATCTTGCCTGCATGTACAAGTCCTGCTAGAGGTTTATCAATGACTGTCCTGATAGAATACCAGCTGTCTGTCAACTCAAGGGTAGGGACAGGAGAGCTGGAGATCTTCAGGAGGAAAAACAGCAAAGGAAACAACTTTGTTACCAAAAACAACTTAAGTATTCCTTAATACTACCAGCATGATTTCACATGTCCGATTTCAAATTCGATATTACAGCAGTATCTGCTTTTTACTATTGTACACAGGAATTGAATCAACAACTCTTGTAACCAATAGAAAATACCAAGCTAAAACACTGATTCAATTAATAACTTCTAAACAAATTACTTATTTGTAAGTCCACATTTGTAAGTCAACATTTGTAATTAAGAATGAAGTGATGTCAAGCTCCTCCATAAAATTTTGCAAGAGATTCCAGTGAACCTTGCAAAGGAAATGGAACACTGTTGTAACTGCATTGTTCAAAGCCCTAAAATTCCATGTAGCTTGTGTGATCAAATTTAATACAAAAGTTGCATGCTTTTTAAATTGGGCTGTCTTCTGAAAAATAGGCTGCATCCAAATTACTTGGCTAAGACTGGTAATAACACATGCATCTATGAATCATGGATTAAGCCGCATAGACGTAAGTATTGTTGCTTGCCACTGCCAAATTATTCAGATGCAGCCATTTTTACCCTTTCATTTTCCTTTGCACTGGTGCCCTCCTGATTTGCCATTACCCCTGTACTCGTCTCTTCAAGGTGGACACCAGCCACACATAGGACCATCCTCCTAGAAGGTGCATCATCCCGTTCCAAGATCTTCTTGAGGGCAGAGCGTTGGGCGTGGTCTATCTCTCTGTCGTACCTGTACTTCAGCTGAAGCAGGACCCAATTAGGTGTAAGCAACCTGTCACAAATTTTTAACAAAAAAATGAAAAAGTGATTCATAGAATATACTCAAGTCAAGAATTTGGTTTTTGTTGTTGTAAAGTACTGTAAGAAGGACAGGATTTTTTTAGAGGTCCTACCTTCCAGCCAAATGTGGTGGGTACGCTCGTTCCATGGCAGCTAGTTTCCATACAATCCAGCGGTAGTGGTTGTTGACCCAGCCGCTCGTCAAGAGCTTTGGATCCACACCGGGGGTATCCAGCAAAGCACTGTGGAAAGACAGAAGCAAAACTTCATTACAAAACATGCAGAAATTCTAACTAGCAATCCGATAAGGCCAACAACAAAAAATATTTGGTCTCTGGTCAGACCAAAGTTCCGAAATTGACGCAGCGACGCGGCTTTTTTTTTTTTTTTTTTTGGCTTTTTTTTTCTTCTTCAAGCTTGGATTGTACAGACAAGGTGGGGTACTATTTTGCTTTTTTGGTGTCCTCATGTACATTGGTGTCCTCCATAATTTGCCTTGGTGCTTTCGATCATTTTCCTTGGTGCAATTTCCCTCTCCTTGGTGCTCTTTGGTAAAACAAATTGAGGAGGTGCGGAAATAGAGGGCGCTGTTGGAGCTACCGCAGAACATTTTGAAGAAAAAAAAAGATCGACGCGCATGATTAAAATCGACGTGCGCGCTGACCAGAGACCGATTTTTTTTTTTTTTTGGCCTAAGACGCACAAAACTTTTACTCTGAACAAAAATGGAAATGCTCAGTCAGATTTTGTACCGCAAGGGTCTTTCAGTGACAGCTCAAGCCAATGCAAACCAATCTTCTCCAAGAACTTTGAGTGTCAAGTATCATCCTCTGAGGTGGACACTCACTTAAAAAATTCCTCCTTGCCTGCCGTGCCTGCATCGTCGGGTACCAGCCTGCCCCCATCACCAAGCACCAAGCCTTCACTGGTCTCTAGAGCCTCAGGACTGTAGTGATCCCTGAGGGAGAACCTGAAGGCTTCTGCCGTGGATGACGTCACTGTCAGGGTGCTCAGGAGAACTCCACTATCCACCAACTAGACACAGGGATGTGATTGTTAATCAATAACAAGTCTTAAATTTGAAAAGATGCAATGATGTTTGATACTTTCTATACTCATAATAGCATATTTTGGAAATTAAACGAAGTTTCAACAAGGCGAGATTTAAGATTTATTAGATATCATGCCTGTAGATAGGAAACAGGAAAAAAATTGAGGTTAACAAGCACAGAGGCCAGATGGCTAAACAGTTTCTTCGCAGAAAATAATTTTCCGGGCAAATTTATGTCCTTAACAAAAATCAGCTAAGAACTAGTCACAAGTCACACACATTGCTTGACATTTTTAGCAGGTAACCTGGTTTTGTTAAGTAAATAATTTCTACCATTACTCCAAATTAGCCACTTATGACACTGACCCCAACAAACATCCATAATTTGGCTGGATTTGTTGTGGATATTTAAATAAACAATCAATGACCTAATTGATTTTAACTGAATTGAAGATGAATTTTGACAAAACATTAAAAAAACCTCTCACCTCACTACTGGAGTGCTGCTGAGGTGGCTGGCCATTAACTAGTTCCCACAGAGGCACTCTAGGCTCATGCAGTCTCTTGGTGAACAGCTTGCCCGGTTGTGGTTTGAATACTTGGGTCTAGTGCAATGGCAAAATTGACAATTAAAATCACATTAAACTTTGTTTACATATTCACATTTCATCAATGCCCAATACCAATTGTCCCATTCTACTTCCGCACTATAAGAAACTTTATATCTTCAAAACAGCCAGCGTTTCAAAGAAAGGAAAAATTTAGGGCTCCATACACAAATGCGTCCTCAGTGATAAAAAAAAATGCAGTACGCTTTGATGCTAGACACTAATCAGATATGCAATGATATTCAATGTCATGGGGTACAGTGAATGGAAACCTGGGTCATCAAATCACCAACATCCCCTCTAATGCTGACAAGGGGTAAAGCAGACTTGCACAGGTGGACATTATAAATAATGCACCTGCTTCAATCACAGCATTCATGTTTTAATTAATTTCGTTGTTAAAGGTCATTCTCACTAAAAAAAAAAATTACTGACTTATCAGAGTTCTGGCAACCGTACCTTTTTGCCCAGGATCCTTGAAGCTTGCTTCCGCCTTGCCTGTTCCCATCCTCCAACAGGCAAGCTTGTCTCCTGTTCCTGAGAGCTCAAGGTATTTGTTGTCTTTCCATCCAACGATGGAACAGACTCCCTCTCCACGCCCACCTCAAGTCTAGCCCTTTTTGGCGCAGGGCCACTAGCCTGTAGATCATCCTTACTAGATGTCAATGCTCTCTTGTTTGGTTGTGCACCATCTTGCCTGATATCGCCCAACAAGGGTGTTCCCAGTTTTGGTGGCAGAAGTGGGATAGCCGTCTCAGGTACAACCTGTAGGCCTCCTTGTGGCCTGCCTGGCCTGGGTCTAGACTGAGGGGTTTGGTCTTGTGCTGTTTGGTAGGGGGGCTGGAAAGCAGTTGGTGGTTTACGTGATGTAACACTTCCTTGTCGAGGGAATGGAGCCCATGATCTGTAAGAGAAGGTCCTTATGTAATGAAATGAACGTTTGAAGGCAGAACCTGCTAGAAATGAAATCTGATTTACTATCAGGGAAATGCTAGTATTTTTGACATTAAGAACAATAAATGCTCATAGTATACCCTGAAAAATCTGAACACTACATATACATACTAAATATTCATCTCATAACTTTTCAGGATAAAAAATGCTATCTTAAGTACTGAACTCGCTTACTGAACATAATTTGCAATGATAATATTTACATGAAATCTAATCAATATTTGATTCTACTTGAATAAAATCCAATCCATGTTTGATTTTCAATACCTCTAATTTGGAATTACTTGTAAGCCTAAATACATTCCAAACATAAAACGTTGATTCAAAATTAAACACTAACAGCAGCAACTAACAACAACGTATTATTGAACTGAACTGGCAGAACATAAATTTGCAATAAATCTTGACAACTTGAGACGATAGCTCACCTCATCACAGCTAAATCTTGACCTGTTAGTTCTTAATCTACCTGGATGGATCATGCTAATCTCTGACAGCGATTTGCTTTAAGTCTCCGATATCAGAAGAATATGAGGAAGAGGGCCTATTTATTGAATGCTAAGAGCGAGATAGCAGATAGAAGTTACGAACGTGCGCGTATATGTAGCTCGTGTATTGCGCCACATCAACAAAGCAACAATCATTCAACAAGCTGAATCAACTACAGTATGCAACCAGTTTGGTCATGTGAATAGAAGCCTATGACATAAGAGTGAATAAGATAACACAACTATTACCTACGAAGACTGACCTACAAGCACTACCACCATGAGGTAAACAAAGGATAAACCTAATAGCCATTATCAACTTGGGATAAAACAACTTCTCTTATCCTTCATCATCCTTGTATTATTTTTAGTAAACAATTCAAAAATGTAAGAAGTGAAACATACCTTTGCTTTGTGGCAGATGTCATCTGTGGTTTTGCCAAAGGTCCCTGGTGGAAGCTGGACATGTTAACAGCAACTGCAGAATGATATAAACATGTGATTTACTCTCACTTGAAAAAAAGACACATTTTAGTTCACCCCAATTTTACCAGTTCAATTATTCTCTTTGATCAATTCAATGTTGAAATCTAACAATAAAATGTGGCCTTTTGCAAATCGATGCAAACGATGATTGATACATGACCAATGAACAATAAGGGACATCTCATTAAATTATACAAGTAAACAACTGAACATAATCAAAATCTGATTCCTTTTCTGATAATATTGAAATTGTTCACTTTTCCAGAAAAGGGAAACGTGAGCTTCTGGGATAACTACTGATTTGCAGTTTAACGGTTGTAAAATACATTTATACACTACGGAGACAATCAAACATGACTAATGATAACTATTCTGTATGAGGACCTTTGTACAAACAGTTCAGTTTCTAAAATTCCATCTTTAAATGTGACAATCTTTGGATTTCTTGTTGGCTTACCCTTTGTCTTGAGATTTTGAGAAAGTGTGGTGCGCCTGTTGCTTGCTCTGCCTCCAAAATCTGGAACAACTGCATCAGTATTGTCGCCTCCTGCATGCGGATGAGCTTTGGAAATAGTCTGATCTGCCACTGAGTCTGACACTCTCAAGTTATCGTCAGATTCTTGGAAGAGTCTCCTAGCTCTTTCCAGAGCAGCTCCAGAAACAGCAACCTGGGCTCCACTTGCTGTTGAAAAACCCATCGGAGGCTTCCTTAGCTTCCTTGATACATGTTCAGGAGCAGACTCGGCATCTGCAAGCAATCTCTGAGCATTTGCGAGAGACTTGGCAGACACAGAGACCTTATTTCCACTAGCTGTCTGGAATCCAGCTGAAGCTTTGGGAGCCGAGTTAGAACACTCTGGAGAATCATCCAGCAGGTGTTTGGTTTTCTGTAAAGAGGCCTCTGAAATGGAGACTTTAGTTCCACTGGCAGTTTGGAACCCAATGGGGGTGGCTATATCAGGCTCCCTGTCTATCCGTCTTCTTTTACAGTCAGGGCTTGAGGACTCCTTGTCGAAGACAACTGGCACTCCCAAACCATCATCTGAGTCTTGCCAAAGCTTCTTTGCTCTCTTGAGGGCAGCTTCTGAGACAGACACCTTGTTGCCACTTGCTGTTGAAAAGCCTTGACATAATGGTCCTCTCCCTAAGGTTCTTGGAGTTGTTGAGGTAACTTCCTCTGCAGCAAATCCCTCCTGTGGATCTTCGAGAAACATTTTGGCTTGCTGTAAAGACTCTTGTGATATTGCCACTTTATTGCCACTGGCAGTTGTGAAGCCGCGTGGCTGGGCATCTCCACCTGCTTTGACAGTATGTATCCTGAACTCCTGGTTCCTGGCTTCCTCTTCAGATTTTTCTAGGACACAACTTGGTCTTTTTAGAGAAACGTCCGAGCTGCTACTTGTACTTTTGCTTGTTTGGCCTCTGTCATAAACAGCACCATCAGGCTGATCCATGACACTGACATTATCTGTTGTTTGCCGATGGATGCATCCAGCCAGAACCTCTTGATTTTCAGTGCAAATACTTTCAAGTGGTTGCATATTTCCAGTTTGCAAATGGGAATCAATATTCTCCTCCTCAGAAAACAAATTTCTGGCCCTCTTCAGAGCTTCCTCGGATATTGAAACATTCCTACCTCCTGCAGTTTGAAATCCAGAAAAAGCAGGTGTGACGTTTGCTGTCATGTGATTGTTTGCATGACTTGAAAATGCAGATTGGCCTTTGCTCTCTTTAGCTGCAGTACTTTGTACATTCAGCTGAGAGCAAGTAACTGGTGGTGTTTCATCATTCTTTGGTTGCTGATCAAACTGCTCTGCAGTTTCAGAAATCAACTTTTTGGCATGATCTAAAGACTCTCTAGACACCGGCAACGTGTTCCCACCTGCAGTTTGAAAACCTGAAACAATCTGATCTGCTGTGGAATTTTTCTTTGTATTTCGGTTAACAATCTTTCCAGATGTTCTGCAAGTTCTTTTTGGCTCGACAGGTATGCCATTCTCAGTATTGATATCTGCGACTGTGTCTAACAACTTCTTTGCTTTCTGCAAAGCTTCTTCTGATAAAGTAACTTTGGTTCCACTTGCAGTTTGAAACCCCACAAAAGGACAGTCGACTACAGGCAGAGAAGATTTTGAAGAGTTGACGGCTGTGTTTTCAGAGACAGCTACTGCAACTTTGCTGTTAGACTGATGCTGTGATTTAATTAAGTCCTCCGCTTGGTGATTATCAGCCTGAAACGCTCCTCTAGTCTCCCCGTCCCCCGTTTCTGAGCTCTGGGATTGGACAAAAGCTTTGTCCAACGCATCCAAGGCCTGAGATGAAGCTTGGCTTGGTGGGATCGAGTGTAACCCTGACAGTCCACTGACGCGCTGTTCATCAGCAACAATCTCAGATTTCAGATTCTCGGACTTCTCAGCTTTCCGTTCAGTTACCACTGAATTCTCGTTCCCAACAGGACAACCTGGGCTCTTGATGCTGTTACTAGGGTCCAACTTGTTGATGGTGAAGTCTTCAAATTGAGAAAAGCTGTCATTTTCAGCCTGCATGAAGGCATACGCAGACTCCATCTCTTCAGCAGCCTCAATTTCCCTCTGATCCTGGCTGGCACTTAGAAACTCCTCTTCAAATTCCATGCCCTCAGCCACTGTCATTTTTGTTTCTGTTAGAGGTTCTGGGGAAAATTCCAGAACACGAGATTCTGGGATACTCTGCAAGCGCTTGGGACTTATCGCAAGGGGCACAGTGTGATCACTTGTTGCTGCTTCAACTTTTAGTGGGTTTCCTAAGCGTCCAACTTGGGTGATGCCTTTCACTGGGATCTTCTGTGTGGCTGCAGTCTGGACTCTTGCTGGGGCCTTAAATGGTCTGAACCCCTTTGGAAGATTTTGGTTGGTTGTTTGAAGCTTTGTTTGCCGCTGTTGTACTGAGTTTCGGCTGGCTAATACAGCAGAGCTCTCACTGATTTTCTTTTTGTCCTGATCCCGTCCTTGTGGATTTTGAAGATGAGATTGTGCCTTGGAAGTGGGAAGGCTGGTTTCTTCCCAATCGTCCAGTAGGGCTCTTGCTTTCTTCAAGTCTGACTCCGATATTTGAATGGGTCTACCTGCAGCGGAAGCAAATCCAACGGTAGGCTGTATATCACTTTCTGCGTCATCAAACATCTTTTGGGCTTTTTGCAAGGCAGATTCAGGGATGGCAATGGCTTTCCCACTTGCAGAGGCAAATCCACTGAAAGATGGCACCTGCTCACTTTGAAGCGTCTTTGCTTTTTGTATGCCACTGTCTGAAAACACATCAGGGATGCTATTGGTAGTTCCTCCATGAACTTTTTCCGTTTTACCATCTTGGTGTTGGCTAGAATAAGAAATGTCATTCCTTACAAATGTTGGCTTGACTGGATTAGCACCTTTCATATTTTCTGCCGCAGGCCGTTTTAATTCTTGCATTGGGCCGGTTTGTGCCTCATTCAGAGGATCAACATCTAAGAACGCACCTCCATGTTCATCTTTCGAGTGGGGTTTAGCATCACTCAGGGCAGACTCAGACACCTGATTTGACTTCATGCTAGCCACGCTAGGGACTACTGTCCAAGTAAAATTCACATCTGGAACTGTTCCTGTGCTAACAGAGGCAGAATCTATGGATACGATTTGTTCTCTTTGATTATCCACGGCTTTTTGTGGGGCACAGTCAGGAGCCTTGACACCTTTTCTACTGGATTGTGGTATATTTGTAATTTCTTCAACACATGGCACATCTTTGGTAGGAGCAGGGAGAGCAGCTGTCGGATGAATACTCTGCTCTCCATCAGCTTCATCCAGCAAAGCTGTAGCCTTCTTGAGGGCGGAGTCCGATACCTGAATAGCTTTACCGCTTGCTGATGTAAAACCAACAGAATCTGGAATTCTTTCTTCTTCAGATTCAGACCACAGCTTCTTTGCTTTCTCCAAGGCAGAATCCAATATGTTGATTGGTTTCCCACTAGCAGAGGCAAAACTCACCGAGGCTGGTATAATTCCTTCTGTACTTGTTCTTGAGGATAAATCCATTTGAGTTGTCGCTAATTGCTTGGCACTGTTCGGCTTTAAAGTGGCACAAAGTTTGGTATCGGTGACCTTAGCATTACCAACTCCAATGTCAAGTTTGTGCTCTGATCTACTTAAGTCTTTGGCTTTAAAGTGTGAGGATGTCATTTTACTTGAAGCCTCGACTTGTAGTGTTTCTTTCTGCGATGCATTAATTCCTAGATTTCCAGAACTAAGAATGGTTTTGTCTGCTGGAAGTCTGTGCGAAGGTTTCACAGAATTCAGCATTTCACCAGTTTGTTTTGGCTCCTTGTCATCTTCCATTGTGGTCTTCAACCGTTTAGGAGCTGGTAAACCATGGGCACCGGCCCTTCGTCTAATCCCACAGTAACTTGTGTTGCTCCGTGGAGCCACTGTCCTTCGGCTTAGGGGTGTGGTCTCATCAGAGGTTTTGCTTGAGTTGGATCGGCTGTCTGCAGGAAAGCTGCGGGCTTGAGTTGCTTGTTGGTGTGACATGAAGGATGGCATCAGTTTATGTTGAGCCTGGGCAGTGGTGTCTATCGGAGTCAACCGAGTTGGATTGGACGTCCCAGATGCTGAAGTTCTCTCAGACTTGATAAAGTTGGTGAACGTGACAAATGCTGAAGATAAACACATATAAATTCATATTATAAGCATGGTAAACTCGCTTATTTTTCAGTGGATTATGAGGATGTAACTGTCAAGTTAATATGGTTTTTAAGATATGAAAAGTTGCTCAAATATAAAAGTAAGTCATTTTGATTTTTGAAATATGGTTCAATTTCAGGATTGTGACACATTTTTGCAGGTACATGTATAATATTAAAAAATTTACACCAATGAAGAACAATGATAGACAGAAAGCTACAACTACAAAAAAATATTTTCCTTCAAAGAAAACTTTGACATCAGCTGAATCTAAATAACACATTATATATCCAATTAGTTGAGAATAATTCTCATACAGTTTGTCTTTTCATCTTGAAATCATTACTCAAAAGAATAATTGCGAATTTGCACATCAGTCATTTTGGGTCTTCAAACTATTTAAGTGATGATTTGCTAGAAATGATTGAAATCTGAAGTCTATTTAAAACAAAACTGAAATTTGCTATCTATCTGTGATAAGCTGATGTTTAAGTTTATTTTGAGATATTTAAGCTCTATAGGTTTTGCAACTACACAAAGAGTGAATTTCATTTTTACCTGAATTTCTCGGAGCTGGAGTGCTGCTGTAAATAGTGCTGCCTGGTCCAATAGAAGCTGAGGCCTCGTTGTTTGTTTTACCAAGCGACGACGTCTCCTGTCTCGGCTCTGGTAAAGTTTCTGGAGCTGATTGTTGTTGCTTTTCCTCTGCCTTCACAAGGACAGCATCAGCTACCCACTGCATGGCCTTGGGTTTGTTAGTCTTCGTTAATGCTGTGACAGCAGATGGGTAAAAGAACTTTCTTGTCGTGGCGGCTTTGGGCTGCATTCTGAACAGTTGGCTGGCCTGTTCATGTGGACTCTTTGGAACATTCTGTTGGCCATGCCCTTTTGACTCAGAGACAGTCATGTTTTGCATACTGCGATTTGAGTTGTCATCCGAGGGAGGTGGTTTACTATCATCCTTCTTTGGCAATAGTGGAGACTTGCATGAAAGAGATGTTTTGTTAGACTGGTTCTGTGATGGAAGTTTGTTCGAGGAACTCTGTTCATTTTCTTCAGGCACTGGTGGTAGCACGCTCTGGGCAAGGTGAGATTCAGACACCTGGTCCGTGATGGTGCACAGAGCTTCTGCAAAATTTGGTGAGATCTGCGAGAAAATGTCCGGACTGTTAATGTTGGGTGGCGAGACCAATATCCGTGCCTGCCTAACAGGAGTGAGGCCGGCAATATTCTGGACTGGCAAGCTTGGTGACAAAATGGTTTCTGCTACTTGTACGGACAGTGATGACGGGTAAGCTGAGTTTTCTGGAGAATGAACGTTTAAAATCTTTACTTTATCTTCACAAGCATCTATCGTGTTATCTCCTTCGTTTTCACTAATTGTGTCACACATTTCATTTTTCTCCTCTTCAGGATGAAGACTAGACAGGCTCTCACCAACACCTGGGTTTGTGAAATTCACGCCTGCTGATAATTCGGACAAATCTTCAACAAATTCCTTCAAGGAACCATCTTCTTCCTTCACTATTATCACGGAAGTGTGTCTCGTTGTTGGTGCAGAGTCTTGTGTTTCCATGAGTTCATCAACAGTCCTTGTTGGCATTTGAAGGTTGTTGTGTTCTTCAAGAGATGTTAATGCAGGACTTTCAACGTTTGCTTCTCTCTTTTCACCAAGAGATGAATCGGGTACCGAAGAACCATCCTTTGCAAGATTTTGCTGTTTAAACTTTGCAAGCCTGCTCCTTGTCTGAGGTGGTGTCAGGAAGAAGAATGCGAGGGTGTCCTCCAGGCGGCTTCGGTCCAAACCCGACCTATCTGATGCCTCGAGGACTTGCAAATCATTGGCAGTGAGGTTCTTCCAAGACCTCTGACTGTCTGTCTGGGAGCTCTCACCGGTTTGCTTTGGTGCTTGAGATCTGAACATTAGTTCAACTGACGAAACCATTTCTGGATTGTCCTCTGTGAGTATTGCGTCTGGAATCAAAGTTGGAAGTTTGTGTCTTTGATTGTTGTCATCCTGAAGTTTGTTTGAGATAAGTGAACTTAAGCACTGTCCTTTCTCATCCACCTCAATGCTTCTAGGTTCATTTGTCAAGCCATCCGTTGATAAAGTTTGCATATTATGATGAGCAATGCATGCTTGTTCAGCTGTAGCTTCTCCACCCTCATCTTGTTTATCTTCCCTCGTTTTTACAACCTCCTCCTCTCCCTCTTTTATAGGAGCACCATCTGCCATATCTCTTCCCTCAGAATTATGGATCTCTTCATCTGCTAGTCTTTGTTCTCTCTCCATCTCCTTAGCTAAGAAGCCTTTAGTTCCAGGAGTGCAGAGGTCTGAGATGTCACAACTAAGTCTCCGACAATTCTGACCTGTCCTTCCTCCCGACTGTTGCATCGCATCCCCAGCATCCACCACTCTCTTGTCCTCTCTCTTGGCACCATTATCTGCATCGTCGCTTTCTATCGTGTCCTCCAGAATCTCTTCTTCTTCCTCTGCGGAAGACATGTGCAGGCTTTGGAGGGGCATGGTGCTGGATTGACTGTCGGGATCAGTCAGCCTCCTAGGTCGAAAACCTTCCTCTGGTGTTTTCATGGCACTTGTGAACAGAGCTTTTGCAATAACCTGTAAAAAGTATGATAAAAATGGTTGCACCTTTATGTCAGCACCAGGAAGAATAATGTGCATACAGAATGAACTACTTAAATTTTATTCTCAGGAATGCCAGTAGACTTAGTTTATTGAATATTTCAGCCTGTACACACACTAAATCTCATAAAAGTTATTTAAGTATAGAAGTTTAAACTCACCTATGATGTATGCCTGATTGGCACATTAGTTTTTGCATTAAAGACCTCAACATTGCTTATATAAATAATTATCAAGTCCAAGCAGAATAAATGCTCTAAAGTTAAGTACAAAATGAACAACACAGTTTCATTAAAACTGTGTAAAATCCCAGGAATACCATTCTCCGGTAATATATCTGTTTTTCAAAGACTGTTTCGAATGCAGAGCTAGCACTCGGTTGGTTTCTCTTAACATATGAATATGGAATTTTTTCGTTTTTAGTACATGCGCTAATAAGAAATCAGCTCTACACATTAACATGCTGCTAAATCCGTCAAGCTCGGCAAACAGGTAAATGCCACAAGTGTTACGCAATTTCTTGAAGATCTGGTGATTTTAAGTAACATCCAAAATTCATGAAGTGTGTCGTGCCATACTCACTGTAGATTCCAGTTCCCCGTCTACGTTTGATGCTGTCAGGGTGTTGGTCTTCTTGGTGGATCCCTGAGGTGTAGCTAGGGAGCTGGTCCATGAGAGATTGGAGTCGTCTAGGTCTGCACCCAGGCTGACAGACATCCGCAGAGGGGTACTCTGAAGAGAATTAAATGCATGGAGGTGAATCAATAAATCAAGGCTACGGTTTGCAACCATTGCAATAATACTGATTTGCCTCCATTCAATTTTATTTGAATGAAGGATTGGCATTTTGATGGTGGTAACTGGCCTGATGCTACACAATATTATCTGTATTGTGAAATCAGCTATGTGCATACACAATATTCAACAAAAATATAGGTACAATACTCGATGTATAAGACTCGCGTTACTTTAAAACAAAAGTTAATTATTAGGTGTACTTCATCCACAAATGTATGTTTTGTATGCTAAACAGCGTCCCCTGAACACTGTGTGATAGAATATCAGTACTGATTAAAACAGTTGTGAGTTGTTTGTTTCTTTCTGTCCATATGACTGCTTTCTGACTGATATATATATGTTATACAGGTTTCCACTTTGCAAAAACAGAAATGTGCAACTTTATCTGCTTGGAAGCTCTATGACACTGATCCAAGAAACGTAACGACATCAGCAAAATAGGAAACTTCTTCACCCAAAACTCACCAGAAACTGTCCAGGCGTGGCGAAGCTGATGTCCTCCAGCTTGGAGACAGTGGACGGGGTTTTAAACAGCTGCTTCATAAAGGTGGGCGTGGTCTGTTTGTGGACGGGAAACCATCCACCCAGGCTAGGCTCCTCTTGGGTGGGATCTAAGCCTTGGGAGGAGGGGCTGGTATCCAGCTTGGCAGGGGTCCATTTGGCTGGGTTGCGCTTCTCCGCTGGCAGGTTGGGAGTTATTGGGATCAGGCTGGGAGTTACTGGACTGATGTCTGTAGGACAGACAGCAAACAAAATACTACATAAAAATGCTGTTTAGGTCAGTGTCTCAAACTCTTTGGAGCTTTCCACCAGAATCTTTATATTGTTAGAATAGTACATGTACACCCAAATCTTCCCCATTTAAACTGAAAAACACGCCAGCAAAACAGTTGAATGTTTGTCACATGTCAGTCAACTTTTAAAAACTGCAAATGGAATAGTCACATGGCTGTGCCAAAATTAACCAATTCTGTAAGCTGACAAGACATAGAAAAGTGAATTTCAGGCATTTTCTTTTTTTACATTGCTTCTTGGTGAAGCTCGTTTAGAACAGTTAAAGTTATTAAGCCCAAGAATTTACCAGTTCCAAGAGCATGCCTTGAAGTAGACAGTGATGTTTGGCCATCATCTTGTTGTTTCCTGGTTTGCTGCGAGACGGACCGTCGCTCGTCAGGAGTGAAGAGGCAAGGAGATAAGAGGAGTTGGGGTGTCACTGCTTGCTGCTGTCAATTGAGAAATTAGCATTTTAAAAATATTTCGGTCATGGAGCATTTTATATGTGCCGTTGTTATTATTCAAGATCAGACCTTGTCAGTAATCAACATCTGAAACACTTGCTCGTTCCTCTAGAGTGAGAATGTTGTAAAATCATCATGTGATGAGTAAAAATATTTTAGAGATCCACTATGACACGGCTGAAGAAAGAAAAACATTTATAATTTACACAAGAGGTCAAATTTTTAACAAGAGCAAATGTGGTAACTACCTGGTCATTTCTGCAACGATGCCTTGCTGGTGTTTCTGTAATCTCTCCAACCAGTTTTGGGGGGTTTGACTCACATACACTGTTTTCTTGGCATTCCTTGACTGGCAGTTCCTTTGCACCTAAAATTGTAATCATACCAATTCAAATAATCGTTATTCCTAATCATTAAAAATCTAGATTCAAAAATGGGAAACAAACACCAACTTCAAGTGATAATTAATATAATCCTTAAAATGATTCAAATCAGAAAGACATATAATAATATATCAATTTGGGAGGGGGTAGTTTCAAAATTAACATTTTGCTCGTTGATGAACTCACCAATTGCCTTTTCAAACCAGTTCTGATCAACAGGACCCAAGTCTACATCTTTCTCTTGAAGAAGTGCAGAAAAGCAGCAGTGCTTGGGCTCCAAACCTGAGGGTTTCTTGCTTCCCTTGAAGAGGAGAGTAGGTTTGGTCTGCCCTGCGTGACATTTGTGGCTTTTGTTGGAGCAATGCTGGCGAGAGAATCTCCCTTCCACTGTAGCAGACTTCATTATGTTATCTAGAAAGTAAGTGAATCACAAACAATAGTTGAACAATAGATTCTGTGAATGGCAATTCGTACAAGAGAACACTTCTTTAGACTAGAGCCAGTAGAGGCTAAAGTTAGTATTACATGTATTAACTCCATCAATCCATCAAATTATGTCACAGAAGGAATGCAAAATTGTTTCACCACTATTAATACCACATGTCTATTACAATAGTATAAATAGCCTTGTTTACCTCAAACAAAGGCAAAGGCTAGTCATGCCAATTTAACATTGCAAATAATTTGAAAAAAATGTAAATTAAGACTCCAACTCCAAGTGGGGAGTGCAGCATTGAACCATAGGCCCTAGGGCATAAAAGTTTGTTAGCAAATCGCTTTCAAATGTTCTTGAATACTTTTCAAATTTTCCTAGCTTCCATTTTCTAAGACCAACTCTCATGCATATGCCGGAACTGTGTAGTTATGGGTCCCTCTTGTGGGGGGCGGTGACTGATCATGGCATGATGATGGTGATGTTAAATTTTGATTCAAAATTTTGTCACGTCAGTAAATCAACAGCGTTAAAATTGTTGTTGTTTTACAATTTTTTTTTTTTTAGTTTTAAATTCTTGAACAAAATTATTTACTAGACAAGACAATTACAAAAATTAATACTTTTTGTTGCATAAAGTTGAATATTTACTTGTCAGCTGTCACTCCTGCCTGTCGTCCGTCATGTGTCGTCTGTTTCGGTCGCCATCTTTAATTCACGTCTCGCGCCAAACGCAATGCATCATGGTAACCAAGAAAGGGTAATTTAGACTTGACAAGTCCCCACAGAGAGCTGCATGCGTGGAGTTAGGAAAAGCACTTGACGGTTGATTTCAAGGAAGAACATATATTCCTGTTCGACAAATTGTTCTTAGGATAATAATAGGTGTAAAAGACTGGTGAGAGAGTTGCAAGCTAAATTTACGAGTGATTGTTGAAACAAAACAATGCGACAGATGCTCTTCATTTCACCGCAAATCTGTAAGGGCGCCCTCTCCCGTGCTGTGTTTTTCTTGAACCAAGACTAACAACCCTGTAAACAAACACGTGTAATGTGCACGTGCTTGACCAGTCGGAGACTACATCATATGCGATATGCATGCAAGTAAAGATTAAGATGGCTAACTTAATTTTTCCTGGTCGAGCTGCCAAGCTTTTCATTGCTTTGAATCAACCTAGAACAATCAACACATTGATGAACAGCTATGGTAGATTTTTCTGCACAAAATACGGTAAACATCTTTACCAAAATTTCAGGAGAGGCACAACAGATGTCAGATTATAGGCGGTACACAAGTAGCTTACGGTGAAACCACCAAGCCAAAGTTTTGTTTGGTTCAACTGTATATACACGGGCTATACTAAAACACTCAGTGGAAAGTATAATGTATGAATTACCATGGTTATAATTATTGTACCTGTACTACATTTGTACACTACATTTGTATGTGTGGAAAGTCCAAAGAAAGATAGTAAAGTTTAATCAAGTACGCCTAGCCTAGGCCTAAGTTTAATTATTTATAGATGACAGTTAACAAAAACATGTAAATTCACGTTTTTAACAGGGTGTCTAAGTCAACAAGATGGCATCTCTCTTCCAAAGAGATACCTTGGACAACCGACTCCCTTCACCCACAAGCACCTGCTGAAGGACGACGAAATCACTCCACAGGTCACACGCCAAGAGTACATGGACAGGCGCACTGCTCTCATGTCCGCCATAGGACGGTCATTCAGTGGTGGCAGCAGTGGTAGTAATCACGCGGTGGTTGTCCTGGCCGCAGATAAGAAGTACATGACTGATGATATACCGTACCCCTTCAGACAGAACACCAGTTTCCTGTACCTGACGGGCTTCCAGGAGCCAGATAGTGCCTTGGTTTTAGAGAGCATCCCAGGAAGGCCGTTGCCAGAGCACAAGGCAACTCTCTTCGTCCAGCAACGAGATCCAGAGAGGGAGCTTTGGGATGGTCCCAGGGCGGGCACTGAGGGAGCCCTTCAGTTTCTCGGCGTCCACGAATGCAAGCCGATTGGCGATTTGAGCGAGAAGCTGCACAGTCTTGCGAACAGCAAGAGCGAGCTGGTGGCATGGTACGACGTCTTCAAACCCTCCAATGCCACACTCCATAAAGAAGTGAAGGATACGTTTGTTCAACAGTGCCGCAACAGGGGACACCCTGTTAACATCCTGGAGAATGTTCTACAGTCGCAGAGGGTTATCAAATCCCCCTCAGAGCAAGACTTAATGAGGACCTCTGCATCTGTTGCAGCCAACGCCATCAAAGACGTAATGGCCTTCTCGCATCCAGGAGTCAACGAATCTATCCTGTACGCCAAGCTAGACTACAGCTGCCGCGTCCGAGGGGCGGAGTTCCTGGCCTACCCGCCAGTCATAGCGGGCGGTAGCAGAGCCAACACCCTCCATTACATCAGCAATAATCAGATGATTTTGGACACCGAACTGGTGCTCATGGATGCCGGTTGCGAGTGCCACGGCTACGCCAGCGACATCACCCGGACTTGGCCGGTGAACGGTCGGTTCACCGAGCCGCAGGCTGAAGTGTACCAGGCCATCCTGGATGTGCAGAAAGATTGCATTGAGATGTGCACAGTAGGCGGGACACTAGACCAAGTGTATCACTTTATGCTGGCCGAGTTGGGTAAATGCTTGCAGGAAATGAGGGTTTTGCCACCAGAACTTGCAGAATGGGAACTCATTAAGGTAAGCGATGGATGATGTGACAACGGTGACGTAGCCTTTTGCAAATCAGAGTACTTCATTGACACAAAAAATCTATTTGTGAGAAATTATATATGCGGCAGTCACGATTGAACTTAAAGATGTGATAAAAATATTTAATTTTGATGATCACATTTTGTTTTTCACCCACAGATGACCAAGCAATACTGTCCACATCACGTGGGTCATTACCTGGGCATGGATACACACGACACAGGGCGGGTATCCCGCAGCAGTCAACTACAACACGGCATGGTGGTCACTATAGAACCGGGTAAAAAGTCTTGGCTTTTGTACTTATTTCACTGGGTTTCGCCCAATTTTGGTTTTGACAGATATTGGGTTTTGACAAATTGTCAACGCTTACAAGCTCGGTGGTTAAAATATCTGAGCTAGAATGCTGGAGGTTTCCACATTTTGTAGGCTTGTATTTATTGTTTTTCTAAAAAAAACTCAGATAAAAGTGTTTATACAAAATTAAAAGTTGTATCTCTGTCAAACATGTGTCTCTTGATACAAAATTAGAATTAAAGTCACAGTTTTTGTTTAGTTGGAACACTTAAATCCCAACATATATTCAAGTCCTAAAAATGCAAGATTTGTCATGGTTTTTTGAGTGCAAGTTATTAGTCATAACTAAGTTAATTCTGAGTTGTATGTCATAAAAAATAATCATTTACAATTCAAAATCTTCAGAGCTTTTAATACTGTAAAGGCCTGGTACATTTTTTGTTCACAGGGCCAAAAGATTTAAGAATGAAGTCCAGAAAGATTGCATTTGTACACGGTCTGGGAAATTCATTATTTGACATATTGTCTTTGCTTCAGGTCTGTATATACCTGAGTCGGACACCAGTGCGCCAGCCAAGTACCGAGGCATTGGCATCCGAATTGAGGACGACATTTTAGTCACGACTGACGGACCTGAAATCCTCTCTGTCGAGTGTCCAAAGGAGATTGAGGAGTTGGAAACGCTCATTAGAAAATAGTTTTTAATTAAAATACTGATTTATTTTGGCTACTTTCCTGGTTTGCAGCATTGCCAATGTTGCTAGCATCACGACTTCTGGCGTGATCCCTGGCTACCTGGCATGTACGGGTTTATGGCTTCTGACTAGCGCCCCTTGAACAAAGACATTGACAAAATGGGGGACCGCCAACATAGGGCTGGATAGGTCAGTTGGAAGAGCACCGGAACGGCAATCCGGAGGTCCGGTCGCAGGTTCAAACCCCTCGAGGGGTTAGGGAGTGAGGGCCCTCTCCAGTCAATTTCTTTGATCAACTTTAAAATTAGACAAAAATGACCCCGTCAGTGACAAGCAGACATGGTCTACTCTCATGCCGCAATTTCAGCAATGTCTTGAGCTACAGCAACATTTAGAGGCTGACAAAAAATGTTTCAGAATTTTTTATTTTCAATAGTTTTAATGTTTGTACAACCAAAAGTTGACTTAAAATTTGGAAATTCAGTCTTGAATCCAAGGTTTTAAACGATCATCCGAGATGTAGTAATTCGCTATTATTTGCAGTTGTCTTAGTAATGGTCTGGTTTACGGAAATCCAACGTCCGTATGTTTTACGTCGGTTCAGTTTGCAAGTTTTGTTTCTTCTTCTTTGTAACCCAATCCTTTTCAAAGATTAATTTCTCATTTAAAAATCAGTATCAAAATAAAATTGTGTGGATCTTTTGTTTGATCATCTTTCCTTGTATGGGGGAGGGGATATCCTATTGTAAACAAAAATACATATATAATAAAAATTTACATGTATTTTTATTGTATAATTACATGTACATTTAAAAATGTGAAAACAACAGTGTAATAAATAAAGGGAACTTTCACATTTCGTCTTAATGACTCATAATTTTTAAAGTCCGTTTTATTCTCCACACGTTACGAAAATATAGCGTGAAATATACAAACAAGTTTCCTAAAAAAAAACTTTACATTGTAAAGCCTTTATTTGCAGAGTCTAAGTCACAAAATACAAGTATTTCAGGTGCAACAACAAATGGCAAAAAATATACAAGAATTTGTTAGCGTTTTGAAAAAGATATTACCGTTTTTACGAATGAATACACAATATGGCTGTTAGTTATACGCCAAACCTTGTAAGACCTCTTAGTACAGAAATTTATACAACCAAAATGTTAAATTGTGCGTTCAAAAACAAATAACATTAATTACATTGTGGGGTTTGTTTTAAACAATTAAAAACTATTGAATTATGGTGGTGATACAAAGTTAACTGAGGCCCGAAAACTGTTCATTTAAAGTGTTCACCAAATTTGTGATGAACTCTTCAAAATTGTTTTCTTAATTGGTTATTTCTTCCAATAAGACCATTATCAGATTGCATATTATCTACGTCCAAACTAAACAAATTTTCTTTTTCACTTTCATACTTCATCCATTTTAAGGTTATTTCAGATAAGACACTTTACTACTTTCCAGTAAGTTTCTTTCAATATTTCATAAAGATAGAATACTTTTAAATGTACTTGAGAAAAAAAAAATTCCCAATTATTTCCTCCTTAAGAATTCATTTGTAACGCAAACTATCTGAAAAACGATCCAAAGTCAAACATTCAAAATATGTCTGTACATGCAAAACACATCACTCAACTTAACAAAAGTAACATTTGGGGCACCTTAAATAGACTAATTTTTTTCATAGTTACCATATTTACCAACTCAAATTGATTAAATTTAAATTAAACAAAGGCAAAATTTATGTTCATAGTATTTTCTGTAAGTCACTTCAACATTATTTTTATGACACACAAACCTTTAAATAAAGAATTTTTTCTTTTAAAAATCACTCATAAGTTTCCCTATTCAGCTGGAGAGTCCTTCATTTTCCTTCTCAAATACAATTTTTTTAGCACAAATCGAAAGCGGAATACCACTGCATTAAAATACTGTAATTGTATCAAAATCTGTTGTGTTGTAAAACAAACAAATTTACGCACCTCATATCACATCTGTACACAGCTGCTACACAAAAGATATGTATGGACAATTTTGCTATGAATTTTTTTTCAACATTTACCAGTTTCTGCATCAGATAAAATGAAGCTGCACAACGTTTTTTGTGTTTTTTTAACATTAAAAATGTAATGTACAATGTTCCCAAAATAAATAACCGAAAAAGTATACTACAAGCTTACTGGCTTTGTACACTTTTTAATGTTTAATTCAGCCAACTTTTTTGCTTAAAATATAGAAATGTTAAATAACTAAGTTGATGCAATCATTAAGTGCATTGATAAACACTAGTGGCAAGGTCATACATTTCTTGCAGAATATATGACTGGTAGACAGCAACAGATACTAAAAATACAGCAATTTTATTCTGGAAGAAGTGTAAGTGCGTCAGTCTATGAATTTGGATTCCACTTTTTTCCTGTCCCTGTTTCATCTGACGTCAATGATTTTATAATTCTGATGCACTCCTTCATGCAGTCTGTGAGCCTCTATGCTCTAAGATAATTTATGAATAGCAAACGACCTATGCAACATATCAAAAGTCATTCTTAATGATATTTGAAATGCAAATCACAAAGTACCACGTTACAGGGACCAGCAAAATGTCACGTTTTGGACTCTAAATTTACAGATGACCCAAATGCAAATTTTCCAGTTTCCCTAAAAATTTGATACTTCTTGCTACATAAATGTGTACATTCACGATGCATGGTCCTCCATTTCGGAAAGAGAAAGTTGCCTCAGACACTACAGATCCCGCTTCACTATTTGGTTTGCCAAATTCACTCGCAAAATTCATTAGGTTTTGCTCTTCACCGACGTATAAACACTGTATACTCGAGTGTGTTACCCCACCCCCCCCCCCCCACACCCCCAAGTGAAAGTGAGAATTTGCACTCACAAAAAATGCAACAATGCCCCTATTGAATCAGGACGTCAATTTCAAATTCAGTTTGGAACTGCAGATTTGAGTAGCTCCTCCATTATGTGCTTGGCACATAAATTTGTTAAGTAATATTATTCTGCTTTGCAGGCCCAATCAGATTAATCAATGATCCTTCTACAAGTCTACAAATTTTATATTTTTTTTCATCTATTACCACGATAGTTCCACAGGATATTCTCCCGTCAAGCACGCTGTGCAGTGTTGCGATTTGTGCGAGGCCGTGTCTTTGTTCTGAATCCCCTCCCTGACTGCTGTTTTCAGTCCCTCCACGGACAGATAGACCACGCTGTCGGCACCGAAGTAGCTCGCCAGACGCTGGGTCTCCACGCGGTTGGCTATCAGCTCTTCCTTAGTGGGGATGTTGATTCCCATGTAGCAGGGGTGCTTGACCGGGGGCGAGGCGACACGGATGTGGACCTACAGAAGGGAGGAAATGGGGTAAAGGGGGACAAAATGGAGGTACATGTGTTGAGAGATATATACAATTTGAGAAAGCCTTGATAAAAAACACCCAGATTTTACTAAGTGCACACATTACTAAATTACTAATTACACAAATTATTAAAGCTAATATACAACATTTGCGAACAGCAAGAAGACAAACTACCAACTTATTATGAATTTTTGTACTTGACTGTAAGGGAATAATAGTCTCAAGCATCCTGTGAAATTATGGCCCCTAGTGTGCTGTCATTTTCAAGAAAAGTGGAATATTTTTGTATCAATTTCCTACAATGGCTGCCCTTTTTCATATACTGCCCCTAATTGACCAAATTTAGTTAGTCCACATTTTGTTTTGCAATCGGTTACGCATCCGTGACCGGGTGCAAGCCAGCTAGTCTGGTTGCCTGACCCAACATTTCCCGATATCTATAAATTGTTCCGTTTTGTCTGAAGTAGGGTCACTTAGTCTACATTGTTATAGGCTACCACGCAAATTTCTAATGGATATCGAGTTCACAGCGATATGATTTCCTTACCTCTTTTGCCCCAGCCTGTTTAAGAAGCTTGACAATCGGGGCAATCGTATTTCCCCTGACGATGGAGTCGTCGATCAGTATGATGCGCTTTCCCCTGAAATTCTCCGTCAGAGCGCCAAACTTCTTGGCGACGCCCAGCTGTCTTAGGCGGGTGCTCGGCTGAATGAAGGTGCGGCCTATGTAGCGATTCTTGGTCAAGACGTCTGTGTACGGGACACCAGACTAGAGAAAGAATAAAGCCAAGAATTACGTGTACATTAGGAATTATAATGCCTCCATAAAATGTGCAACTCAAAATTCATTATGTGTGTACTAAAGTTATGCACTACAGCCATAAAAAAAAACAGGTTGCAGACATTACACTATTATTCTTGAAGCACAAATCAAGACAATCAATGTTTATCACTACTTTTGTAGAAAAAAAATCAAACAAGAAATAAATCAAGCAGGTCTAATGCTCATTTGTTAAAACTTAATTGCTTTTTCTGTCATGTCCAAAATTAATAGCCCTAAGACTGGAGTCTTTGTCTTGAATCACAAATTTCGAATCCAACAATGATTAATGTACCAAATTAATTTCCACATACTGTCTTTTACAAGTTATCAAAAAAAAGTAAAATTTAACAGAGGTCATCTTAACTTCTTATACGAGAGCTCAAGAGAGTCAGACAAAAACAATTTTTTTAGCTGATTAAGTTCTGTTCAAAAATATCAAATCCCAAGTCTAACTGTGACTAAAGTTTATAGCCTCCCATTCAAGCCACCAAGTCAAGTCTCCGTGCATCAGCAGGTGTATCTTACCATCTGTGAGTAGCCTAGAGCGGCTGGTGTGGCAGACTCAGGCACCGTACTGACTAAGTCTGCTTCTACTGGGGCTTCTAGGGCTAGCCTCTCTCCGCAACGCCTCCGCACAGCGTGCACCATCTGACCTGATTATTGCAAACACAAAAACAGAAACAAACAAATGACAACATCAAGTCCTTAAATCCACCATTTTTGGCCAATGTAAGTTAGAACTTACACATAATCTCACCTTTTAGAAAATGTATTCATAAGATGGAATTGTTTTGGTCGGGTGATGTAAATCAATATTAGGTTTTGCCCTTCACCGATGTATAAACACTGAATGCTCTGTGTGTCACCTCCCAAGTGAATGTTTGAAAAAATCACTCATTTTAGAAAAAGGTTGGACCGACCCGGTAAGAAACATCACCACATACACAGGCAGTCGGCAACAGATTCATATCAAATGAATGTGTACAGGTCCAATGTTTGTTGGGTCAAAAATACAACGTTGGAGAGTAAAAAGTCTGATTTCTCAAAAGATTGTTAGTCTGAGGGCCCAAAAACAAGTGTTACCACATTTTAACGAGATATGGATCAGTCAAGGCTACTTTTCGAGAGATTTTTGAATGAGCAAGTTAAATTTAGGCGAAAGTTATTAGTCCATCTTCATAGGATTTGAATTCCCATAGCATTACAGGGCCCAAAAAATGTTAGTGCTAGAAGGCTGTCTTCTCGTTCCAGAAGTTATGGATTTCATTCCTTGAAGACAATGCCTGCTTACCTTCAAGTATGCTGTCAGGCCTGGCAAAGTAGACATACTCAAAGATACAGAATGCTGGTGGATGTTGTTCCGGCCTTGGCACTGTGGCTAACGTCTTGATACCCTGTTTAGTGATCTGTACAATCTCCCCTGGTTGAACCTCTCGGTAGTACTGAGCGCCGATGGCTTGGAAGCTGCATGACTCGGACGACACCACCCAGCCTTCTATACTGCTCTCCTGGTCTTTGGGATCTGAATTCCAAAAGGAACATTGACATACTTGTTACGGTTCTTGAAAGAACTTACACTTGTAGGATTACATTAGTAAGGCCAAAAAAAAAAGTCTCCGGTTTCTGGTATGGAGCTTGCCCACAAAGTGGTGCGGCGACGCAACTTTCTTTAAAAAAAATTACTGTTTTTTTCCCTTCAAGTGTCGGCTGATGACTGCAAATGGTGCCCGACTAAAATTAGTGCAAATATATGCGAGTCCAGATAAAGCTTATTCTTGATCGTAACCCCATCTAAAAACACGTTAAAATTGTGCAGCAACAGGATTCCAGTCAGACCAGTGAGTTTGGCGGTTTTGAGACATCATCTTTCATCATTGAAAAAAAAAAACCTTTTTCATTTTGCAAACGCGCATGGCTACGGCGACATGTGCGCATACCAGAAACCGGAGACTTTTTTTTTTGACCTAATGCAAAGTTTTTCTATTCTTGTAACTGGGTTCCATTGCCTGCAGGCACACTTTTTTTAAACCACCATTTTAAAGCCATTCTAATCAACTGCAGTTTTTGTAACACATTATTTTTGGGGAAGAATTGCCATTTATTTTGCAGTTGTAACAAATAACAATGTGACATTCACATTTCAATACAAAGAGATATGGGCCTTATTCACGAGTCGGCCATATTGCATTGAGAGTGAGGTAAAATCTTGATTTCTGGAACTCGTGTAGAGAAATGAAAGCAAGTGAATTACTAATTAATTCCAGTCTGCTTCAAGGAATAATTTCAAATTTGTAATTAAACGTTCCCTTATGTTTAAAGCCAGATTTAAAAAAAAAAATGACAGTAAAAATAAAATAAGGCTGCATTGTGCCTGCATAAATAGTCTGGCGCCATCCCATTCAACAATTTAATGAAATACATTTAAGGAGCTCAACAAAAATAGCCACCTGAGAAGTTGAATTGACTGAATTATCAGAACACCTGGCAAACTATCCACCTGTAGTACAGCACTAAGACTGCCTTAATGAACACAGGATGTAAGGCTTAGCCATAACAGGTGCACAGGCAAATGAGAAATGCCACGACGCCGTTTAGCATTTCTATAACTTCATTATTAATCAACATTCCCTTTGGGTCGGGATGTGCTGGAAACCATGCATGCCATAGGTCACTATAATGAATAACTGTGATCCAATTAGGCCTTGCATTTGCAGTCTAATGTTTGGTTCAGAATGTCACTTGATCTTTTCTGAGATATAGTGAACACAATGAACCTTTCTTACATTTAAAATGGTGAGCCCCATTTTGTACGGGCTGCAAAAAGGGCTTTAATTTAAGCCGTGGTTGGCGACAGCTTTTGTAAAACCCAGCATTTGTATATTAAAACCCTCATAATGTAAAAAAGAGGCATTACGTCTTTGATAGCATTTGTTGGTTACTTTGCATTTTATATGATCCAATATGTTTGGAAACATAAAACTGTTTTTTTGATTTTAGCAATGTTGACCTTCAATCATTTGCATAATTTGTTATGCAAATCATGCAAAACGTGTACCGGTTGGCCAAGAAGGGTTTACAGGGTGCTTTGTTAAGAGCAACTCTTAGAATTCCTTCTACTGTCATAGTATCTTACATTTGAACAAATTATGCAACAACTAAAAAGCGACGCACCTAAATAGCTAACGCCCATCAGTTTGCCAATACACAGGGGTCTGTTGCCGTATGGATCCCTGACTGCGTATACACTCTCTCCATGCATTATCAGCAGGGAGTAGGACAGCATGGTCTCGTTCATCAGTTGCTTTATCCGCCCCAGCCAGTCTGCACCGTCTGATTCGCTGCCCGGCGGTGGGCGGGCTAGTATCTGGGTGATGACCTCCGAATCAGAGGTCGTAGATAGGCCGACGCCATGTCGTAGAATCTGGAAGGTTGGGCAGAGATATGGCTGTGTTAGAGAGTTTACATTTTAGGGCTGTGCTTCACTGCAGAGAGCGAAATCATAGTCAGACATTGAACATTTTGTGACAATTCTCTGAAAATTTTCTGAGCAAAAACAGAAGTGCTCTATCAAACTGTGTGTCACTACAGTGCAATCTTAAATGCAATCTTATTGCAGGTGGAAGCACAAAATTGATTTTTCTCGTCCGAGCCGTTTATGTGTCTAATTTCATCCTTCGTCAGTGCAATGAATCCCATGCATAAAAGCTGATAGTTTTCTTTTACTAAAAAGTTTGTCCTTTGCGTGTGAACGAAAAATCAAAGACATTGTTGATAAATAACATGTTTTCATAAAAATGCACGTGTCAAAGGTGTGCAGAAAATGTTTCGGCAAATCATGTCTGCAAAAAGGAAGACCAACCACCCCCCCCCCCCCTCCGAAAAAAACCCCCAAAACAAGTCAGGTGCGTTTACAAACACAAATGCCCCGCAACCGTGACTGTTCCCATGACATAACACCACTCTTTTAACATCAACTTACACGTACCTTGGTCACATGGAACGTTCATTGACAGCATTAGTGTCTTCTGTAGGTTTTATATGAATTAATCCCTAATCCCTATGATCTCAGAATAAATACAAGATTTTGTTGTTTTAGCAATGTGATAGGCCTATTTGGATTACCAAGAACGATCCACAAACCAAATTTGAAGTTCACATGTAAAGTATGTAAAGTATTTCTCAAATTATTCTTAAAGGGTTCTTAAGATTACCAAGAACAATACACAAACCAAATTTGAAGTTCATATGTAAAGTATTTCTCAAGTTATCGCGCTGACAAAATTTCCTTTGTTTTAGTCACTGTGACCTTGACCCTTGACCTTTCGGCCCCAAATGCAAAAGGGTTCTTAGGATTACCAAGAACAATACACAACCAAATTTGAAGTTCATATGTTAAGTATTTCTCAAGTTATCGCGCTGACAAGATTTGTCCGTACAAATGTAGTAAAGTGTTCAATTTTGAAAGTGAAGTTTCAAAATGCTCTTATTTTAACCAGAATTAGTTTCCTTGGCTGAAATTTGGACTTGATATCCCTTTTCTAAAACTCTTCCATTTGCGACGGATCAACCCACCTTGGAAATTCCTAGTTTTTGAGTAAAACCCATTTATCTATTTCGGGAAAACCTTGTGGAGACCTATTCATCTATAGAAATTGCCCTGTGGAGACCTTTACAATGTTTTGTTCCCTATTGTGTGTGAGTCTCCACAAGGATACAAATTTGTGGTCACACACCCACACACACACACACCCACCCACCCACGGAAGGACAAGGCGGAAACAGTATGCCCTTTCGGCTTCACCGCGGGGCATACAAAAAACGGCATTTGGATATTCGAAATATTTAGAGTTTGGTAGATACAAAGACACTATGTTCATTTCTCCTTTTGAACATCATAATTTATTTTTTGTAATCTTTGTTGGTTACAAATTACAAAACACATACATTGTATAATCATGAGTCAACACAGAAGTGGTATTGGAGGTTTTGGCAAATTACTTTTGGGGGAAAAAGTGCACTTTTGAAATGATCTACTTACATTTTCCCTAAGTCTGAGGGCATTGACCAGCTCCCCATTGTGGGCCACCGCTATCCAGCCGTGCAGGGTCTCCACGTTGAATGGCTGGCAGTTGGTCAGGTCTGAGGTACCGGCCGTGGAGTAGCGCGTGTGCCCGATACCCAGGTTGCCGTGTAGCTTAGCAAGGACGTCCTCAGTGAAGATCTGGCCCACCAGGCCCATGGCTTTGTGTTTGCGGAAAGGAGAGGTACCACCATGGCTGGTGACGATACCTGCACTCTCCTGGCCCCTGTGAGAGTTTAGGAAAACAAGAATAGATGTTTAGACTAATCACAGCCGTTACTGAGACACTAAAATGTCCAAAAAAAGTCTAACTCACCACACTGGGTAAAGTAGTTCTTGAATGCTCATTGTTCCTTCTATTGTTTTTTATCTGTCAGAGCTGAAATTTTCAGGTAAATAATCTATTGGATTTTTTTATTCTGTGCGCATACATGTATAATCCCTCAACATTGGGATCGCAATGGAAATAAGTTTTTAAAAGTTGTTTGCGTTATCCCAGCTTTTTCCACTGAATGGGGGAATTTCTGTGTTTAATTTTCAATTAACAGTTCAAAATAATTGTTTTTCCTAATTCTTAACTACTCTGTATCATTATTATGTGGAAATTGCAAATGAATCAAATCAAATCAACGGTGAAAAAAAAGGGGAGAAATGATAACGTTTCAGTATCACTGCTGCCATCTGCGTACACTTAGATGCTGTCTTCTGCTAGGATCCCTAGGTTTGTGAACAACATGATGAAACGGCTGTTTTCTAACTGGTGCAGCAAGTACATGAACAATTGTATTCATACTAATATGTAATACACATTTCACTACAGCAAGTTTGGGAGGTGTGCACTGGTAAGCAGGATGTCATGGGTTCGAGACCCACCCAAGCAAGTTTGTGATTATTTTCTCGCAAACCCTCGGACATACAAGTTTTAATGTTCCTGTAAGAAGTCCTTGGGACTAGAAGTTCAAAAAATTATGCAATGAAAAGAATGATTTAATGACACCACATTAACACCAAATATAAGAAATGTAATATTTGAAGAAACAAAAAGGATTTTGGAATAAGAAACATTTCCCATTGTGTTAAATAGTACATAAATGTGTACACAACCATCAAAGTGGTGTACTGCCGGCTACCACTCTTACTCTTAAATTTATTTCGATACAACCTAAGAATATTCACCTATGTTGCAAGCCAACTAGTCCCAAGGATATGATATGGGGGACATCCAGCTGAGTTGGCCAGGTTCCCGTGGCAACGCATCCAAAGACACCACAGGCTTCGTTCAGCCCGACGTCCTCCGATGTCTGAAGCTCCTCCCGTCCTGCACAACCACAGAGGCCGCTGTCTGCCATCTCACTCAAAATAGCTGATGGGCTCAGTAATTGCTGCAGCATTCAGGAATAAAATACATCAGACCAAGTCTTCCATCAAACACGAGCCACAGCGATATGAAAATTAGGCAGTGTATTTTTTTTACCGTGCACAGTGGAACACCACTATAACGAACATCGTGGGATCCACAGAAAGTGTTCGTAATAACGATCATTCGGTATTGCGATTTTGAACCGCCTGTACCCTCTTTTGACCAATAGTGAACTGGAATTTCTCACATCCTACGGCCGCACGAGGAGTCGTCACAAAACTTGAGCAATGATCTTCCTTGTTATTCCTTTGGGAAATAATAGTCATCTATTGCTGTTCAACATTCAAACACGATGTAACTTTGGGTCGTTTGACGTTCGGGAATTAAATATTTTTAATAAATTTCAAAAATAATATAAAAAAAAACTTGTGAAAATGACGGCCAAAATGGCCACTTAAAAATGATTAAATAAGCTAAATACTGAATAACACAATGCCAGACATTGCCAGAAACTTGTGTCCATTCGTTATTTCATGTATATATTGACACCAGTGAAATTAATGAAATTCACCAACTCGCCCCCAATCATTCACCATAAAATCATACAATGACCACATCCACAAACAAGGAATTTCGCCCCACAGTCCAGGTCTCCCCCAAATTTACTATAAATTGACATAGAAATGACCCATATAAAGCAATACGAGAGAAAAAATACTAACCTTTTCCCCAGATCTTCGACGAAAACTTCAACAACCGTCCGGTTTAAAGAGATTGCTGTTAAAAACCGGCAATTTAATTTAAATGACAAGCAGTCTACTGTCTAGTCAAGCTACTCATATAAACGGTACAGCTGCTTACACAATGAAATAATCCGATTAGATATCGAACTCGACTAGAGCATACGCAAAAAAATCGATACCCGTTCACACTTCGAAACACTTCAAGATTCAAGAAACCTTCATTCAAACTATAATGACTGTTATTGTGGAGTAGCAAATAACGTATATTTTTGCTCGAAATGGTACAATTATATATTAAACACATTTCTGACAAAGAGGCAAACTTGCAGAGTCGCAACTTATTGTGAAATTGTCGATTCTAAATGTTTTTAATCGATTAAAAAGAATCGCAGTCGATGAAGTCCGATATCCAGACGTATGCATACTAATTTCGCTATGAGAATTGCTTTTGTGAGATGGTCACCAGTCACATCGCATAGTGTGTGGGGATATGCACGCATAACCACACGCAACACGTGGTCAGACAGTTGGAGTGAAACGGCGGGAGAAATTTGGACGTCCTGTGGTTTTGTGTCCTATTGTCTTGTGTAAAGACTTCATTTCACTCGCTTTAAATATGGCTGGTAAGTGTATATTCAGTACTAAAATTAGCCTACTTATACTATTAAAATATGGTGTTGCCAATATGGTAAACAATTGCTTTGTAAATTGTACTTTCGTGCTGTCTGAACATGTTGTATTGAGTGTTCTCTCAGTCTCATTTTCGTCATGTTCGTGTACCAGGCCGCCAGGCGGGCATGCAGTGTGTTCCTTCCTCCATGCTCTAATTCTACCTACGTGGTGAAATAAATCGGCAATTGTGTCCAAAATGACTTCACCCAAAAAGCAGACTTCTCTTAATTCTAATGACACTGCTAACACAATGATCACTATGCGATTTTCTTACGCAATTTGTACAGTTGATGCCATGCTTAGCAAATGAACGCGATGTTGTAACTTAGGCCCTATGTTATTGTTACTGTTAGTGTTACATTCACGGCGCATCGTGTTGATTTCCGTCTTTCTTTTCGTGCTCACTTTGTGTTTTCCTTTTCATTGTACCCTTCAATTTACCTTAAAAAAGTCAAAACCCTTCCCTCTATCATTGGTCGAAGCCGTAGGTAGAATCTAATTCTACCCGATCCATGCTCTGTCCATGTCTGGTTTTAAATGTTGCTAATTAGCTTGGTAAGTGAAATACAGTAAGGCTGAAAATGGGTTTTTGTTCTCAATAGAGGTGCAGGGCCCAAAAGTACACAATCGCTGTTAAATTATTGTAAATAAATTAATAATGTTAAATTATTGTAAATAATTATTGTGCATGACAATCGCTGTTAAATTATTGTAAATAAATTATTGTGCATGTCATTAGAATAAAAGGTCAATTACACACAGTTGACCTATACAGATGCTATTTAATATGGACTGACACTGAGCTGTTGAGTGGATCTTTGCCAAACTTTTGGTCAACAATACTTTGGGACCATCTTGAATTGCTAAGAAGGCCTGTTACATGGTCATTTTTAATACACACACACAAAACCTAGTTTGTTCTCTTTTCTTTCAGAAATCACACCCGGTAAGAAACTAGCAGAGGGCAAGACCAAGATCATCTATGAGCTGCCCAACAATCAGGTGCTGTTGCAGTCCAAAGACCGCATCTCGGCCCACAATGCCCTGCGCACCAATGACCTGGAAGGCAAGGCGGCCATCTCCAATAACACCGCCTGCAAGGTGTTTGAGTACCTGACCAAAATTGGTAAGAATTGGTCCTTGTCACGCGGGCAATCACATCTGTGAAGGGCATAACACGAAATTTAATCTATGTCTCCCCGATTTAAAAATTCCATCATTTAAAAACAGTGATCAGTTGTGATACCCACTGGTATATCAGATCTGAACCGGCCAGCCAACCCCAGCAAGCACTAGTAAGCAGGAGGTCATGGGTTCAAGTCCCACGGGAGTAGTTTGTGAATTGTTCTCACAATCACTCGGGACCATACTGAGTATACAGTACTTAAGAGAACAAAAATCATGTTGATTAAGGCCAGACCCTAAATATACCAAAGGATGTCATCTGTTGTAACAGTAAATTGTGTTTGGGAAAATCTTCTGCCAAAAGGCAATGGCATGACATCCAAGTTAAATGGTTTCTGAACTCAATAACAAGAAACGTCCATCACAGTCGTGCAACTGCGGACAAGTGACGCGATGTCAGTTGAAAAAGCTGTAAAACCAATGAATGAATATTGAGTAAAGCTTCGATATGGTTCTGGGAAGTTGTCACGTGATGAGGTACTAACTCAGCTGAAATAATCCCTGAATTATATTCTGACACGACAGGCGTCAAGAACCACTTTGTGAAGAAGCACAGCGAGACCGGCTTCTCTGCCATCAACTGTGCCATGGTGCCCATCGAGTGGGTGACGAGACGTGTCGCCACGGGATCCTTCCTCAAACGCAACCAGGGAGTGGAGGAGGGATACCGATTCGCACCAGTCAAGCTGGAGTTCTTCTACAAGGTGATTTTCTTCAGGGTTTGGCAAATTTGTATTGGGGTCCTCAACACTTGAGTCTATGTCCTCAGTGTTGCATCCTAATCACAAGTCATGTGGGTCAAGTCAGACTCACAAGTGATGAAGGTTGAGCCCTACGTTATACTGGATACCATCCGCACTTCTTCTGGACATCGTTGGCACTGCCTCAACGTACTAGCAGTGACTGTTGGATTGAAGGATTGAGGCAGTGGTCAACCCTCCACTGAACAAATGCAAGAAAACAGATGATTTTGGAGGATTGAGGCAGAATCTAACTTTTACGTGGTAGCAATTGGAGGATGCATCCTAGCCAAAAAGGCCCTAGACAGTTAGGGTTTAAGGATTTGGTAGATATTGCAGAATTTTGGAGTTTGCATTAAATGTGGTTAGTACATGTATAACTATGAGCTAGGACCAGACCTATGAGCTAGTTTTTGTGAAGACTCTGTAGTTTGACCTTGTCTTTATTTGTTTCCTTCCTCAATCTCAGGACGATGCGGCAGGTGATCCCCAGTGGTCCAGGGAGCAGATCATCGAGGCCAAGATGAACTGCGGAGGGGTGGTCATCGGTCCCCACGAGGTGGACATCATGAGCAAGATGACCGTGGTCATCTTTGAGGTCTTGGAGAGGGCCTGGAGCTCCATGGACTGCTCCCTCATCGACATGAAGATTGAGTTTGGCATCAGTGCTGAGAACGGTAAGACTTATAGCCAATGTCTTCTTTTATTATTCTTCACTCCTCTTAAAATGGAATAGTACACAGCCCTTTAGTGGATAGTGTCTTAAAATAGAGAGGTATCAATGGCAAATTTCCAAATTTGCATAGCTCTGGTTAAATTGGTGATCAAAATTAAAAACAGATGTCACTAGACATAATGATCATTTTGCTTAAGGGTTAGTGCCGCCAAAGCCTCAAAATATGCTTAAGGTTTACACGGCTTTTGTGCTTTTTTTATGTTCTTAACCTTAAGCCCACACAGTAGTTTTGTTGAGAAACCCTGCTGAACACAACAACATGCAACACTTGTCAAAAATGACAAGCCTGCCCAGTGTAGCATGACCCATCAGGTCAAAAATTGCAAGACTAAAACGACCCGCGGTCGGTGTTCACAAACTGCCACAGGATACATCTGAGGTATTGTTTATGGACAAGCTCTGGGAATTGGTCGTTCATGTACTTGTGTTGATAGCTCTATGCAGCGAGATACTACAGACTTTCGCACCTGTCGCACTGTGTTGCATCTGGCAGGGTTAGGGGTAAGCAGCCCTTGGCGCTAGGCCTGCTCAGAAACCTGATTGTAACAGAGATTGAAATTCTCAGTGACCATTTACTTGCAGGTGAGATCCTTTTAGCGGACATCATAGACAGTGATTCCTGGCGTCTATGGCCCCAGGGCGATCGCCGTCTCATGAAGGACAAGCAGGTGTATCGAGACTTCAAGGAAGTGACCGACGAAGGCTTGCAACAGGTCAAGCGCAACTTCCAATGGGTGGCAGATCGACTGGATGTAAGCCATTTCAACAATTCACAGATACACGATTTCAAGTTGACAAAACCAAGTGTGTCTTTTCAACAAACGAAAAGAAAAAATACTTTAATCATGTCTGTAAAAGAATAAGCCATGATTTAAAGAGAGCATTCTTACCTTTTGGAACAGCTTATGGCATTACAAATTGGAAAAGTTTTGGGGTTTTTGGTGGCTTCGGGTAGAGAGAAATGGCTGAATAACGTTATCTCAGCAATTTTGATAATAGGTTTTCATTTCTGACCAGTATTCATCTAGAACCAAATCTGGTTCTGTTAATTGTAAACTGTGTGATTCTTCATTTGGCCAACTTGTACATCAATGTTTTCTTTCCGGTTTCCTGCCTCCCCCTGTAGTCCTTCATCCCTCCCCCTAAGGGCCAAGCCGTAGTCATCATGGGCTCGCCCAGCGACATGGCCCACGGGGAGAAGATACGGGACATGTGTCGCACCTTTGGCTTCCCCTGTCACCTACGGGTCAGCTCCGCCCACAAAGGGACCGACGAGACATTGAACATAGTGGCGCAGTACGAAGGTGAGTCGGACTGGAATAGAGACCGATCCATTAAACCCATTAACAACTGCTCTCTGTTACCGCACTGTATGTTCCGGCCACCATGAACGGTGTGCATAAGTGCACACGTGGCATTTGGTTGCGCAATCATTGCTGTGATTGGTCCATGCATCATTGGGCAGTGAGTAGTGGATCAGTATGTTGTACAGGGTGAGTAAAAAAAAAAGCATCCCAAATGGCAGGACCAACTGTTGAATGAAGTTGTGCCTGTAGCACTTTCAAAATCTAGGATATATGAAAGCCCAATTTATGAGCTTTCTTTTAGTTCAAGAATCATTCAAATCACTGATGTGGTTTCCAAGTTACGGCATTTTGAACACAAACACCGTTTTAAAGTTTTTTCACATGCATCCCTATGAGAATTGTTTTCGTTTTGCTGAAAGAACGCTTATTTTGTTTGTGATCCGTGAGTAAATGATGATGAGCCATATTGGCGCTTGTAATCAGTGTTGTAGTACTCGTACTTGAATACTACTTGAGTACTTTTTTTGGAGTACTCGTACTCGTACTCGATATGACGGTACTCGTACTTGAGTAGCAAAGTACTCGTACTCGCACATGTCGAAATTGTACTCGATCATCAAAGTACTCATACTCGAATACTTACTCGATAAAACAAAGTACTCGTACTCGAATAGCGGTACTCAATAAAAAAAAATGACAATGGTGGCAAAGTTGATTATGCTTGCCAGGATTTTTTTTCATTCGATCTTTCAATAGGGGCAAATATTCATACCTTTCCCCTGAATGTTTTTCTTTACATTTAAAAGTTTCATTGACGTCACTAGCATTCTGTACTCTTAACAAATAGCAAGGTTCACACACATCCCCAGCCTAATAGGAGTAGGACGGGCTTTCACTGAAACTAGTCATGCAATTCCAGTGTAGTTTCGTTTTAAAAAAGCTATTCATGTGTTACCCTTTGCAAGTTTTTCCTCATAAAAACTCAGCAGACCGATAAATCCTTGTCTAGCCCCAAACTTGCCATCTAACGATCATAAACATAAAGTTGCATTTGGACTTCTAGGCACTTTTTTTTTGGTCTGAGGAATAAGGACCCGAAAATACAAGAATAATAATGCACAGCATTGTAAATTAATTTGATTAAATGACAGTTGACCTAAACTTTCATGTCTGTATCTCAGCTGTGTAGCATTTCCTTGGAAAATACTTCCTGCTGTTGCCGATTTAAAAAAACCAATTAATTTCAAATAATTAAAAAAGCTTACAAAGACAAACCCTAGTATCAAAAGTGACTAACAGCAGGCCTACACATAATTTTAGGCTTCAAGCATAATAATGTACCCAGTGCCGTATTCGGAAATACAAGTACTCGTACTCGTACTCGTACTCAGAAGTTGAAGTACTCGTACTCGTACTTGGACGTTCAAGTACTCGTACTCGGAGATATGTTCTTGTACTCAGAAAAACAAGAACTCGTACTCGGCAGTACTCGGTACTCGGAAAAAAGTACTCAACTACAACACTGCTTGTAACAGACTTGTTTTACTTTCCAAATACACTGTGCAAATGAACTTGTGTTACTCAAATTTATTTCTTGTTGACTGCCACAGCTACTGGGACACCCACGGTCTTCATCGCGGTAGCCGGTCGCAGTAACGGCCTGGGCCCTGTCCTGTCTGGTAACACCTCCTTCCCTGTCATCAACTGCCCTCCCGTCAAGGCTGAGTGGGGACCCCAGGACATCTGGTCTTCACTTCGCCTGCCTTCAGGTAAGAAAAATCTCAACGAATAGTCAGGGTTCCAGCCCAGGGTTCAATTTCAGAAATTGAACTAAGCACATATTATATCTGCTTAGCAAAATTGGTTTACCAGCCAAAACATTATACATTGAATATTGCCTGTGACTGGTACCAAGCTTATTTTTGCTTAACACACAAATTTGAAAAGCAAACTTTTTTTGTTGCTTAACAGTTCCATGACAGTTTGCCCATATCTGAAAATGTGCAGCTGCTAAGTAAACTTCTTGTAGTGCAACATTTGGGGGAAATGATTTCGGGAAGAACCAAAGATGTAATCATAATTATCTTACAGTTGCAATATGAACCTTGCAACAGTGTTGTAGTGGAGTACTTGGGATGGTCATTACGTGTATGATTTCAAGCCTACCTTCACAACGCTCTCAAATCTGAGCTCTTAACCTTTCACAAGGCCCTTCTCAACTAATCTTTTCTCAAATCACATTCACAACCCATCTTCCCCAATATAGGTCTTGGCTGCAGCACCGTCATGTCACCAGACGGAGCGGCTTGGTGCGCAGCCCAGATGCTGTCCCTGACGGATCACGTGATCTGGAGCACCGTCCGCGCCCGACAGATGAACACCTGGCTGGGGCTCAAGGCATCCGACAAGAAACTCCAGGCCACCGACAGAAACTAAACCGCCCAGTACACGTTGGATAGATTGATTGCATTCAGCAACCATCTTTGAGCTGTGTTTTGTTTTGTTAGTTCATTAACAATGAATGCACGCGAGGCCTACACTCATGCGTATCCCTGTTGAACAAAAGGACACACCTCAAACATGGCTGCAGTGCAAATGATCTATTGCCAGTAACAATGCACAAAGTTTTCACCTGTCATAAGATTCCATAGGCACGGGGAACTATGATCACCACTCGTTTCGTTTCAGACTGGCACTCCAGAGTTGTGCCAAACCAGATTATGTCGAAATTGGAATGAAGTTTGATGTTGTGTAACTATATAAGGAGAGATTACATGTCCAAGATTGACTGTTGATGTCAAAATCACATTCCATGGAAATTATAACCTAATATTGAATTGGGTAACTTGTGTCGCTGTCGGTCAGGGGTGTCGTTGAGTCCATCACAAGTCCAGTCACAAGTAACAGTGGATAAACAACAACCAAGGAATGCCGTTGTCAGTGTTCATTTGAGTATCTTGTGGGTTGAAATGGGACTAGAGGACTTATGATGGACTTGCAGGGACTTGTGTTGGACCCCAATGCATCTCTGCTCTCAATTCACTTTTGGACTCCAAGAAGCCAGCCTGAAGGTTTCCGGAAGATTCCTAGCAAAAGTACTAAGGGAAGTAGGATTAATGTATATCTCTTGCGTAATTGTGAACTGTGTTCATTCTTTGCATTTATTATGGGTTTGCACAGATTTTGGACTCTTTTTGTGCACGGCTTCGAAGATTCAGTATTAATTAATTTTGGTGCGCGACTTTGATTAAGTGCTCTAATTTAGTTGGTTTAAAGTTTTTACATTTCAGGTCTATCCAGTTAGTAAGCAGTTTGGAGCAGTTGAATTTTTTTTCAGAATGCCGTCTTGTATATTTTTTGGAAGTCAAACCTCAAAATGCAAGACCATTCAATCTGGTCAATGACGTGTACAGAGTCAGTGACCTGTGTAGTTGTGTACAGACGGCCGATGCTGTCCCACGATGCCATGCAGCACAAAGTCTGCATGTTTTGACACAATTTTGTTCTAGCTTTTTTAGTTCCCTTTGCCTATGGAAGCAGCTATCTGTAATTAAATTTTTCTCCTAGTATTTCACTGAAATTAAACATGAATATAATATTCACTGATAATTTAGTTACTGTATTCCATACTTCGCAGTTTGTTGCTTTAATTTTGACATGTAATATGTAATATTCATGTAGAATTTTCATTATATTTTGCATACATGTATTGTAAAGTGCACTTGTTCCAGTATGTTGAATTTTCTAGACAGGGTAAGTTTGGTGATGACCTATCTGTGAAAAACTACATTAACAATATTTAATCTTGTTTGAAATAAGTTAAGTTTGAAGTAGCCTTCAGTTGCATTTGATGTTTTTCTTCAGAGCTGTCGTAAATATGTTCATTTTTGAAATCACAGAACTTGATTTGATCAGGTAAAGCGATTGGTTGAGGTGGATTCAGGATTGGTGAAATTATTGGGCAAACAGTGAAAATGCTCTTCAAAATGGCTTTTGTAACTTTCGACAGTAACTATTAAGACTCTGAAATAAAGTTAGTACATGTACTTGCCTTCATGCAAACATTGTTGTCTAATATTTGAACTCTTTCAATCCGAAATTAATATTGTCCTAAACTTTTGTTTGTGTGGCACCAGATGTGACAATCCCCATGTGAACAGTGCATTTGTACACAAGCCTATGTAAATGTGCACAAGCACACTAGGTTTTCCCGCCAATTTTCAACCCCTCCAGTAGCATATCAAGACTGACACCCCCTTTAGTGGATGTACCATGGTCCATACTAGGATCTAGTGATAGATGACCTGGGGCATGGCTACCATGTGGCTGGGACAATATATAAAAAAAGAGAAATGTGGAAGCGATTTTAACCACACACTCCAACAAGCACGTTTACAACCGGCTTGGAGCCTGGACGCTGATAATGGCCCAATAAAAGGGACCGGGCTTTCATGCGAGTCAAAATTTCATGCAACAACGGAAAAGTGACCTTTCTGTGCTTGGTTGGCAAACTGCATTTTTGCCAACCACGGGTTGCAAAACTATGGAACGTCCAACAGTGCAAAAATGAAGAAGAGTTATCACAGATCACCAAAATATTATTTGATGCTTAAAACTACAACATTTTCAACAAAGCTACAAAATAATTCCTACACATGCCTTTTTACTATGTGTTGATGGCGTTATGAGGACTTTTTTGGAAAAAATATGTTGCCAACCACGGCTTCAATTTATGCGCTTACGGCATCCCATACAAAATGGCTCTAATGTAACAAAAGAAAGGCCTATACCAGCCAGCCGGTGTTTTATCAACCATTTAAAACAACCCATGTGACGGGCTCTCGACCAATAGGAATGGGTAAACCATCTTAGGTAATTATGAATTTTTACTTTATTGAGATGAAATCAAATCAACAACAACATACATTACACATAATACAAAGTAAAAGAAACGAAGAACGGTTGAATTCGTCTTGGATTGCCAAAAAGCAAATTATCAAAGGCTTCTCAGTTTCATTGGGGTCCCAAAATATTTCTTCAATATTGCTCGTTCGGTGAAAGAAAAAATAAAGAAATAATCTCGGCTTCAATCTCTGACTTTCTTTTCATAGATGAAACGCAGTGTATTTCATACACCAAGAAAGTGGAGCCAAAAAAAATAATCCCTCCAACGAAAAGCAAACCATGCGAACAACCCACAACCAAACAGAAGACATCAAACAGAATGAACCAAATTCAGGTTCAGATGAAACACTTTGAAAATTTCAGAAACTCAAGTTTTAATTCCCTTCCGCACTTTAGGCCTATATAGACCATTTTTCCCATGGCACGAATGAGTACAACACCCACAAGGGCGGATCCAGCACACAATTTTTTTGGGGGGAGGGAAAAAATTTGGTCCCCCAAAAAAGTGGGTCAAAAAAATTACGGCGTGGGGTTCGGGGCCTGCTTAAGGGCCCCGAAATTTTTTTGGATTCTAGATGCTCTGTGGTGCGATCTGAGGCAATTTCTGACCACTTTAACCAATGTTTTTTTGAGGAAAAGATGGTGGTGTACTCATTGCCTGCCTTTATTGCGATGTCACATAAAAAGAAAAAATTGGTTTCGTTGGGGGGGGGGCATGGCCCCCTTTGACCCCCCCCCCCCTGGATCCGTCCTTGAACCTTGAACACCCACTACCTTCGTCATCATCAATTTGTTTTGGGGGGTACAGAGTAGTTCAAATACAACCAGTGCTAGCATGAATTGTGCATACACCAATGCACATTGCTTTCTGCGCCAATGATTTGAATTAATTGGCTCCAAAAAGACCAAACACACGCCATACCAAAATACAACCCCACAATAGCGCTATGGATTTTGTGTGACTGAGTGGAAGTTGGTTCCTTCATAATTTGTTATGCAAGAATGAGTGTTATTGAACTGACTATAATATATTCCATTGCCATTGGGGTAAAAAAAAAATAGCATCCACCATATTAATACAAACCATTATCAATTTCAGTTTCAGAGTCGTTACGGAACACAGCGCACGGTACTCAAACGAAAGATATTAAAATACAGCTTATTGTGTTTCTTCGGTCATACGCCAGTGTGATGGGGGTAGGGCCGCCTACCTCGGAATTCTGTCATTCACGTAGAAATCTGCCTGTAACACACAGTTGAACTTATTTGGTACGCTTCAACATGGCAAGGGTAAGACAAGTAACTTTATTTCATTAGTTAATGTCCGAGTTTGCTGATTATAATTAATTAAGGCTCATTTATAGAATAGTGTATTTTTATGAAGCTTGTCTTCATTGCCCACTGATTGTGTTGTCACGATAGGGTACCGCCCAAAACTTTGTTGCGGGCGCCTTTCGGCTGAAGGATCGAAGTTTACGGCAAATGACTGGGCGGCGCAGATTAGGATCCACTGCCGCTCGGGAACAAACTTTTGCCAGGGGTGCTGGAAGCCTCTAAAGGACGGACAAAATTAATGCGAAAGTGGAGCGCAAAGCCCTTACGTCGTGGCTTAATTTGGAATATGGATGCTCTGTGGTGCAATCTGAGGCGATTCCTGGCCACTTCATGTGACTTTTTTTAGCAAAAGGTTTTTTAGAATATAAAAACAATTTATTTCATTATTTTGTTTAGAATATACTGTTACTCTTAAAACGTTTAACTGTAATGAAAAGTGGAAAACCCTGTAGTTTTATCTCCATTTTTGGTTCCATTTAATTCTGGAAAAAGAATTGTATTATTATGCATGGTATCGTATTTAAATATTATTGTTGCAAGGCTGCTTTTTTACATTTAGTAAATTCCTTCGTGTATGTTTTGTTTTATTTTCCGAGCCCTTACGGCGTGGGGCCATAGGGCCAGGGGCCCGCTTTAAGGCCCCGGAAAATGTTGGATTCTGGATGCACTGTGATGAAATATACTGAAGTATACTGAACTTACTTATAAAACCCGAAAGGAAGTTTTTTGGTTCAAGTTAGTACAAATGGTTCCACTGGAAGCGGATAAATATCTGGTCATAAAAATATTCACATAGTTCTAACTCACCAAATGATGTAGCTCTCGATATATTTGCAGTGTATTTTGTTTGCGTTGAACACTGCTGGAACACATTTTTGCCCGGGAGTTGGGAGTGCTGAAGCATATTCCAGCACCGTGCCAGTCCAAAAAGTTGGGGGTGCTGCAGCACCCACAGCAGCCCCGTTCCCACGGGCTTGTGAGGATCCAGGACAATTGGCGCTTGAAAGTTTTACGCTTGTCTTAAGTAACTTTTCTGAAAACAGATGTACGTCATAACCCTTGTTTATAAGGCTAATTGGCTAAGTGATCCCAACGATAATTATTGATATCACTGACGGAATTTGACTCGCTTGAAATCTTTCTCGGCCCCTTGTACTGCTAGGAAAAAAAAAAATCTTAGTCGGTATTATGAAACGATAACATGGTATGCAGGGCATTATAGTACCACTCCTCTGAGAAACCCCCCGCCCCCGAAAAAAAATCTGCTTTTCTCATCATAGCATTTGTTTTCAAGTCTTGAGGTGTTTTGACAAAAGATATCTTAAAATCCTAGATCAACCCTGGATCCACCATCCTTGGGGTTGATACGCTATGAAGCCTACTGAGGGGAGATCCCCGAAAAAAAAAAGTCAAGTGAGCGGCACTTATCTCAAATAGTTGCAGGATGTATGTATTGTGATCAAGAAGTCGTGACATTTTGCCCAAACTCTTAAGGCGGCTTTTAACCTTCTTTCCGAGTTGGTTTGTGTTATGCTTCAAAACATTTAATCGTGTATGGCCAAAGTTTTGAAACCTCCATTTGGTTTGCATCCGATGAGTGATTCAGAAGTCGGAGATGAAGTCTTCCAAACACTGTTGTAAAAGCACTGCAAAAAATACGGATAAATTAATATGTATTTTTATATTCCTGGACGGATTTTGTGCGGCCATAATTTAGACCCTAACGTTAAAATGATACAATCTGAAGTTGTTTTGATGTCAGGGTGCCACACCCAACAAAGAGAAACAACTTAACAAAAACCTGCAAATCGTAGTACCGAAATGAGACTTATTAGAGTTTCGACTGACTTGTGACGGCTACGATAAGATGCCACATAGTGAGAGATAAGTTGGTGCGATTTTTATCTCTTTTTTTACCAGTATTATAATGCGCCGTTGCATTAGAGAAGAGCAAATCCATCCCACGCTAGGTGTGTCCCTTTTAGTCCCACTTCGGGTGCTGGAACTTGACCTAAACACGTAAACTGGGATTTTGGAGAAAAACAAAACAAAAAAAACCTACAAAAAAGTATTTGTTGCAAACTTTATGACTGCACAATACGCCTGAACAATTATAATGAAATGATCCTACGACCACTGATCTGTAAACAAAATTAATAAAGGGCATGATACGTCACTGTCCTGATGAATAAAACCAAGGCTATGCGATGCATGCGACACTGTGGGATTTGGGTGTGTTTGACATTTGACCAAGGATGCGAAACAGCAAGGTGGGTGTTGGGACGTACGCCAAACTAAAACAAGTCAACCGCAACGGGTGATTTTTAATTTAGTTTGTCAATATCTTTGTATATTTTGGGCGGCGTGATACAAAACACTGAGATATAATTTGAGGCTTTGCATGGTGGAGATATTAATGAATAAAAGGTTTGCGGAAACACCATGTGGGAATAATTTCTCAAACGAAGATAATGGTTCTTTTCCAGAACTATTGTCTTAGTTTGAGAAATTATGAGGCAATTCTCTAGCTCTTAGTTTGAGTAAGTATTACCACTTGGTGAAAAGCCACCTTTGTTCATGTCTAAAACCAGGAAGGTTGTTTTCTATTCAAGTGTATACATCATAGTTGAAGTCATTGGTGTACTTTTTGTTTTCAAATACTAGCTCTCACCTACGGGAGTAGTATGGGAAATCATTTTCTCGGAAGATTCCTTATTTTGATGGCAAATGAAATATGTGAGAAATGTGTGTTTTTTTTTTAGTAGTGCTACATAGCAAGTACCGACTGCCAAAGCAACTTAAATTAGTCCCAACTTACATTAAAAGTGCTATTCTGTGCTCTTTAAAAAAAAGATGGATTTTCCCCTCTTAATTTGTCTGTTTTGGTTTAACGAAAAAAAAGTACTTTATTATATTCCAATTGTACGCGTTTGCAACCCTCTGAAACTGACTTTTACAAAATTAATGAACCCGCCCTATACGTACGAGAGCCGAATATTGTCTGTCTGTCAGCCAGTAATTCGGATTTTGGGAAGAAATAATTCAATGACCAAATATTGGTGGGTTTTTAAGCTCTGACAGGAGATAATTCTACATGTCACTTGGTGGTCGGTCCGTCAGATGGTCTGTCTGTCTGTCTGTACCCGAAAATTGACCAAAAGGATAATTTTGATCGATTTCATAATGCATCGCGAGAGGGCGCCTCCAATTCTTCGTCTAAAATTAGAACAAAATCACGTGGTAATGTTGTTGTCTGTCAGGTGCATAGATATGGTCAGGTGGTATTGCCAAACTGCACTGCAGGTCGTCAGACTTCGTGTGTAAACACGCTCAAATTTGTATTATTGTTTTGTTTTATTTCGACAGGGAGATGACTATGCACTGGACTTCAGTCTGGACCCTGTTTATGAGTATCGCAATCCACAGGGAATTCGAGGATTGAGGTATATGATTGTCACTGTTTTGTCAGTCACAACGGCAAGACGTATTTATTTGTTTTAAAAAAACCTAGTCCGCGTCCGAACCTAGCTTGAGTAACTCCAGCTGACATGGTCCATATTCATTCACATGTTACATGTGAATGAATATGGAGCATGTCAGCTGGAGTTACTCAAGCTAGTCCGAACCGACATTTGGGACTCTCAATACAAATTACTGTGTATGAGTGACATTGACTAGTCCGATCAAGCTAAGTGAGTCGTTTGTCTACCTTGGTCGTTTTGTTTTTTTACAGATCTAAAAAGAGTGCAATCTCAGCATTAGTCTGCTGTGAAAACCGCATGCTGGTAGCCTATGTTTAGTTAAAAATATGGAAGTCTGAACACCAAGAGATGTGATGAAGTGATGTAATGAAGTGGCCCTATTTTGGCCTGAATCTCCAAATGAAAGATCTCGACAAACAACTCATTTCGCTTGATCGCATCACATATGTTGGGCGTGATCGGTGGATCTGCGCGATCAGTAGATCACGCTGCACTATAGGTCGAACACACCGCCATCAGTCGATTGCGCTGCCATCAGTCGATCAAGTGTTCTCTCATCCACGGCTCTGGAGGATTGGTTGATAGAGGGAAGCAAATTTTGAGATTTCTGAATTAATAATTCACGACTTTGGCTCTATATTTCCTCCCTCCTAGTAAGGAAAATAGCGTGTTGGTATTTGCAAGGCAAGTACTTGCACCCAATTAAATTTTTGGACTAGGTAGACAACATGCCAACTCGCAACCAGATAATTCTAATGTTGCCTTCTTTTTCTTTTTCATCTGACCGGCAGGGCATTTCGTCCTTCAGCCCAGTCCCGGCCAGTTCACTTCGTTCGAAAACCCCCGCTGTACGCTGCAGCCGCTGCCCCAGCTGCAGCAGCGGGACCGGCCACCCCTCTGGTCTTTGCTGTCTCAGCAGTCGTCATTCTTGTACTCGGAGCATTCATCGGCATTCCTTTGGCAGTGATTTTTGGAGTTGTTTTGCCAAGTAAGTTTGAAAGGTGTACACAGCAACCTAACTATAACCCACAGTCTTTAACATACTAAGACAAGATAAGTTTGCGGTAGCACCATGTGAATAAATCTCTTTTGTGAGTATGTGTGGTTCTGAAAAGAACAGTTTAGAAATTTACGCGGTGCAACATTATTGCCGAGTTACTGTGCCCGATACGACCAGCCAAGTCAACCAACCAAGTCAACCAACTGCGCAAACATGCTTGTTATTATTATTATTATTATTATTTATTCGGCCAAATTACAAGGTACAACAAGCAATTCACAAAAGTTAACAAAACTAAACAAAAACAATCCAATCCAAGCTGGCCAGGATTGACAAAAGTATAATAAAACACTGTGACTCGAAAGCCTGTCAATCCTAACTTGAATGGTACATGTAACATACAAAATATAATAAAAATTATTATTAAAAATAATACTTAAAAAGATAAATAGATTTAAAAGATTACATTTTCTCAAGGCAAGAATAGCTGGCATAAAAACCTAACAACTGCAGATTATACAAGACTGGGGAAAAACAGACAAACAAGCCAAAACAAAACTAACAAACACCCCAACAATCTAAGAAACAAAACAAGACAGGATAAGACTAAACAAAATGTAACAAAACAAGTCAAGACAAGAGACAAGACAAAGAGACAAGACAAGACAAAACGAAACAAAACAAAACAAGACAAGACGAAACAAAACAAAAAACAAACAAACAAGACAAGACAAGACAAGACAACAACAACCACATAACAACATAAAAACACAGAACGAAAGATTGATACAGTAAACAAAATAATTTACAATGAAATAACAATAAATAATAATAATAAGCAATAAAAACCTGAAAGAGAAAAGTAAAAAATACAGTTGGCATGCGAGAAAAACTACGTCAAAAAAATATCCATCCAATGAACAAGAAAAGCAACAACAAAAGTATCAATAACAAAATAAATACAAGTAATAATAAATGATAAGCAACCGGAAAAATAGGCCTGAAAACCAACATTATTTCAGACATAAATAAATGAATAAATAAACAAACTTAACCACAAAAGAGGAAAATAATATAAAATAAAATAACAATGAAATAAAAGAATGATGGCAGTTTACAGTGGAAAAATATACACATGAAATTACTTTAAAAAGATTATCGCCCACAGTCTCTAACATGTAGGCCCACCAGTAGGTAACGTTATGAGTCTTCATCGCCACACCATACGGTATGATTCACAACGGAGAGGCGACAATTTTAGGTGGCGCGGGTAAATTCAGGCACAAAAAGCGAACACAGTTGCCCAAACCAGACATACGTTGTTTTTGTTCCAAGCGGGGTCAGTTTCAGGTCAGTTCCAGGTCGTTTTTTTTTTTTTTTGGCTGGAGTTTTTGTCAGCTGGTCGAGTCAGATTTGGATTTTTTGGTTTAGGTTTGGATTCGGTTTATATTAATGTTTCGGGTCGCTGCACTACATTAGTAGATGCTACATTCAACAAGGCAACACCCTCTGGGTTAATTATAGTGATAGTGCCAAGACTCCAGTAGTTGTGGGTGACTTCAGTAGACTTTACACCACAAATACAGCACTTGACTTGACCAAACAAAACCCCAACTGATTTCAAATAAAACCTTTTCTCTTCCAAAACAGATTCCACTGGAGTGTCTGAGGGTGAGTTCAATTCTTACTAAAAGTTTTTAAAAAGTGGCTACTCCAAAAAATACTTGCAAAGTTCACACCCATCTTATTATTCAAATTAGGTTTTGCCCTTCACCGACATATAAACACTGTATACTCAGTGTGTTACCTCCCGAGTGAAAGTTGGAAAAAAATCACTTGGGTGGGACTCGAACCCACGACCTCCTGCTTTCTAGTGCAGATGTCTTATCACTCGACCACCGAGCTAACGGGATCGGTTAGCTGGTTTATACATCGGTGAAGGGCAAAACTTAGTTTAATTTACATCACCCCAATGCAAAAATTCCATCTATGAATAGGAAACTTATTATTGAAAAAAACCCCAGACAAATCAACTTTGACAAACGCAAGGGGGATCAGAAAAAAATATGCCAATGGATATGGATTGTGTACATATAACGATTTTTTTTTCTCGGTTTAGGAACGACACAGCAACCAGTTATTCCTCCAGTAGATCCACCCATTGTCAACCCAGTCACAGGTAAGAAAGCCACCATGACTGGCCTCTCCGCTTAATAATATAGGAGTGTTTTTGCCTTGGCCTCCATGTATGTCATTGGGTGGGGGGAAAAAAAGTAATTGCTTTTGTCCCCAAACCACACCCACCATTGTTATCATTTGGGTGATTTTATTCAGGATGGAGAAAAATAGGGCTGCATAGTATACAAATATTGAGTGGTTCAGCGTGGAATGGGAGGAATATTATCGCAAGGTAAATCTGGACTTTTCCATTTCACGAGGCGAAGCTGAGTGAACTGGAAAAGTCCAGATTTTACCGAGCGATGGGAGCAATAACAAATGTCACATGATGTGAGTTCCACCAATCAAGTGACAAGGATCTGTATGTCAGTTGTATAATGAACAAATCATGCACAAATAGAATAAGTAGAAACTATTGTTCCAGTTTTTCGCCCTTAATTATGCCAAACATATATATCAGAAACCATTTATTAAAGAATTTTGATGGAATATGGTCTCAAAAACAGTCCCTCCGGCACGGAGAACCCTCCTCTTGAGATGTCCAGATGACATCACGGAGGAGACCCAAACGGGTCAGAACTACGCGATTGTCGGCTGGGATCCGCCCAGGGTACTCAGCCGAACAGAAGGTGCAGTGCAGATGACCTCTTCCAGACAGCCGTTGACACAGTTTAACATCGGGGTCAGGAGGGTCGAGTATACCGTGACCGATGCCGCCAACAATGCAGGAGCTTGTTCGTTTCAGGTCACAGTCGTCGGTAAGTGATAATCCTTTGATAATCTCAAATTCTGATCGACCCAACTTTTTTTGTTTGTTAGACGACCATCAATAAAGCTGTTTTGTTCCCGAGTTTCGTATTAGTTGCCTTGGGCAACAAAGGGCAATGATGCATAAATCCTATGACTCAGTTGAACTGTAACAACAGAAAGTGAATTTTTTCTCTTTTAATTTTTTTTTTTATTTGTCCTTATATTTGCCATGGAATGCCCAAGGTTATTTCCAAATCTTTTGTGTGTGAGGGGTGTTGTCAACAAATGGCAGATGATTTATTACTAGAAGAAGGTTGGATTGATGAACTCTAACCAACAAATTCTGCATTGTTAACGACCATGACACGAAGTGTAGGGATATTTTTCAAGGTAAACTCTTGTCCACCAAAAAAAGTAAAGACTATATTTATGCATTGCGTTCAAGTCAGGTGTTAGGCTGGCGGATTTGTACACAATATCTGTGTAGCAAAAGTTGACTTAAATGCTTGCCAGGCTCTTGGGAACGGGGGTGCTGGGGTGCTGCAGCACCCCCCAACATTTTGGTGGGGATGCTGGAATATGCTAAAGTACCCCCTAGAGATGAATACACATCTTGTCATAACAATCATCTTTAGACCTTACCTAAGCAAAAACAGAATGAAAAGTAAAAAAAAAAGGAAGTTTATTTCCTGTCATGTTGGCACTGTGTCGAGGGAATCAACGCAAGCCGCGCACCCCCTGCCCGCCCATACTAAACTAGCCACAGCGTCGGTTTTATAGGCTGGTTACGGTCCTATCTTGTTTACACAGTATCTTCATCATTAGTGGGCATGGATTATGCATGTAGCTACTCACGCTATTAAAGGCCAAAAAAAAAAAAGTCTCCGGTTTCTGGTATGGAGCTTGCCCAAAAAGTGGTGCGGCGACGCGGCTTTTTTTTTTTTACCTGATTTTTTTGCTTCAAATGTCGGCTGATGACTGCAAATGGTGCCCGACTAAACTTAGTGCAAATATATGGGAGTCCAGAGAGGCCACATAAAGCTTATTCTCGACCATAACCCAATCTAAAAACACGTTAAAATTGTGCAGCAGCAGGATTCCAGTCAAACCAGTGAGTTTGGCGGTTTTGAGACATCATCTTTCATTGAAAAAAAAACTTTTTCATTTTGCCGACGTGCATGGCTACTGCGATGCGCGCATACCAGAAACTGGAGACTTTTTTCTTTTGGCCTAAGTGTACATTGTATTCTTCTAGTTTTTACAAGTTTTAGAATTAACTAAGAATTATTTTTTTTGAAGAAGAAGTTAATATTTAAGTAGCGAATCCACCAAGGATAACACTCTACTTAAGGGTCAATGTAATTGTGTATATAGCTGTGGATGCTGGATTCCGAAATAACAATGCCAGTTGAATAAGGCAATGCTGCATTTCCTGCATAGAGTTGAAAATAACTGGTTCACACAACACAACTAAGAAATAATGGTGTTGTGGTAAACAATCTATACTTTATTTCCAGCATTTGTGATATAAAACTGGCAAAAAAAGCCAAATTTGATAAGTGTTTCGAGTGGGCAATTTACTGGTGCCTCGTAGAATTTTTATTTTTTATTATCGTAATGGACATGACTATATAACTCTGACTCCATTATTGTTGTCATTTTTCAGACAATGAGCCGCCTTCCATTCAGTGCCCACCCAATATGACCGTGCCCACCGACCTGCTGTCCAACTCGGCGCGAGTGTTCTGGCCGGCGCCAACCATCACCGAAAACTCTGGTATTGTGAGCATACGGCAGGTTACCGATGAGCCGGGGGACCAGTTCCACGTCGGCCTGCACGTGGTCACCATTGTCATCCACGATGGAGCTAACAACGAGAATAGGTGTTCCTTCAACATCATAGTGCAAGGTACCAAAAAGAGACTTCAAATTGTAAAATTGCAGAAACTTTGATATTTGAGGGAAAAAAAATCTGTTTTTACCAGCCATGCACTTGTTCTCTTTCACATTAAGTGGGTTCAAACTCTGACGGGGGACATGGTGCTTGTGTTCTTGGGCAAGACGCTTTACTACAATTTCCTCTCTCCACCCAAGATTATAAATGGACACCTGTGAAGGCAGATTGCACTGACCAGAAAACTGGACTTATGGCCTGAGGAACAGGAGTAATGATTGCCAAGCACTTTGAGACATTCAATGGTATAAAGCCATGAGCACCAAATTATTAATATTATTATTTCGGTCTTTCACAACGAGCTAAGATGTCTTATATTATCTGTTACCCCAAATCGAGTTTAGCTGCATTCCACAGCCTCAGACTTCATATGTCTTACGTAGGATCCACGCTGTTCCTAGAAGAGCTGCCTTTTATAGCAATTCCACCTTGTGCCAATCTCATCCAGATGTTTCGCCGGAGACCTGGGAATAGTACCCAGGGCCACACTTCGACTGGAATCACCTTGACCTGTACTTTCCAAACTTTCAGTGTTCCGTCGCCAAAAGAAACCAAATGAAAGACTGTCTTCACTTTCCCCTCACACATCCCACACATTTGGGATACATTCACTCTCTCTATTCTTACATGCACTCTCTGTCATTACGTTCGTTCTCTCCATCTCTCTTATATTATTATTATGATTAGATCGTGAAGACCCACGCCTGACCTGTCCTGATACCATCGTAGCGTATACCAACCAGCCTGCGACTGGTACAGCCCCTGCTAGCTGGCCGGACCCCGTCGTGCGAGACAACAGCTTGAGTGTACTGACGGCGACGTGTGCACCGGCCAGCGGGTCGGCGTTCCAATTTGGAACGACACAAGTAATCTGCAACACCATGGACGCTGCTGGAAATGACGATAGTTGCATGTTTGACGTCATGGTGCGATTCAATGGTAAGAGGCCTATTGTGAGCCTAAAGTTGTTCAATATGAGTTTTATCAAAGAGACCATAAATGGATGGTACTGATGATTAATAATTACATACTTTCAATGTACAAAAAGTTCTTGTTATAGCAGGGGTAATTCTCAAGGAGTAATAAGGCTTTGACTGTCTGTTCTTAATGTAAAGGATGCTTGAAACAATGCTGTGAAATGCCGATTTAATGTTGTGTTTATCAGGATGGGTAAAAAGAAATCTACCGAAAATCCCCAGAATACTATTTCGGGAAAACAAAATGGCATTATTTTGGTGGAAGTTTGTCACCCAGTTTTTGTTTCGGATCTTGAAATCTGCTTGTCACCAAATAACTCTGGAGCTCCAATTTAACTTCAGTGCATTTTAATTTGTTTCACGTGTAAATATCTGAATTTCTGCAAGTTTTGGCAAGAGCCACATTGTCATCATCGAGGAGGGTTATTTATCTTTCACTGTGATCTGCTACAGAGACTGTGATTTATTGTTTTTGTTTTATTCCGTAACAGATACTGAACCGCCAATGTTCATGAACTGCCTGTCTGACATTGTTGTAAATGCTACTGAGGACTCTGACAGTGCATTTGTGACCTGGGTCGCACCCACTGCTAATGACAACTCGCTAGAAGCTCCTACGATTACTGTGAACACGGGGCCCAATCGTCAATACAGCATCGGCACCTATCAGGTACGTGAACAACAAAGCTTCAAGATCATTCCTGTTGAGTCCTCACATATCAGTCAACAATAGACATACAGACATATTTTATAATAATGATAATGTGGTGTTATATAGTGCTTTATACCTAACTTATCAAAATGCTTCACAATTATTACCCCTGTTCATCAGGCCCTGAGACAATATCAAAAAAGAATCGAGTAATAACTAGATTTGCATGCAATTTTGAAAATGTTCCCAATTTCATTTGTTGAATCAGGTGATTTACACAGCTTTAGATTCTCAGGGGAATGTCGGCGAGTGCAGATTCACTGTACGGGTACAAGGTACGTTGACAGAGGCCAATTTTATTGTTATTATTATTATTATTTATTTCTGGTTGTAAAACAAGGATTCCTCAAAAGCGCCCCAGGCACTGTAGTTCGCATGCCTGAAGAAACCTGAAGAAACCTGTAGAGAGGAGACAGTGCGAAGAAATCACAGTTTTAGAGGTGGGAGGAAAACCCCAGAAGAATGTTCTGGGGAAAACCAACGGATTCAGACAGGGTCTGAAAACCTAATCCATAAAATGTTGACCCTGACAGTAATTCGCACCCGAAGAAAGTATGTAAACCCTAGAACCACACTATCTGTTACTCCTTTTATCGCCCCAAGTCGCCGAGCGCTGAATAGTTTTATGGATTAGTCAGTGAATAAATACAATGTAATACAATGTATTACAGGTGCCAAAGGGTTAGTACGCTACAGGTCGTTTGTTTTGTTGTTGGATTCCATACAGACGTCCAAGATCCTGTCATAATGTGCCCGGCCAACTTCACTCAGAACACCAGCCCGGGACAGCCTGACGCCATAGTCGTCCTACCTGCTGCTACAACAAGTGACAACTCTATGACATCATTGATGGTTACTACCGATCCATCTGGGTCTCCTGTCCTTGGTATCGGTGACCATACAGTCACATATACAGTCACTGATGACAGTGGGAATTCTGCATCTTGTGATATCACGGTCACGATCGAAGGTCAGTAGAATTGCCCAGTTGTTATAACTTTTGTCTGTAGGCCTGGGTTGAGCTTGTAACGCAAAGTTTTAACATCATGGCAAGTAGTCACACTGGGAATTTGCAAAAGTTGAATGTATTTCGATTTTGCTACAACTAATTCACGTCATGGATCTAGATTTGCATTTGAATTTCCGTGAATATGAACCAGTCGTTGAGATATTCAGGCCATTTTTTTTATGGTTGCAGTTACGCAAGCAAGTTTCATGAGAACAATGTGACTATGATCTGATTCGAACAATTGATACTGTGTTAGAAAAGTGAAAGACATTTGAAGCTGAAATTCTTGTGTTTTTTTTCCCTTTTCTTAAACCAGATATGGAACCACCCACCTTCACACCGCTCTCTGACATTGTCGTATCACCTGACGAAGGACAGCTGTTCGCCAATGTCACCTTGCCGTTGGTGTCAAATCGGGCAGACAACTCTGGGGGACCGGTCACAGTCACTGTATCACCGTCCAATAGCGACATGTTACCGATAGGAATGCATGACTTCATGTACACTGTTATGGACATCTACGGGAACAGCGTAACGTTCACGATTACCGTCACTGTTCGAGGTAAGTAATAAAAATGTAACTTGTCAGAGAGAAGTTTGGAATGATTCTTTAAATAATGTGCAGTGTATATGCTTAGTTCATTTTGTTTATCTGTTTAAACATCAAATGTTACAAAATATTAACCTCACCTCACAACGTTTGCTTGATTCAGATATGGAGCCTCCAAGCTTTATGCCTCCGTCTGATTTTACGGTACCAACTGACGATGGACAATCATCTGCCATTGTCAGCCTTCCGTTGCCAACCGATGTGACAGACAATTCAGGGGAACTTGTTACCATCATGACCTCACCAGCCAACAACAGCATGCTGAGCATAGGACCAAATGTCGTTATGTACACTCTAACGGACATCTACAGCAACACCGTGACGTTTACCATCACTATCACAGTTGAAGGTTAGTTGAGAAAGTTAGTTGCTCAACCGATGATATCATAAACACAGCATTGTTGTACTTCAGTTCAGAAGTGTGTCGTATAAAAAGCAAACCCACTCCCATGTGAGTCCAAGACTATACAAAAAACAAGGCTTGTCCCAAGGGTAAAAACAATTTCAGGCGTTCTGTCAAAATGAGACACAATTGGGCAGAGGACAAAATGAGAGTTTGTGGGTATATATAGGAAAGAAAATTCAATTCTGCTTGCAGTGCTATTTGTTGCACTTTAATTGGACATTCCGTTGACAAGTAATAGGTATTTAAAGTTTGCATTTGTCGACATGTCAAAAAAGTAAAATACTGAGAAAAAGGCCTTCAATGTTTTGACTGTTTTGTAGTCATGAGCATTGAAGATGAATAATGGTATTAATTTTCTTAAAACCTTTTTTTACTCCACGATTTCTATAGTGTTGAAGTACTGTAGACACATCAAAGACTAAAAATCTTAAGCAATCTGAAATTCACAGAAAAATCACCACCATTTTTTTTTTTTTTTTTGCATTTTTCTCCACTATGGCCCTTGCCAAGTTCCAACTCATTTTGCCATAACGCCTCACAAATATAGTTTAGCCGGTTTGCATGGAGCATGCACATGTATCGTTAAAGTACCTGAAACATTTGTTTGAAGTTGAAAGCATTGTGTGAGAGTAGGAAAGCTGTGTATATTTCCCTGATGAAATGGCGTATTAAACATTTGACTTGTTTCATTAATATGCATGCAGCATGACCTATAAAAGTTGAAAGTTAAATTAAAACAATGTTCCAGAATTATTACAACTTTGTATTCAAATTTGAATTTTCCATCCCAAATAAAGTATATTCAAGAATCATACGTTTTGTAGTACGCCAATTATGCTAGTAACGTACTACTAAAAAATGGCTTGGTTCCTTTTGAACAATTTAACCAACGCAGTTCCCAATACAAAGTGCATTTCATTTTTGTGAAGGAACTTGGGCATGACTTTCACAATTCTGGGATGTAAATTTTTAATTCAGATTTGGAGGATCCTGTCATAATGTGCCCGGGCAACTTCACTCAGAATACCGACTCCACACAGCCTGACGCCACGGTCACTCTACCTGCTGCTACAACAAGCGACAACTCTATGACATCATTGACGGTTACTACCGATCCATCTGGGTCTCCTGTCCTTGGTATTGGTGACCATACAGTCACATATACAGTCACTGATGCCAGCGGGAATCCTGCATCCTGCAATATCACGGTCACGATCGTAGGTTAGTTTGTGAAGTTACTGGTCATACATTGTGCTGTGCAATAAACATATGATCGATTGCATGAAACTTGGCATAGGTGGTGCAAAGTTTTTAACATTGTTCAATGCTGCACGCCTTAAGCCCGGTTCATACTCGGCGCGAAAGCGAATGCAAATGCGAATTTGTGACGTCGTGGCAAGTATTCGTGCTGCGAATTCGTAAAAGTTGAACATATTTCAACTCGGCCGAATTTTGCAGCAAATGCTTCGTGAAGTCAAATTCGTTTCGCATTCGCATTCGCGTGAAGTATGAACCGGGCTTCACGCATCACATTGTGATGGGAGTGGAGTAATGTCATTGCATGAAGTTTCTCAAAATCGGTTGCAGGTCACAAAATAAGCTTGTGCAATTTTAAATAGGATGAAAGTATATTTGGTCTGTCAATTTTCATTGAATCTAGATAACGAGCCTCCTAGCTTCACGCCTCCGTCTGATTTCACGGTTTCAACTGACGATGGACAATCATCTGCCATTGTCAGCCTTCCGTTGCCAATCGCTGTGACAGACAATTCAGGGGAACTTGTTACCATCATGACCTCACCAGCCAACAACAGCGTGCTGAGCATAGGACCAAATGTTATTATGTACACTCTAACGGACATCAACGGTAACACTATGACGTTTAGTATTACTGTCACAGTTGAAGGTGAGCCACTCCAGGAATTTCAAGTCAGTCCAGCCCAACCCAACCAAATCCAACAGAAAACAACTAAACCAAACTAAACCCAGCAGCACAAATCAATCCAACCCAACCAAAACTTAACCCAAGCCGACCCAACAACTCAACCCAACCAACCCAACCAACTCCACCCAACCCAACTCCACCCAACCCAACCCAACTCCACCCAACCCAACCCAACTCCAACCAACTCCACCCAACCCAACCCAACTCCAGCCAACCCAACCCAACTCCAGCCAACCCAACTCCACCCAACCCAACCTAAATCCACCCAACCCAACCCAACCCAACCCAACCCAACCCAACTCCACCCAACCCAACCCAACTCAACTACACCCAACCCAACCCAACCCAACCCAACTCCACCCAACTCCACCCAACTCCACCCAACTCAACCCAACTCCACCCAACCCAACCCAACTCAACCCAATTAACCCAACCCAACTCCACCTAACCCAACCCAACTCCACCCAACCCAACCTAAATCCACCCAACCCAACCCAACTCCACCCAACCCAACCCAACCCAACTCCACCCAACCCAACCCAACCCGCTCAACTCAACCCCACCTGACCCAACCCAACACAACCCAGCCTAACATGACCCGACCCAACCAATTCTTCACCCAATCTAAGTGCAAGTTCATGAATGGCAAGTTATTCATTAGATGGAATGTTAGCCTTTTCCCCCTTTTTCCCCTTTTTTGTTTGTGATGCTTTTTTGAAATTCATTTTGTTCATGTCAGATTTCAGTTTTACATCATAAAAACCTGACGCATTTCCCTTTCAATTTATTGAATTTAATTCCATGTAGATCGCTTGCCCAGCCAGCTTGGAGGGAATGCTTTCGTTTTTTTCAAGGCAACCTTTTCCTTGACTTTTTCAACAGATAACCAACCACCCAACCTGGTGTGCCCAGCTAACATCACCAGGCCAACAGATGAGGGCATGGCATTTGCCAATGTGACCTATGACCCGCTGGTTCTGACCGATAACGATGGCAACACGCCCGCCCTGACCACAGACTACCAGGGGGGAGATATCTATGACATTGGAGAGACCATCATCACGTTGACTGCACGAGATAATGGTGGCAATGAGATTAGTTGTACATTCTCCATCACTGTCATAGGTGAGCTGAATTTGCCCCAAAAGTCTTTACATTCTGTAAAAATCAGGAATTTCTCAGAACTGGAGCAAAACTTTTTACTTTGGCAAAGATTAGTTTACGCAACCTAGAAAGCTACAGTAAGGATTTTCAAAGACAAATTACTAAAGCCCCACTGCATTGTCTCGAATTACGACTTCCTTTGAGTTCCGTTTGATGTACGGTTGTTCCATTTAGATTCGGAGGATCCAGTGATCATTTGTCCGGCCAACATCACTCAGAATACTGACTCCGGACAGCCTGACGCCACAGTCATCCTACCTGCTGCAACAACAAGCGACAACTCTATGACATCATTGACAGTTACTACCGATCCATCTGGGTCTCCTGTCCTTGGTATCGGTGACCATACAGTCACATATACAGTCACTGATGACAGTGGGAATTCTGCATCCTGCAATATCACGGTCATGATCATAGGTCAGTTTGTGTTTTCCAGATTTGAGCATTTAGTTCTGAAGGAATTAAATGCATTATCATTTTGAAATGTATTTAATCATTTGAATTAACTCAGGCAAAAATAGCCATATTTTCTTTTGATTATGTAAAAACTGTTATGTCCACGTAGGCTTTGTAAATGCTCAAAGGATTATGCTCAAAGGATTTGCCTTTGAGAAATGTCTTGCTTAAGACTGAAAATAACCAGTCAGTTTGTTTAAATCACATACAATGACTTCCCAACAGAAAAGCAAAAAAAACAAAAATTCATTATGGGATCATAGGCATCAATACATGACATATATAACCTTAAGAAAACAATAACGATGTCAATGAACGTTCCATGTGACCCAGGTAAGTTGATGTTAATAGAGTGGTGTTATGTCATGGAATTAGGCATGGTTGCGAGGCATTTGTGTTTTTTAACACTACTTTTCTTGATTTTGGTTTGTTTTGGTTTTGGCTTTTCCGCATAGTTGTGGAAAAGCTTTTGTTTTTGGTCTGATTTTTTCTTTTTGTTTCTTTTTGTTCGTCTATCTCAAATAGTTTGTTGTTTAATCTCTTGTTTTTGTTGTTGTTATTGAAGGGTTAGGGGAGTAGAGGTTTAAATCCAAGTTCTTAATACTGATGATGCAGCCTCCTTGAATATTATAAAACATTTATATCTTGAAGGAAAAAGTTGTGTGAAGTGGCAGTGCCTCACATTCTCTCTGTCCTTTCATTTTGTGGACACAAAAAGGCACTAAAAACCAGATCATTGTTTTTTTCAAAATGTATTAAGATTTGGTTCATTCATTTCTTTCATTCTTTGAACAGATGTGGAGCCCCCAACGTTCACGCCCCCATCCAATTTTACAGTATCAACAGGACTCTCTAATTCCCTGGTCTTTTTCCCACTGCCGACGGACCTGTCAGACAACGGGGGAGGCGAGATTACCGTCACAACCTCCCCAGTTAATGGCACGGTGCTGCCCATCGGGATCCACGTGATAACCTACACGATTGTCGATGTCTTTGGGGTGATTGTGCAGTTCACTATACAGGTCACGATCGTGGGTAAGTTATCACAACAAAGAAGCCTTGGTATCAAGAAAAACTACCCTGCACAATTTTTTCGTTTGCAACAGAAAAGTGTATCATATTGCATTTAGTCGTTTAATTCTTGTCTACAAATGCAAGCATTTCAGGCATTTAAAAAAATAGCCCTCCTATGCAAACATGCATTCTGTGTTCAGTTGTCCGTTCAGTCAAAATCAGTCAAGTGACTGTGTTTTACAGTTGAGAGCTCCCAAACTTGAAATATGATCTGACTGTTGGTGACTAGCCTGTACAAAAGGCATGGCAGGGGAAGTGGATGAAATTTTCGAATGTCAGTGACTGTTCATACAGTAGGGAGGTTAAGGTTCGAAAGTGTGACATTTTCTTGTCCCTTTTCCCTTGTTACTTTGTAATTGGCCATTCAAGTATTAAAGAATGACTTCAAATGATGTTTTGTTTGGCAGTGTAGGGGGGGGGGGGGGCACACGTCCCCCCATAAAAAGTTTGTGCCCCCCCCCCACTGGAAATTTGAAATCCGGAATAAAACACAGCCGTATGAACCCCAAATTCAGAAAGATAATCAGATAATCTTATTGAGGTTAAAGTTTGGAGGGAATGCTTTTTTTTTTTTCAAGGCAACCTTTTCCTTGACTTTGTTAACAGATAACCAACCACCCAACCTGGTGTGCCCAGCTAACATCACCAGGCCAACAGATGAGGGCATGGCATTTGCCAATGTGACCTATGACCCGCTGGTTCTGACCGATAACGACGGCAACACGCCCGCCCTGACCACAGACTACCAGGGGGGAGATATCTATGACATTGGAGAGACCATCGTCACGTTGACTGCACGAGATAATGGTGGCAATGAGATTAGTTGTACATTCTCCATCACTGTCATAGGTGAGCAGAATTTGTCCCAAAAGTCTTTAAATTCTGTAAAAATCAGGAATTTCTCAGAACTGGAGCAAAACTTTTTACTTTGGCAAAGATTAGTTTACGCAACCTAGAAAGCTACAGTAAGGATTTTCAAAGACGAATTACTAGAGACCCACTGCATTGTCTTGAATTACGACTTCCTTTGAGTTCCGTTTGATGTACGGTTGTTCCATTTAGATTCGGAGGATCCAGTGATCATTTGTCCAGCCAACATCACTCAGAATACTGACTCCGGACAGCCTGACGCCACAGTCATCCTACCTGCTGCAACAACAAGCGACAACTCTATGACATCATTGACAGTTACTACCGATCCATCTGGGTCTCCTGTCCTTGGTATCGGTGACCATACAGTCACATATACAGTCACTGATGACAGCGGGAATCCTGCATCCTGCAATATCACGGTCATGATCATAGGTCAGTTTGTGTTTTCCAGATTTGAGCATTTAGTTCTGAAGGAATTAAATGCATTATCATTTTGAAATGTATTTAATCATTTGAATTAACTCAGGCAAAAATAGCCATATTTTCTTTTGATTATGTAAAAACTGTTATGTCCACGTAGGCTTTGTAAATGCTCAAAGGATTATGCTCAAAGGATTTGCCTTTGAGAAATGTCTTGCTTAAGACTGAAAATATCCAGTCAGTTTGTTTAAATCACATACAATGACTTCCCAACAGAAAAGCAAAAAAAACAAAAATTCATTATGGGATCATAGGCATCAATACATGACATATATAACCTTAAGAAAACAATAACGATGTCAATGAACGTTCCATGTGACCCAGGTAAGTTGATGTTAATAGAGTGGTGTTATGTCATGGAATTAGGCATGGTTGCGAGGCATTTGTGTTTTTTAACACTACTTTTCTTGATTTTGGTTTGTTTTGGTTTTGGCTTTTCTGCATAGTTGTGGAAAAGCTTTTGTTTTTGGTCTGATTTTTTCTTTTTGTTTCTTTTTGTTCGTCTATCTCAAATAGTTTGTTGTTTAATCTCTTGTTTTTGTTGTTGTTATTGAAGGGTTAGGGGAGTAGAGGTTTAAATCCAAATTCTTAATACTGATGATGCAGCCTCCTTGAATATTATAAAACATTTATATCTTGAAGGAAAAAGTTGTGTGAAGTGGCAGTGCCTCACATTCTCTCTGTCCTTTCATTTTGTGGACACAAAAAGGCACTAAAAACCAGATCATTGTTTTTTTCAAAATGTATTAAGATTTGGTTCATTCATTTCTTTCATTCTTTGAACAGATGTGGAGCCCCCAACGTTCACGCCCCCATCCAATTTTACAGTATCAACAGGACTCTCTAATTCCCCGGTCTTTTTCCCACTGCCGACGGACCTGTCAGACAACGGGGGAGGCGAGATTACCGTCACAACCTCCCCAGTTAATGGCACGGTGCTGCCCATCGGGATCCACGTGATAACCTACACGATTGTCGATGTCTTTGGGGTGATTGTGCAGTTCACTATTCAGGTCACGATCGTGGGTAAGTTATCACAACAAAGAAGCCTTGGTATCAAGAAAAACTACCCCGCACAATTTTTTCGTTTGCAACAGAAAAGTGTATCATATTGCATTTAGTCGTTTAATTCTTGTCTACAAATGCAAGCATTTCAGGCATTCCAAAAAATAACCCTCCTATGCAAACATGCATTCTGTGTTCAGTTGTCCGTTCAGTCAAACTCAGTCAAGTGACTGTGTTTTACAGTTGAGAGCTCCCAAACTTGAAATATAATCCGACTGTTGGTGACTAGCCTGTGCAAAAAGCATGGCAGGGGAAGTGGATGGAATTTCTGACTGTCTGTGACTGTTCATACAGTAGGGAGGTTAAAGTTCGAAAGTGTGACATTTTCTTGTCCCTTTTCCCTTGGTACTTTGTAATTGGCCATTCAAGTATTAATGAATGACTTTAAATGATGTTTTGTGTAGCAGCGTAGCTGGGGGGGGGGGGGGGGGGTGGGGGGGGGTGCCGCAGGCCCCCCCCCCCCATAAAAAGATCCAGAACAAAAACAGCCGTATGAGTCATCGTGATTAGCGTATTTTTAACCAAATCCCTTTCTTGTCAAGAGTGGTTGTTTTATTTTAACATCCGTAGAAAGTGAAAAGGGGTAGTTATTGTCTAACATTAACCATGATATAGGTTTTGAACAGCGCACCCACTGGAAGATGGTGTTCCCCCCCCCCCCCCCTTACTAATTGATTTTACGGAAGTCGGGTGTCCGGTGAAAAAAGACCCTGGCTACCTTTGAGCACACATGAAACGTTTGGGCGCTCTCCCATTGTAACCTCAAGCCCCCCCCCCCCCCCCAGATGAGAACCCTGGCTACACCACTGGTTTTCTTTGTTGTCGACCTCAATGTGTCTCTCTTTACTCAGGATTACAATTAGGTTCCAGTATATGCTGGGGAGTTACTTGTGATGGACTAAAATCCTATCCGAGGATGAGTTGATGGAATATTCTCAGTTTTTTTTGTACTCAAGAACATTGGCTAAACTCCGGCCCTCATGAGCATATTTGCTGGAGACAGACTTTAGACTCAACATCATTCATCTATTTCCTGCATGGTATGGTTGACATGGTTGACATGACTGCTGTCACAGCATGCCTGTAAACAAAATGGTTCAAATATGAGGATTGACGTATCTGTCGTGTCTGAGAAGCTGCAAATGTCTTTAACAAAGACGTCTTCTGATAGTGCCCAAGGAAGGCTGTCTCTAATTCGAGCCGAAATAGTATTGAGAGTGCAGGGGCTTCATCGTTTAAAAGGGGGAAAAAGGGCAGTTGAAATTGCTTTACAAGAGAAAAATGTTTAACTACTGATGAATTGGGAGGCCATATGGATCAGACACGGGGGGGGGGGGGGGGGGGGGGGGGGGGGGGAACGCTCCCAGAGACGAAGGGGCATACAAGCTCCATAACATCTATGATCAACTAGTCAAAACCACGCCCACAACGCCCTCTATGACACCAAGATGTATCAATTCGAAGGGCAAGCAATGGTTAGTAAAGCAGTGTTATCACGATGATTAATACTTAACAAAAAAACGTTCAATGGCACTGCTGCGCACGCGAAAGCTATAAGTAATGTTGCCCTGTGAAAACGCTCCTAGTCCGTCATTGCAGACGTCAGTTCCAACCTGTTTGAAATTTAAAAACAAAAGGGGGACCAACTCACACGCCAGCATCATGTGCACAGTGGACAATTTGAGCGGTGAGTTGGTTGTTTGTTTGTTTGTTTTGGGGCTTTATTAATTTGTGGTGTTGGTGTTTGTTTAAGGGACATCGTGACATGGACACTATTGCAGGGAAAATTATCGATTTAAAATATTGCTAGTGGTACGAGGGTAAATGATACTTCTGGTCATTTGCTGTCCTACATTAATTGATAAGACCTTTTGTTTTTCTAAATTATCAATTGTTTTGTGGACTTTTCCCCATTATCGTTAATGATTGCAACAGGTTAGATAGTTGTTTTTGAATTATTAATGAATGACTTTTATTTCTAGTTGTCTGTGAAATAAACCACCCATCTTGATTTGTGATGTATGGACTTTCTTTGACTGCAAGTGACTGGGCTTTGCCTGCTCTGCCTGGGTAGTTCTCCCCCCAAAAATTTGAATGTGTAAAGTTATCATGTCCTTCTGATATACATGATATTTGTCCTGTCGACTGTATGAACTCAATGTAGTTACTTTGTCTGATTTCCGTGATTTCAATTTGGTACACAAAGTGAATGTGCTGTTTGTTGGGTTGGTGGGGTGTTTGTTTGTTTGTTTGTTTGGGTTTTTTTTGGGGGGGGGGCTTCTTGATCCCGATGCTTTAGTTTTGTTAACATTTCATTTTGCTTATTTTGGATGACACTTTGTGATCAATTCATGCTTCTCGACACCTTGTGAATGACAGATTTCCTTTTGTCATGAGAATTTAGCCGAACCCATGGATCTGTAGTGTAGTCTAGATCTTGCAGTGTGCCTGTTACAAGTGGAGAAATTCAGTGTTTTTTGGGGGGACACTGTTTCCCATAGTCAAGTACAGGCACTGGAAAAGCTGACATTTCACGTGGATAGCATTTGTTTTGTCTTTTGGGTTTTAATTTTACTTTGAACCCCAAATTCAGAAAAATAACCAGATAATCTTATTGAGGTTAAGTTTAGAGGGAATGCTTTCGTTTCTTTAAGGCAACCTTTTCCTTGACTCTTTCAACAGATAACCAACCCCCAAACCTGATGTGCCCAGCTAACATCACCAGACCGCAGATGAGGGCGTGGCATTTGCCAATGTGACCTATGACCCGCTGATTCTGACCGATAACGACGGCAACACGCCTGATCTAACCACCAACTACCAGGGGGGAGATATCTATGACATTGGAGAGACCATCATCACGTTGACTGCACGAGATAATGGTGGCAATGAGATTAGTTGTACATTCTCCATCACTGTCATAGGTGAGCAGAATTTGCCCCAAAGTTTTAAATTCTGTAAAAATCAGGAATTTCTCAGAAATGGAACAAAACTTGTTACTTTGGCAAAGATTAGTGTTCGCAACTTTAAAGCTACAGTAAGGATTTTCAAAGAAAAATTTTTAGAGACCCACTGCATTGTTTCGAATTATGACTTCCTTTGAGTTTCATTTGATGTACGGTTATTCCATTTAGATTCGGAGGATCCAGTGATCATTTGTCCAGCCAACATCACTCAGAATACTGACTCCGGACAGCCTGACACCACAGTCATCCTACCTGCTGCAACAACAAGCGACAACTCTATGACATCATTGACAGTTACTACCAATCCATCTGGGTCTCCTGTCCTTGATATCGGTGACCATACAGTCACATATACAGTCACTGATGACAGGCGGGAATCTGCATCCTGCAATATCACGGTCACGATCATAGGTCAGTTTGTGTTTTTCAGATTTAAGCATTTAGTTCTGAAGCAATTAAAAGCATCACCATTTTGAAGTGTATTTAATCCTTTAAATTAACTCAGGCAATTTATAAAAAAGTTTGAATTTCTCACCACAGTATTTTAAGTTTTTGTTAGGAGTAGACAGGTCAGACATAGTCGTGTTGCATAAACGTCTAAATTTATAAACGATTTGTACTTTTAGTATATTTAGATCAACATTTCTTGAAATCTTTTCTCTAATCCTGAACTCATAATAATTAAGCTTATGTCCCTTACGCTTTTCTTTTTTTCTGATGCAGATGTGGAGCCTCCAAGCTTTACACCTCCGTCTGATTTTATGGTACCAACTGACCATGGACAATCATCTGCCATTGTCAGCCTTCCGTTGCCAACCGATGTGACAGACAATTCAGGGGAACTTGTTACCATCATGACGTCACCAGCCAACAACAGCGTGCTGAGCATAGGACCACATGTTATTATGTACACAGTAACGGACTTCTACGGTAACACTGTGACGTTTGATATCACCGTTACAGTTGAAGGTGAGCCACTTAAGGAAAAGGAAAAACTCATTTGTTACTCACATCGCCCACCCCATCCTGAGCTCATCCCAAACTTAATGACCCCATCCCAATCCATCCCCTCCCTAACCTAGTCTAACCTCATTTTTATATTCTGTTTATTTTTTGAAATGCAAGTGTCCCACCACGGGGCTGTGGCCACCTGCATCGGTGGCAACAAAAAAAAGAACTATGGAGTTTGTGGACATTCGGCTTCAACTAGCTAATATAAATTTGACGGACAAGTAGAGCAGGATTCTGGCAAGGAGTGTCCCCGTGAGGCATTCCAGGGGAGGAAAGTTGAGAGATACTTTGTTGTACCAGCCATTGTCACACAGGCAAAATGCGGATAACAGGAGACAACAAATTGTGTCTGGTGGATGAAGCAACACGATGTGGGAAGAGTAGTGACAATTCCCTTAAGCACATCCTGTGATGGTAGTTTGAGAACATGTTCAAGGATGTAACAGACAGGGGTGAAATTTGTCAGGATTTTTACTGATTTCAGGAAAAATATACCATAGACCCTACATTGCCCTGGGGCCCTCAGTGACCCTCAAACCCTCTGTCGATTATTCCGAGGGGTTCCTTTCAGTGTCAAACAGCGAGAGGTCCGCGGAAAACCATTAGATCCTGTCCCAACAGGACTACTGCAAGTTGGCAAAATATGGCTGCACTATTTCACAACAAGTTGTGTAGTTGCCTTAATTATTAAGACAGGGCATATGGCAGACATCTAATTAGTGACGCTGCAGAATATTCTGGGTTTGTTTTCTCACTGTATAACCTCAAGAAACTGAAAAATGTCTGCCCAGATGGAGTTTGAATAAATTTGGTTCAAAACAGACAAATATATTCCCTGTTGACAAAGAAATATTGATGTCAGTCTTAACATTGTTGCTCGAACAGAACAAGCAGCCTCCAAGAGCCAAATCTTTCTTTAATATGGTGGCTTCAACTGACAATGTCAACCAGTGGTATTACTGCCTTGTATCTAACTACTGAATGCTCTCAATTTGAACAAATTATTTGGAGTGCATGTAACTTTATCAATAATGCCTTTGTATCTGTGAAGGCGTTTCACATATTTACTGAAATTGATAAACTGTGATTGATTTTGCATTGATTACTAACTTGTTAATGGAATAAAACAGTTATGCTATCGTGTATTGTGTGGACTCTTACTTATTTTTGTTGTGTCGATATTGGTTGTGCCACTCAAGCAAGATATCTGAATGTGACTCATCTTTGCTTGACAAAACTGTATGGGAAGCCTTCTTATCTGTCTGTAGGAGACATGTATTGAGTTGGCTGTTTGTATTGCATGAATAACACTCTTGCTTTGTCTGATTATATTGTTTTGTTTTGACTTTATATCCCTGTAATTTCTACTGCCTTTCAGCAAGTGGACTCGTTCTTTTGTTGAATTAATGATGCTCGTATTGATTACGTATCTGAATAATCCATGCCGATTGAACCCTTGTGAAAACAATTTAATTTTAGCAACTTTAGCCAATTCAATGACAAGGCCCCTCCAATGGGGAAAACATTGTGCTGGCTTTAGTTCAGATAATCCATCATAGTTGTTGCTTTGTACAATAGCTTGCGCAATGGTGTCTCCATTGAAGGGGGCCTCGTGCGTGTACAGTCATCACATGCCTGGAGTCTGTAGGAAACTGTGTTATTTTTTGTAGAAAATTTGGTGGAAGTATTTATTGCAAATAATCTTTCACTGTTGATGTTTTCCAACAGATAACCAACCACCCAACCTGGTGTGCCCAGCTAACATCACCAGGCCAACAGATGATGGCGTGGCATTTGCCAACGTGACCTATGACCCGCTGGTTCTGACTGATAACGACGGCAACACGCCCGCCCTGACCACAGACTACCAGGGGGGAGATATCTATAACATTGGAGAGACCATCGTCATGTTGACTGCACGAGATAATGCTGGCAATGACATTTGTTGTACATTCTCCATCACTGTCATAGGTGAGCAGAATTTGCCCCAAAAGTTTTGAAATTCTGTTAGAATCAGGGATTTCTCCAAAGTGTCATTATCAATTTGACTTTGTCAAAGATTAGTCAATGCAACATGATAGTACGCTAAAGTAAGGATTTCCAAAGAACTTTATTTACATAAACCATTCAGAAACCCACTGCACTGTATTGAATTACGACTCCTCTTGAGTTTCATTTGCTGGCAATGAGATTAGTTGTACATTCTACATCACTGTCATTGGTGAGCAGAACAATTAACTACAAGTTTCTGAACATGTGTTTTTACTTATACTGCCCAAATCCCCTCCAGCACTCTGTATGGTTTTATGAATTCATCAAGAAGTTATTACAGTGTATTACAATGTAATGCAAGGTCTAAGTTTGATTGGTGATTTTGACTTGAGATGACTTATGATTTTAATTTGAGATGACTTGTGGTTTTGACTTGAGATGACTTATGATTTTGACTAGAGATGACTTGTGATTAACCGAGTACAATTCAAGTCCATTGAATGATTCCATTGTCTTAATTCACAGACACTGAACCTCCAACTCTGCAGTGTCCGTCCGAGGTCATAGTGTACTCTGACGAGCTCAGAATCCCTGCAGCCGCCCCAGGTAATCTATCTTTTGATATCATGCATAGATAGTAACTTGTACAGTTCCCAAATTCCCAATATTAATAGAAATTCATCCAGCCTCTGTGTGATCTCAGAAAATAACATTGATGAGAAAGAAGGTTCTGCTACACTGTCGTAATATCGGATATCCCGATATATTTTTCATGATATTTTGATAAATAGATATCAAACAAAACTACACTAACGGTGTTCTGATTTCCGTGCAGGTTCCTACTTGTTTGCAGATTTTGCCTCCTGGACCGTCAACATAACCGACAACTCGGGACAGCCGCTGACCAGAAGCGAATCCAGCCACGAGTCTGGGAGTTACTTCACTGCTTCCTCAACGACCGTCACGCACACGGCCACGGATGCCTACAATAATACCAATCGGTGCTCCTTTGATGTCCGGATCATTGGTATTCAGTCTTGACTTGCTTTATCTTTTTCTTGCGTATTTTTCGATAACCCGAGGAAAAACATTCCCTCAATACATGTGATCTAAAAACAGACTGAATGCACAAAAAAGGACCTGTCGGAATCTGAATAATATTTGGGAAATTTTGGAATTTGTTTTGAACGGAACCATTGACACTGTCACTTCCAAAACACAACTGAAAACATATTTTTTTCGTTCATGCGTATCATTGGATTTTTCAGGTCCTAAGTAGTGAACAGTATACATTGGACATATATTCCTTGAAAATTAAGGCACTAGTGCAAGCCTATGCACTAGTCTCTATAAGAGACTTTCAGGGAAAACTGGTTTCCTTTTGCTTGAGCCACTTTTTTTGTAACAAGGTCCTGGGAATCTTGCAAAATATCCCCCTGAAAAAACAAGGGGAAAATATGCGCTTATTCTGCAGGCAAATGCAATCATTTCCAGGAGATTACACGTACAACGTTAACATAATGACAAAAGAGCTGTCATGAAGTTGCGCAAATGTCTGGTCGCATTCTGTGTGCTACTGGCTGGAATTTAAGAGTTTGGTTCTGAGCTAATATGCAAGGTGTTGAACCCGCGCTGCATACATTAGGCAAAACAGTTGTGCGGGCATGACACTATACTGCTACAAGCTTCCCAAGATGACGTTGTGACAGCAGTTCATGATAGCGATCTTCATAACCTTTTCTCGATGTGTGATCGCGTACCCAATATACAAGACTACTTGACATATACCTCTGGGTCACACTCTACTTGGGCAATTTCCATGAATTTATCTAGATTATTGCAGCCCATGTGACCATGTTTTAGCCAGCAACCAGGACAACAAATTTGACTGAGGCATGTTATAAGAGGTTTTGAATTATTGTCATTACAGGCTTTGTGGATACCACTTGCAGCATGTCTGGAAGTGATCTGGACCTATCAGTATTGGCCGGCACAGGAGTCAGATACCATTTGCTGTCGCCGAACTTTGACGTTGGCGACCCGTACCCAAGCAACATTGAGTGCCTGTGGCGTGTTTCAGCACCCAGTGGCAGCTACATACGTGTCGACTTTGGCGCGTTTGAAACAGAGTTTGGCAAAGACATTTTGACTATTGGGAGTGGCCTGGATGAAACACAGATGAACACCAGTCTGGCGGCATACGGAGGCAAGCTGGCAGAGCTGGTGACCGACAACACGCGACACACCAAGGCAAGAGTCTACGGAGATACCATCTGGCTGCACTTTGTGTCGGACGCAACCTTTGCTCAATTACTCGCTGGCTTCTGGCTTCGGTTCGACTACATAACTGATCCACGTAGGCAATAAATTGTCTGATTTTCAGTGTCATTTGTAGTTTGTGTTGATATCATATGACCTTCAATCAACCAATTAGATCAGTGGGAAGTTAACAAATATCATAGTGCTTTACATTGCTGTTACTCCTGGTCATAGGGCCCATTAACCCTCCCTCTCTGGCTGGCAAATTCAACATAGCCAACCAGCAGTTTACATAACTCAAGTGACTGTTTTAAAAAAAAAATGAGTGCTCCTTGCTCACATAAAGCAAGATTGACGACTGGCTGTGACTGTTGTGAAACTTGATACAGCAATGTTTTGGCTGTAGAAGAGTGATAAGCCAGCTGAGCCTATTGGCTTTTGTCTGGTGATGGAATATGACTGTCACAGTGCCTATAAGAAATATGACCTGATTGTTGGTGACTAGCCTGTGTTAAAGGCATGGCAGGGGAAGTGGATTGAATTTGTAACCCTCTCTGCCCTATCGCGGGTAACACATCATATTTTTGGGTAGGGATTAGCGACAAAGCGTCTAACCCAAGGACATATGCACCACAGCCTCAGGCTGGACTCAAAACCACAAGCTGATGAAGTGACCAACAAATATTGAGTTGTTATGCATCAGACCATAAGGCCACAGCAAATCATTGCCCATTATAGGACAAATGTGATTTATTTTTGTTTTTGTTTGTTTTGTTTCAGGCACTATGTACCCAAGTTCTTATTCATTCTGTGCTGAGTTTGGTGGTTTTCCCTGCCTTGATGGGTCGTGCATAGACAACTCCAAGCGATGTGATGGTAACACCAATGATTGCGCCAGCAACGAAGACGAAACAGACTGTCCCGATGGTACCAAAATATTTTCTAGAGTTTTAAAAAATGTTGAGTCAGGTTTTTTAAAACTGATTTTACTTGCAGTCGCTTGATTCCATATTGCTGCTAAGCACACGATTTTCTGCTAACATAGCCTCCGTCTCTTTCATGGAGACTGTAAGCAGTAAAGACACGAAAAGGCACGCTTACCTCAGAGGAAAAAAGGTGCTTAAATTAGTGACATAACAATAGAAATCTCCATGCATGCGCAACCATTAGCACATCCGTGCCGTGAAATAATGCTTAATGTTAGCACAATTTTCTGCTGTTGTTAGCACAGCTCTTCTGCTAACTGGTATGCAGACCCATGGCTCCTGTTGATGTAAGCTGTCCATGTACCACCACAAAGTGCCCTGCAAATTACTGTTTATACCGCCTAAGCATGCTATGTTATTCTGGATTCATCAAGGATTAAATACAATGTAATACAGTGTAATACATTCTGTGACTGAGTCAACAATGGGTTTTTGTATTACTTTTTTCCCCCTATTTCAGATAGTGTTGTGACACTGCCAACCCAATCTGCGAACTTTCCTTCAAAGGATGGTGTGTATCACACAGACATTGTGTCTGATAACTACCCTGGCGAATACCGTCCAAGTAACGCACGTTGGGACATCGATACCAGCTTCGTCCAAGTAAGTACATCACAGTATCCCTTTCTTTTTACCCCTGATTTTGTTATTCCAAGAGGGCTAGCCTAATTTCCTCCTGATACCTATCCAATGACTGACTGACTCACAGACCGACTGGCTGTCACGTGACTTAGTCTAGGTGTAGGTCCCCTGGATGGGATGCTAGTCTATGGCAGGTTTACTCCCCAGCCAATGTAGGTATTCATTTATACTCTTGGGCTGAGCGAGGCAAGGGGGTTAACCACTTAACGACAGAGGATGTGTACATATGATCTGGCAATGCATATTTGCAGGGGCTAGTGACGGGTTCAATCGTTGAGCCTTCCCCGAGTCTCTGTCACTGGTTCCCATTGGTTTTGTACACACCGTGTTTTGAAATTGAACTTGGCCCCTGCACAAAGTGGCGGCACCAGACTCTAAAATTGGGGGGGGGGGGCAATTGGGGGGCAAGGAAGTATTTTGGGGGCTGTCTAAATAAAATCTTAAGCCTGTGTATACGTGCGAGCGTGCCATTGTCAATGGTCCGGAAATAAGCCACTAGAGCAACTTAGAAGTGTAGTCGCTTTCATGAAGGAGAAATGTATCAAACCGCAGAATAGTGTACAACAAATGTATAACAAAATGTACAGATGTTGGCTGCACACTATCTACAGCTTTATAAATGCATGTGTGGCTTGTTTTGTCTAAAGTATCAATGTTTATAATGCTTTCATTGGCCATCTGTTGATAAAGTCTAGGGAGAAACTGGTGGGGGGGGGAACTGGGGGAGCAAGGAAACAACTGGGGGGGATGCAGAACCCACAAAGCTAATTTACTACTCATATTAGAAAGTGTGCGTCATTCACTACAGAATTTTTATTTTTTAGTTGACGTAACCTTTTTGTAATTCACATACAGTCTCTCCGCATTGTCGTGATGGATCTTCAAATTGCCGCTGGTGACTCGTTGTACGTCGTAGATGGAGACACAGGCACCCGTGTGACGGACAACATTGTCTCGCCGGTCAGCATACATCTCACTAACAACACAGATGTTGCTGTAGTCTTTGAAAGTAATGGCGGTACTGGGCGTGGCTTCTGGATTAGGGTGTGGCGATACATCTCAATAACGACTGGTGAGCAGACTATTCTGAAACATAGTTGGGGTTCTGGAACAGTAGGCACTCTGACTATTTTCCTTTCTTTAACATCTAGAGTCATTCATCCTAACACTGCAAATATCCGGAGAATGGCCAGTGTATCGTTGTCCTTGTAACCCTATGAGTTGGGTTAGCAAATGTTACATGGGCACAAATAGGCACAGCATAAATGTCGCACTCATTGGCACAGCATTTGTTGGGTCATTATAATGAACTTTCTGCATGAATATAAATGATACTTCATGACTTCTAGAGCTCATCATTGTGCAGGACTCACTGCTTATGCACACTTAATCGTGCACATATGGCATATGTACAATATTACTTATTCCATGAGTGCGAGTGGCATATGGGACTCATCAGATGTACTACATTTTTCGCGTTCCACGAACGTAAGTGGGATAACAAATTTATCTTCAAGCAAACTTGATGTATAGTATAGATGGAACACGCACTTTTCAGCAGTTATTCGATTACACGTGTGTGCAGCAGGAATGGCGTGCGCATGTATCTTACAATAGCGGGATACGTGTAGTACGGTATGGTCCGAGGTATATGAGTTAGTAACGCACGGTTGTTGCCATCGATAGACCAATTAGGATCGCAAATTCAAGTCTGCTTGAAGATAACTACTTTCATTCTGAACGTGAACCGACCTGAACCGAAGCGTCTTTGCGTGAGTGCCAAGCATATGACAGAAATAGCAGTCTGGAGTCTGCCAATCTTTCTATCTTATATAGCAGTCTGGAGTCTGCCAATCTTAAAGGGGCACTTGATCATGAAATGATGGGGAAGGTTACATTGTCTAGGCTCAAATCAACTGCTACATCTTCAGAAGCTTTGCAAGCATTGATGGCCTCATTTTGTGTGTGCTTTGCAGAGTTTGTTGATTTTCCTGCGTACTGTGAAGTCGCTTTGCATAGCTTGAACTGTGGCAAGGGCTCCTGCATCTCTGACACAGAAAGATGTGATCGTGATGTCGATTGCGGTACATTCGGGAACGACCAAGAAAACTGCATGGCAGACTCATATGGTGAGCAATATATCTTTTTTTTTTAAGTAACTCTTCAAATAACAGGGTTGGAATTACTTGTTTACAAATGATGGGTAAAGTTACAAATATGCAATAAAAGTATCACATTAAAGGTAGAGTAGATCATTTGCAGCTATCCAACCACTAACTGACAAAATTATTGTTGAAAAGTTTACTTGGTTTAAAGATAGTAATGGCACTGAACTCCCTGTGAAATTATTCCTTCTGGCATGCTGTCATTTTGAAGAAAACAATAAAAAGATGCCATTTTCAAACATGCATCAATTGACGTATTTTTTGGAAATTTCCATTAGTAGTTGGTTTGTCATTCAGCGAATCTGTGAATGGGAGCGCGCAAGCGTTGACACGACACACTTGCGTGTGCGGTTGCTATTACTCGTCAGTTCAATGCATGACATCTCGTAGGTGTCATGGACACTGATTTCGGGCGCAATTAATTCAAAACATACTGGCAACTCTTGAATCAAAATCGAGATCCTAGAATATTGTTTTCTCATAATATACAGCATTCACTAAGGTAAAACTTCATCAGGTTAGTTGTCAAGCGACCTGTCTTTAGAATTTGAGCACTTCTGTTGCTTCAAACAAACAAAAGGAACAAATGACAAGTGATATAGTCTACCTTTAAACATAAACCAAGACTAGGCAAGCCTAGTGCTAGTCTCAGACCACACTGGTGAAAGGGGTCTAGGTGGTCATCTGAGTCCAATTTGTGGGCCAAAGTGAGGCTGAAGCAAGTCTAATTCAAGCTATGTATAAAGAGGAATGTAAGATATGTGCAAAGAGGAATGTATGCTTTGGGAATAGCAAAAAGCTTGTCAAATAAATTACGTGCCTACAGTTGGATGTTGAGAAGAGTGGACGTGATGTCAAATGCCCGCTGATAAGATTATATGTGTATATATAATGGACACATATCCCCCGCTAATCAGAACAAAAAGGTTGCCAAAGACCATCTCAGCTAAAGATCATCTCAGTAGGTAATAGTATCCTGATTTGTATCTATGTTGAATTATCTTGACCAGATTGCGGCAACACCGCTATCAGTCTTGGCAATGAGGGCAGTATGTACCACCTGACCTCCGTCAACTACCCAAACGACTTCATCTACGACATCAGCTGCCAGTACGTGGTGACCACATCGGCCGCGACCATTCTGGTCAGCTTCCGCGACGTGGAGATCCCCGCCACTACCCCGGAAGACTACCTGCGTATTGGCAACGGCGCCACTGTCAGCGACGAGACCGAGATCATACGCGTGGGTGGAGTTTTCCTGCCTGAGGACGTGGTTTCGACGGGGAATCATATATGGATTGAGTTCATCAGCGATGGTAGAGTCAACAGCCGGGGGTTCTGGATTGTGCTTGTGGCCCAAGGTTAATGGTTATTAATGATGTTGCCAGATATTCTGTTAGGAAAATGGAAGCATTACACCCATGTCAGACTGGTGTTTCTCTGAGAAGCACTGAACTGAATATTAGTTAGAGCAACTTGGGTCGACCCAAAGATATTGGTTTCAGACAGGCAAACTTTACGTAATAATTTTCCATTAAGTGGGCTCTGGAGTCAATCTTTTGACAAAATTGCTCCCGACTGTTTCAAATTAGAACCTTTTCATGTCTTTAATTCAAATCTTGGGAATAATTTTCGATTCGTTTGAAAATCTCACAAACGCACAAAAGAGATTTGTTACACGATGCAACCATAATCTCACATCATTTGCAAGAATAAAAGTTTTCACAATCTTTACAATCACATCTAGCTAATAAATATTTGATCGTGATTTCCAGTGAATGTGCGTGTCTGAAGAAGTTGCATGAACCAGAATTAGTGAAAGATGTACAATACGGATAATTCTTTAGAAACAAAACCTTTTTTTTTCTACTGTAAATTTTCTTTTATTTAAAAATGTCGTAAAATATATTGGATTTCTCCAAAGTGTCATCATCAATTTGACTTTGTCAAAGATTAGTCAATGCAACATGATAGTACGCTAAAGTAAGGATTTCCAAAGAATTTTTTTTACATAAACCCTTCAGAAACCCACTGCACTGTATTGAATTACGACTCCTCCTGAGTTTCATTTGGTGTACGGTTATTCCATTTAGATTCGGAGGATCTAAATGGAATAGTGATCATTTGTCCGGCCAACATCACTCAGGATACTGACTCCGGACAGCCTGACACCACAGTCGTCCTACCTGCTGCAACAACAAGCGGCAACATGACATCATTGACAGTTACTACCGATCCATCTGGGTCTCCTGTCCTTGGTATTGGTGACCATACAGTCACATATACAGTCACTGATGATAGTGGGAATTCTGCATCCTGCAGTATCACGGTCATGATCGTAGGTCAGTTTGTGTTGTTCAAATTGAAGCATTTAGTTCTGAAGCAATTAAATGCATCACCATTTTGAAATGTATTTAATCATTTAAATGAACTCAGGCAATTTATAAAAAAGTTTGAATTTCTCACCACAGTATTTTCAGTTTTTGTTAGGAGTAGACAGGTCAAACATAGTCGTGTTTCATAAACGTCAAAATTTATAAACGATTTGGTACTTTTAGTATATTTAGATCAACATTTCTTGAAATCCTTTCTCTAATCCTGATCCCATAATAATTAAGCTTATGTCTCTTACACTTTTCTTTTTTTCTAATGCAGATGTGGAGCCTCCAAGCTTTACACCTCCGTCTGATTTTATGGTACCAACTGACCATGGACAATCATCTGCCATTGTCAGCCTTCCGTTGCCAACCGATGTGACAGACAATTCAGGGGAACTTGTTACCATCATGACCTCACCAGCCAACAACAGCATGCTGAGCATAGGACCCTATGTTATTATGTACACAGTAACGGACTTCTACGGTAACACTGTGACGTTTGATATCACCGTTACAGTTGAAGGTGAGCCACTTAAGGAAAAGGAAAAACTCATTTGTTACTCACCTTCCTATGCAAATTTTACATGCATTCTGTGTTTAGTTGTCGGTTCAGTCCAAATCAGTCAAGTGACTGTGTTTTACAATTGAGAGCTCCCAAGCTTGAAATATGATCTGACTGTTGATGACTATATAGCCCGTGCAAAAGGCATGGCAGGGGAAGTGGATGGAATTTTTGACTGTCTGTGACTGTTCAGACAGAAGGGAGGTTAAGGTTCGAAAGTGTGACATTTTCCTGTCCCTTTTCCCTTGGTACTTTGTTATTGGCCATTCAAGTATTAAAGAATGACTTCAAATAATGTTCGGCAGCGTGGGGGGGGGGGCGGGGGGGGGGGGGGGGGGGCGCACGTCCCCCCCATAAAAAGGTTGCGCCCCCCCACTGGAAATTGGAAATCCGGAGAAAAACACAGCCGTATGAACCCCAAATTCAGAAAGATAACCAGATAATCTTATTGAGGTTAAAGTTTAGAGGGAATGCTTTCTTTTTTTTCAAGGCAACCTTTTCCTTGACTTTGTCCACAGATAACCAACCTCCCAACCTGATGTGCCCAGCTAACATCACCAGACCCGCAGATGAGGGCGTGGCATTTGCCAACGTGACCTATGACCCGCTGGTTCTGACCGATAACGACGGCAACACGCCCGCCCTGACCACAGACTACCAGGGGGGAGATATCTATGACATTGGAGAGACCATCGTCATGTTGACTGCACGAGATAATGCTGGCAATGACATTAGTTGTACATTCTCCATCACTGTCATAGGTGAGCAGAATTTGCCCCAAAAGTTTTGAAATTCTGTTAGAATCAGGGATTTCTCCAAAGTGTCATTATCAATTTGACTTTGTCAAAGATTAGTCAATGCAACATGATAGTACGCTAAAGTAAGGATTTCCAAAGAACTTTATTTACATAAACCATTCAGAAACCCACTGCACTGTATTGAATTACGACTCCTCCTGAGTTTCATTTGATGTACGGTTATTCCATTTAGATTCGGAGGATCCAGTGATCATTTGTCCGGCCAACATCACTCAGAATGCTGACTCCGGACAGCCTGACACCACAGTCGTCCTACCTGCTGCAACAACAAGCGACAACTCTATGACATCATTGATGGTTACTACCGATCCATCTGGGTCTCCTGTCCTTGGTATCGGTGACCATACAGTCACATATACAGTCACTGATGACAGCGGGAATTCTGCATCTTGTGATATCACGGTCACGATCGTAGGTTAGTTTGTGTTTTTCAGATTTAAGCATTTAGTTCTGAAGCAATTAAATGCATCACCATTTTGAAATGTATTTAATCATTTAAATGAACTCAGGCAATTTATAAAAAAGTTTGAATTTCTCACCACAGTATTTTCAGTTTTTGTTAGGAGTAGACAGGTCAGACATAGTCGTGTTTCATAAACGTCAAAATTTATAAACGATTTGGTACTTTTAGTATATTTAGATCAACATTTCTTGAAATCCTTTCTCTAATCCTGATCCCATAATAATTAAGCTTATGTCCCTTATGCTTTTCTTTTTTTCCGATGCAGATGTGGAGCCTCCAAGCTTTACGCCTCCGTCTGATTTTATGGTACCAACTGACCATGGACAATCATCTGCCATTGTCAGCCTTCCGTTGCCAACCGATGTGACAGACAATTCAGGGGAACTTGTTACCATCATGACGTCACCAGCCAACAACAGCGTGCTGAGCATAGGACCACATGTTATTATGTACACAGTAACGGACTTCTACGGTAACACTGTGACGTTTGATATCACCGTTACAGTTGAAGGTGAGCCACTTAAGGAAAAGGAAAAACTCATTTGTTACTCACCTTCCTATGCAAATTTTACATGCATTCTGTGTTTAGTTGTCGGTTCAGTCCAAATCAGTCAAGTGACTGTGTTTTACAATTGAGAGCTCCCAAGCTTGAAATATGATCTGACTGTTGATGACTATATAGCCCGTGCAAAAGGCATGGCAGGGGAAGTGGATGGAATTTTTGACTGTCTGTGACTGTTCAGACAGAAGGGAGGTTAAGGTTCGAAAGTGTGACATTTTCCTGTCCCTTTTCCCTTGGTACTTTGTTATTGGCCATTCAAGTATTAAAGAATGACTTCAAATAATGTTCGGCAGCGTGGGGGGGGGGGGCGCACGTCCCCCCCATAAAAAGGTTGCGCCCCCCCACTGGAAATTGGAAATCCGGAGAAAAACACAGCCGTATGAACCCCAAATTCAGAAAGATAACCAGATAATCTTATTGAGGTTAAAGTTTGGAGGGAATGCTTTCTTTTTTTTCAAGGCAACCTTTTCCTTGACTTTGTCAACAGATAACCAACCTCCCAACCTGACTTGCCCAGCTAACATCACCAGACCCGCAGATGAGGGCGTGGCATTTGCCAACGTGACCTATGACCCGCTGGTTCTGACCGATAACGACGGCAACACGCCCGCCCTGACCACAGACTACCAGGGGGGAGATATCTACAACATGGGAGAGACCATCGTCACGCTGACTGCACAAGATAATGCTGGCAATGAGATTAGTTGCACATTCTCCATCACTGTCATAGGTGAGCAGAATTTGCCCCAAAAGTTTTGAAATTCTGTTAGAATCAGGGATTTCTCCAAAGTGTCATTATCAATTTGACTTTGTCAAAGATTAGTCAATGCAACATGATAGTACCCTAAAGTAAGGATTTCCAAAGAACTTTATTTACATAAACCATTCAGAAACCCACTGCACTGTATTGAATTACGACTCCTCCTGAGTTTCATTTGATGTACGGTTATTCCATTTAGATTCGGAGGATCCAGTGATCATTTGTCCGGCCAACATCACTCAGAATACTGACTCCGGACAGCCTGACACCACAGTCGTCCTACCTGCTGCTACAACAAGCGACAACTCTATGACATCATTGATGGTTACTACCGATCCATCTGGGTCTCCTGTCCTTGATATCGGTGACCATACAGTCACATATACAGTCACTGATGACAGCGGGAATTCTGCATCTTGTGATATCACGGTCATGATCGTAGGTCAGTTTGTGTTTTTCAGATTTAAGCATTTAGTTCTGAAGCAATTAAATGCATCACCATTTTGAAATGTATTTAATCATTTAAATGAACTCAGGCAATTTATAAAAAAGTTTGAATTTCTCACCACAGTATTTTCAGTTTTTGTTAGGAGTAGACAGGTCAGACATAGTCGTGTTTCATAAACGTCAAAATTTATAAACGATTTGGTACTTTTAGTATATTTAGATCAACATTTCTTGAAATCCTTTCTCTTATCCTGATCCCATAATAATTAAGCTTATGTCCCTTACGCTTTTCTTTTTTTCGAATGCAGATATGGAGCCTCCAAGCTTTACACCTCCATCTGATTTTATGGTACCAACTGACGATGGACAATCATCTGCCATTGTCAGCCTTCCGTTGCCCACCGATGTGACAGACAATTCAGGGGAACTTGTTACCATCATGACGTCACCAGCCAACAACAGCGTGCTGAGCATAGGACCACATGTTATTATGTACACAGTAACGGACTTCTACGGTAACACTGTGACGTTTGATATCACCGTTACAGTTGAAGGTGAGCCACTTAAGGAAAAGGAAAAACTCATTTGTTACTCACATCGCCCACCCAATCCTGAGCTCATCCCAAACTTAATGACCCCATCCCAATCCATCCCCTCCCTAACCTAGTCTAACCTCATTTTTATATTCTGTTTATTTTTTGAAATGCAAGTGTCCCACCACGGGGCTGTGGCCACCTGCATCGGTGGCAACAAAAAAAAGAACTATGGAGTTTGTGGACATTCGGCTTCAACTAGCTAATATAAATTTGACGGACAAGTAGAGCAGGATTCTGGCAAGGAGTGTCCCCTGTGAGGCATTCCAGGGGAGGAAAGTTGAGAGATACTTTGTTGTACCAGCCGATGTCACATAGGCAAAATGCGGATAACAGGAGACAATAAATTGTGTCTGGTGGATGAAGCAACACGATGTGGGAAGAGTAGTGACAATTCCCTTAAGCACATCCTGTGATGGTAGTTTGAGAACATTTCAGGAAAAATACACCATAGACCCTACGTTGCCCTTGGGCCCTCAGTGACCCTCAAACCCTCTGTCAATTATTTCAAGGAGTTCTTCACTTTCCCCAGTCATACCTCTGAAGTGGGGTCAGCGAGAGGTCCTTGGAAAGCTATCAGATCCTGTCCCAACAGGACTACTGCAAGTTGGCAAAATATGGCTGCACTATTTCACAACAAGTTGTGTAGTTGCCTTAATTATTAAGACGGGGCATATGGCAGACATCTAATTAGTGACGCTGCAGAATATTCTGGGTTTGTTTTCTCACTGTATAACCTCAAGAAACAGAAAAATGTCTGCCCAGATGGAGTTTGAATAAATTTGGTTCAAAACAGACAAATATATTCCCTGTTGACAAAGAAATATTGATGTCAGTCTTAACATTGTTGCTCGAACAGAACAAGCAGCCTCCAAGAGCCAAATCTTTCTTTAATATGGTGGCTTCAACTGACAATGTCAACCAGTGGTATTACTGCCTTGTATCTAACTACTGAATGTTCTCAATTTGAACAAATTATTTGGAGTGCATGTAACTTTATCAATAATGCCTTTGTATCTGTGAAGGCGTTTCTCATATTTACTGAAATTGATAAACTGTGATTGATTTTGCATTGATTACTAACTTGTTAATGGAATAAAACAGTTATGCTATCGTGTATTGTGTGGACTCTTACTTATTTTTGTTGTGTCGATATTGGACGTGCCACTCAAGCTAGATATCTGAATGTGACTCATCTGTGCTTGACAAAACTGTATGGGAAGCCTTCCTATCTGTCTGTAGGAGACATGTATTGAGTTGGCTATTTGTATTGCATGAATAACACTCTTGCTTTGTCTGATTATATTGTTTTGTTTTGACTTTATATCCCTGTAATTTCTACTGCCTTTCAGCAAGTGGACTCGTTCTTTTGTTGAATTAATGATGCTCGTATTGATTACGTATCTGAATAATCCATGCCGATTGAACCCTTGTGAAAACAATTTAATTTTAGCAACTTTAGCCAATTCAATGACAAGGCCCCTCCAATGGGGAAAACATTGTGCTGGCTGTAGTTCAGATAATCCATCATAGTTGTTGCTTTGTACAATAGCTTGCGCAATGGTGTCTCCATTGAAGGGGGCCTCGCGCGTGTACAGTCATCACATGCCTGGAGTCTGTAGGAAACTGTGTTATTTTTTGTAGAAAATTTGGTGGAAGTATTTATTGCAAATAATCTTTCACTGTTGATGTTTTCCAACAGATAACCAACCACCCAACCTGGTGTGCCCAGCTAACATCACCAGACCCACAGATGAGGGCGTGGCATTTGCCAACGTGACCTATGACCCGCTGGTTCTGACCGATAACGACGGCAACACGCCCGCCCTGACCACAGACTACCAGGGGGGAGATATCTATAACATTGGAGAGACCATCGTCATGTTGACTGCACGAGATAATGCTGGCAATGACATTAGTTGTACATTCTCCATCACTGTCATAGGTGAGCAGAATTTGCCCCAAAAGTTTTGAAATTCTGTTAGAATCAGGGATTTCTCCAAAGTGTCATTATCAATTTGACTTTGTCAAAGATTAGTCAATGCAACATGATAGTACGCTAAAGTAAGGATTTCCAAAGAACTTTATTTACATAAACCATTCAGAAACCCACTGCACTGTATTGAATTACGACTCCTCTTGAGTTTCATTTGCTGGCAATGAGATTAGTTGTACATTCTCCATCACTGTCATTGGTGAGCAGAACAATTAACTACAAGTTTCTGAACATGTGTTTTTACTTATACTGCCCAAATCCCCTCCAGCACTCTGTATGGTTTTATGAATTCATCAAGAAGTTATTACAGTGTATTACAATGTAATGCAAGGTCTAAGTTTGATTGGTGATTTTGACTTGAGATGACTTATGATTTTGACTAGAGATGACTTGTGATTAACCGAGTACAATTCAAGTCCATTGAATGATTCCATTGTCTTAATTCACAGACACTGAACCTCCAACTCTGCAGTGTCCGTCCGAGGTCATAGTGTACTCTGACGAGCTCAGAATCCCTGCAGCCGTCCCAGGTAATCTATCTTTTGATATCATGCATAGATAGTAACTTGTACAGTTCCCAAATTCCCAATATTAATAGCAATTCATCCAGCCTCTGTGTGATCTCAGAAAATAACATTGATGAGAAAGAAGGTTCTGCTACACTGTCGTAATATCGGATATCCCGATATATTTTTCATGATATTTTGATAAATAGATATCAAACAAAACTACACTAACGGTGTTCTGATTTCCGTGCAGGTTCCTACTTGTTTGCAGATTTTGCCTCCTGGACCGTCAACATAACCGACAACTCGGGACAGCCGCTGACCAGAAGCGAATCCAGCCACGAGTCTGGGAGTTACTTCACTGCTTCCTCAACGACCGTCACGCACACGGCCACGGATGCCTACAATAATACCAATCGGTGCTCCTTTGATGTCCGGATCATTGGTATTCAGTCTTGACTTGCTTTATCTTTTTCTTGCGTATTTTTCGATAACCCGAGGAAAAACATTCCCTCAATACATGTGATCTAAAAACAGACTGAATGCACAAAAAAAGGACCTGTCGGAATCTGAATAATATTTGGGAAATTTTGGAATTTGTTTTGAACGGAACCATTGACACTGTCACTTCCAAAACACAACTGAAAACATATTTGTTTTAGTTCATGCGTATCATTGGATTTTTCAGGTCCTAAGTAGTGAACAGTATACATTGGACATATATTCCTTGAAAATTAAGGCACTAGTGCAAGCCTATGCACTAGTCTCTATAAGAGACTTTCAGGGAAAACTGGTTCCTTTTGCTTGAGCCACCTTTTTTGTAACAAGGTCCTGGGAATCTTGCAAAATATCCCCCTGAAAAAACAAGGGGAAAATATGCGCTTATTCTGCAGGCAAATGCAATCATTTCCAGGAGATTACACGTACAACGTTAACATATGACAAAAGAGCTGTCATGAAGTTGCGCAAATGCTACTGGCTGGAATTTAAGAGTTTGGTTTTGAGCTAATATGCAAGGTGTTGAACCCGCGCTGCATACATTAGGCAAAACAGTTGTGCGGGCATGACACTATACTGCTACAAGCTTCCCAAGATGACGTTGTGACAGCATTTCATGTGATAACGGTCTCCATAACCTTTTCTCAATGTGTGATCGCATACCCAATATACAAGACTACTTGACATATACCTCTGGGTCTCACTCTACTTGGGCAATTTCCATGAATTTATCTAGATTATTGCAGCTCATGTGACCATGTTTTAGCCAACCTGGACAACAAATTTGACTGAGGCATGTTATAAGAGGTTTTCAATTATTGTCATTACAGGCTTTGTGGATACCACTTGCAGCATGTCTGGAAGTGATCTGGACCTATCAGTATTGGCCGGCACAGGAGTCAGATACCATTTGCTGTCGCCGAACTTTGACGTTGGCAACCCGTACCCAAGCAGCACGGAGTGCCTGTGGCGTGTTTCGGCACCCAGTGGCAGCTACATACGTGTCGACTTTGGCGCGTTTGAAACAGAGTTTGGCAAAGACGTCCTGACTATTGGGAGTGGCCCGGATGAAACGCAGATGAACACCAGTCTGGCGGCATACGGAGGCAAGCTGGCAGAGCTGGTGACCAACAACACGCGACACACCAAGGCAAGAGTCTACGGAGATACCATCTGGCTGCACTTTGTGTCGGACTCGACCTTTGCTCAATTACTCGCTGGCTTCTGGCTTCGGTTCGACTACATAACTGATCCACGTAGGCAATAAATTGTCCTATTTTCAGTGTCATTTGTAGTTTGTGTTGATATCATATGACCTTCAATCAACCAATTAAATCAGTGGGAAGTTAACAAATATCACAGTGCTTTACATTGCTGTTACTCCTGGTCATAGGGCCCATTAACCCTCCCTCTCTGGCTGGCAAATTCAACGAAGCCAACCCAGCAGTTAACATAACTCAAGTGACTGTTTAAAAAAAATTGAGTGCTCCTTGCTCACATAAAGCAAGATTGACGACTGGCTGTGACTGTTGTGAAACTTGATACAGCAATGGTTTGGCTGTAGAAGAGTGATAAGCCCGCTGAGTCTATTGGCTTTTGTCTGGTGATGGAATATGACTGTCACAGTGCCTACAAGAAATTTGACCTGATTGTTGGTGACTAGCCTGTGTTAAAGGCATGGCAGGGGAAGTGGATTGAATTTGTAACCCTCTCTGCCCTAGGCTATCGCAGGTAACACATCATATTTTTGGGTGGGAATAGTGACAAAGTGCCTTACCCAAGCACACATGCTCCACAACCTCAAAACCACAAGCTGATGAAGTAACCAAAAAATATTGAATTTTTATACCCATTATAGGACAGATTTATTTTCGTTTTTTTTTGTTTTTCTTTCAGGCACCATGTACCCAAGTTCTTATTCATTCTGTGCTGAGTTTGGTGGTTTTCCCTGCCTTGATGGGTCGTGCATAGACAACTCCAAGCGATGTGATGGCACCAACAATGATTGCGCCAGCAACGAAGACGAAACAGACTGTCCCGATGGTACCGAAATATTTTCTAGAGTTTTAAAATATGTTGAGTCAGGTTTTTTTAAAACTGATTTTACTTGCAGTCGCTTGATTCCATATTGCTGCTAAGCACACGATTTTCTGCTAACATAGCCTCCGTCTCTTTCATGGAGACCGTAAGCAGTAAAGACACAAAAAGGCACGCTTACCTCAGAGGAAAAAAGGTGCTTAAATTAGTGACATAACAATAGAAATCTCCATGCATGCGCAACCATTGGCACATCCGTGCCGTGAAATAATGCTTAATGTTAGCACAATTTTCTGCTGTTGTTAGCACAGCTCTTCTGCTAACTGGTATGCAGACCCATGGCTCCTGTTGATGTAAGCTGTTGTGATCTTAACCCAGTCCATGTGTCACCACAAAGTGCCCTGCAAATTACTGTTTATACCGCCCCAAACTGCCCAAGCATGCTATGTTATTCTGGATTCATCAAGGATTAAATACAATGTAATATAGTGTAATACATTCTGTGACTGATGAGTCAACAATGGGTTTTTGTATTACTTTTTCCCCCCTATTTCAGATAGTGTTGGGACACTGCCAACCCAATCTGCAAACTTTCCTTCAAAGGATGGTGTGTATCACACAGACATTGTGTCTGATAACTACCCTGGCGAATACCGTCCAAGTAACGCACGTTGGGACATCGATACCAACTTCGTCCAAGTAAGTACATCACAGTATCACTTTCTTTTTACCCCTGATTTTGTTATTCCAAGAGGGCTAGCCTAATTTCCTCCTGATACCTATCCGACTGACTGACTGACTCCCCGACAGACCCACTGGCTGTCACGTGACTTAGTCTAGGTGTAGGTCCCCTGGATGGGATGCTAGTCTATGGCAGGTTTACTCCCCAGCCAATGTAGGTATTCATTTATACTCTTGGGCTGAGCGAGGCAAGGGGGTTAACCACTTAACGACAGAGGATGTGTACATATGATCTGGCAATGCATATTTGCAGGGGCTAGTGACTGGTTAAATCGTTGAGCCTTCCCCGAGTCTCTGTCACTGGTTCCCATTGGTTTTGTACATATACCGTGTTTTGAAATTGAACTTGGCCGCTGCAAGGCCTCAAGAGTGTTGCAGAATATGTTATGGTGAGAAATATTGTACAAATATTGTACAAATGACTCTCAAGAGTCAGGATTTGTGGCGTTATTTTAAAATTTGGCCGATACATCTTGTCTTTTTCAAAATGGCGTTTTTCGACCAAAAGAAATCCTGTGGGCAAGGGCTTAAGTGGCTTGCCCAAGGACACAACAGCAGGATTCAAACCTCTTACTCCTGCTCATGAGTCACACGCCCTAGCAACACTCCTTACGAAGCTTACCACTTTAGCTATAGAGGCCATGAGACCACTTTTCTGCAGCAGAGTCAGCCAAATCTGGTCTCTACCCTCACAGGTCCATTTCAACTCCTGGGTGGAAAGAGGCAATTGTAGTAAAGTGTACAAAACTGTAGTAAAGTGACACAAGCGCTATGTTCCAAGTCAGGGTTCAAACCCATGCACTGTTGCACTTTGTCATTTTGATGCGCATATAAGCACTGAGTTTTGTGTATTAAACCTTCACTTAATTACTTTTGTGAGTATGCCACACACAACCCACAATGCCAATTTGCTACTCATATAGGAAAGTGTGCGTCATTCACTACAGAATTTTTATTTTTTAGTTGACGTAACCTTTTTGTAATTCACATACAGTCTCTCCGCATTGTCGTGATGGATCTTCAAATTGCCGCTGGTGACTCGTTGTACGTCGTAGATGGAGACACAGGCACCCGTGTGACGGACAACATTGTCTCGCCGGTCAGCATACATCTCACTAACAACACAGATGTTGCTGTAGTCTTTGAAAGTAATGGCGGTACTGGGCGTGGCTTCTGGATAAGGGTGTGGCGATACATCTCAATAACGACTGGTGAGCAGACTATTCTGAAACATAGTTGGGGTTCTGGAACAGTAGGCACTCTGACTAATTTCCTTTCTTAACATCTAGAGTCATTCATCCTAACACTGCAAATATCCGGAGAATGGCCAGTGTATCGTTGTCCTTATAACCCTATGAGTTGGGTTAGCAAATGTTACATGGGCACAAATAGGCACAGCATAAATGTCGCACACATTGGCACAGCATCTGTAGGGTCATTATAATGAACTTTCTGCATGAATAGTAGATGATACTTCATGACTTCTAGAGCTCATCATGCAGGACCCACTGCATATGCACACTTAATTGTGCACATATGGCATATGTACAATATTACTTATTCCATGAGTGCGAGTGGCATATGCATGGGCGTCAATCCTGGGGGGGACAGGGGGACATGTCCCCCCCCCCCACTTTTTGAAGGGTGGGGGACACAATATCAAATGTCCCCCCTAGATATTTGAACTTGTGTCTCATTTACGGCCCTATTATGTACTACAATGTATCTTTTGCTTAGAAAATATTGGTTAAAGTGGTCAGAAATTGCCTCAGATCGCACCACAGAGCATTTAGAATCCAAACTTTTTCGGGGCCCTTAAGCGGGCCCCGAACCCTATGCCTTTGGCTGAAAAAACCTCTAAAATTATGTTTAAATTAATATCTTTTGCTAAGAAAATATTGGTTAAAGTGGTCAGAAATTGCCTCAGATCGCACCACAGAGTATTTAGAATCCAAAATTTTAGCTGAGAAAACCTCGAAAATTATGTTTAAATTATTATCTTTTGCTAAGAACATATTTGTTAAAGTGTTCAGAAATCGGAGCATCTAGAATCAATTTTTTGGGGGGCCCTTAAGCGGGCTCCGAACCACACGCCTATAGCTCAAAATACCGGTAGCTGATTCAATGACTCCAACCTCGAAAACGATGTTCAAATAATTGCTAAGAAATAGTAGTTAAAGCATGGAGGAAAGTGATAAGTAATTGCCTCAGATCACACCATAGAGCGTCTAGAATTTCAAATTTTTTCGGGGCCCTTTAGCGGGCCCCGAACCCCACGGTGAAAGGGCTTTGAGCTTCGCGCTCGCATCAGTTCTGATCAAGGTATGTCCCCCCCCCCCACTTTTGAGAAGCGATTGACACCCCTGGGCATATGGGACACATCAGATGTACTACAAATTTATCTTCAAGCAAACTTGATGTATAGTATAGATGGAACACGCACTTTTCAGCAGTTATTCGATTACACGTGTGTGCAGCAGGAATGGCGTGCGCATGTATCTTACAATAGCGTGATACGTGTAGTACGGTATGGTCCGAGGTATATGAGTTAGTAACGCACGGTTGTTGCCATCGATAGACCAATTAGGATTGCAAATTCAAGTCTGCTTGAAGATAACTACTTTTTCTGAATGTGAAACGACCTGAACTGAAGCGTCTTCGCGTGAGCGCCAAGCATATGACAGAAATAGCAGTCTGGAGTCTGCCAATCTTTCTATCTTAAAGGGGCACATAGCAGTCTGGAGTCTGCCAATCTTAAAGGGGCACTTGATCATGAGTTGATGGGGAAGGTTACATTGTCTAGGCTCAAATCAACTGCTACATCTTCAGAAGCTTTGCAAGCATTGATGGCCTCATTTTGTGTGTGCTTTGCAGAGTTTGTTGATTTTCCTGCATACTGTGAAGTGGCTTTACACAGCTTGAACTGTGGCGAGGGCACCTGCATCTCTGACACTGAAAGATGTGATGGTGATGTCGATTGCGATACATTCGGGAACGACCAAGAAAACTGCGAGGCAGCCTCATATGGTGAGCAACATGTCTATTTTTAAAAGTAACTCTTCAAATAACAGGGTTGGAAGTATTTGTTTACAAATGATGGGTAAAGTTACAAATATGTTATAAAAGTATCACATTAAAGGTAGAGTAGATCATTTGCAGCTATCCAACCACTAACTGACAAAATTATTGTTGAAAAGTTAACTTGTTTTAAAGATAGTAATGGCGCTGAACTCTCTGTGAAATTATTCTTTCTGGCATGCTGTCACTTTGAAGAAGAAAACACAGAGACCCCATTTTAAAAGGTGCATCAGTTGACGCATTTTTGGACATTTCCTTTAGTAGTTGGTTTGTAATTTGGCGAATCCATGAATGGGGGCACGCAGGCGTTCACATGACACACTTACGTGCGCGGTTGCTACTATTCGTCAGTTCAGCGCGTGACATCATGCAGCTGCAATCAGCTGAGTTGGAAACATGTCCCGGATGTTGACTTCAGGTGCAATTCAATACATGACTAATTAGCAACTTTTGAATTGAAACGAAGATCCTAGAATATTGTTTTCTTGGAATATACAGCATTCACTGAGCTAAAAGTTCATCAGGTTAGGTGTCAAGCAGCTGTCTTTAGATTTTGAGCACAAATGATAAATGATATACTTTACCTTTAAACATAAACCAAGACTAGGCAAGCCTAGTAAAGTTAATCTCAGACCACACTGGTCAAAGGGGTCTCGGTAGTCATCTGAGTCCAATTTGTGGGCCTAAGTGAGGCTGAAGCAGCAAGTCTAATTCAAGATATGTATACAGAGGAATGTAGGCTGGCGCTCTGGGAATAGCAAAAAGCTTGTCAAATAAATTACGTGCCTACAGTTGGATGTTGAGAAGAGTGGACGTGATGTCAAATGCCCGCTGATAAGATTATATGTGTATATATAATGGACACATATCCCCCGCTAATCAGAACAAAAAGGTTGCCAAAGACCATCTCAGCTAAAGATCATCTCAGCAGGTAATAGTATCCTGATTTGTATCGGTGTTGAATTATCTTGACCAGATTGCGGCAACACCGCTATCAGTCTTGGCAATGAGGGCAGTATGTACCACCTGACCTCTGTCAACTACCCAGACGACTTCATCTACGGCATCAGCTGCCAGTACGTGGTGACCACATCGGCCGCAACCATTCTGGTCAGCTTCCGCGACGTGGAGATCCCCGCCACTACCGCGGAGGACTACCTGCGTATTGGCAACGGCGCCACCGTCAGCGACGAGACCGAGATCATACGCGTGGGTGGAGTTTTCCTGCCCGAGGACGTGGTTTCGACGGGGAATCAGATATGGATTGAGTTCATCAGCGATCGTAGCGTCAACAGCCGGGGGTTCTGGATTGTGCTTGTGGCCCAAGGTTAATGGTTATTAATGATGTTGCCAGATATTCTGTTAGGGAAATGGAAGCATTACACCCATGTCAGACTGGTGTTTCTCTGAGAAGCACTGAACTGAATATTAGTTAGAGCAACTTGGGTCGACCCAAAGATATTGGTTTCAGACAGGCAAACTTTACGTAATAATTTTCCATTAAGTGGGCTCTGGAGTCAATCTTTTGTCAAAATTGCTCCCGACTGTTTCAAATTAGAACCTTTTCATGTCTTTAATTTAAATCTTGGGAATAATTTTTGGTTCGTTTGAGAATCTCACAAACGCACAAAAGGATTTGTGACACGATGCAACCGTAATCTCACATCATTTGCAAGAATAAAAGTTTACACAATCTTTACAATCACATCTAGCTAATAAATATTTGATCGTGATTTCCAGCGAATGTGCGTGTCTGAAGAAGATTCATGAACCAGGATTAGTGAAAGATGTACAATACGGATAATTCTTTAGAAACAAAACATTTTTTTTCTACTGTAAATTTTCTTTATTTAAAAATGTCGTAAAATAAATCTCAAAGAAGAACGACTGGGTTCACCAGATGTCGGTGAAATCTTGCACCAGTTTTTTTAATCAAGATAATGTACCCATCGCTAAAGGAAGAAAATGGCCCAATCGCTAGAAAGAGAGATGGGCACTCCGTTCTTGTGAACACAGGTTCGTCCCCTTTACCTTTTAAGATAATTGTTCATGATGTAATGTAGTTATTTAGTTTACCATCAGTCACATACTTACAGAAATGTACAAGGTTTATGGTTTTATATAGTACAGTGTAAACAATTGTATATAATTAATTTTTGTCAATTTGGTAAAACTTACCATTTCTATGGCCACCAGAATAAAGTCTTTTTTTGTCCTGGTGCAATGGGTTTTATTCCTAAATTGGTATGTTTAAAACAACCAGGTGTGGAAATATTGCCGTTTTGTGAATTGAATAAGAGAAAAGTGCACACCTACATCTTATTAAACTGGGAAACTAACAGGAGAACAGGAATTTTTTGACAAAGATTTGTTAATTGATTACTTCCTATCCACATAAAATGGTACAGAACCAAGCAAAATACCAATTTATTTTAAGTTAATTTTAATATTACCATATCATATTTGATATTTAAACTTATATCTGAATTTGATTTAGCTATCATTGGAGTATATTATAACACTTTACTGAAATTAAAATATACATATTTATCCATAGTTATCGTTTACTTTATTGGTGTACATGTTTTGTGGGTAGTTGTACCTTATTGGAGCAAGTGAGGATGTAATTTTCCATATGGTCTGGAAGTGTGTAAATAAACTACCATTAATAATTAAATATTTTTGTGTAATGTACATTTTGACATGTTCTGTCAAAACCAAATGCTTTTGGACAGAGCTTTACATGGAGAAATATAAAGGCCCAAAAAAGTCGGTGTGGGTGTACATTTTTCAATTAGGTATGCAAATTTTGTGATCCTAAATATGACTTGTTTTTTCCCTGTTCTGTACAAGCTTCAGATTGTAATTTTGACTCAACGGTGATACTCTTTTTAAGATTTGTAAAGGTGTATTAGCTTTTGATTAGAAAGTACATAATCAAACAGTTTAACACGAAATTTCTCTGTTTCAACCTTTGCGACATCATCATGAACTTCTCATGAAAAAAAGTCTGTTTTCAAAAGTAAAACCTTCCATTGTAAATGGGAAGACCTACATAATGATAATTTTAAAAACTTTTTTTGACAAGCAAAAGGACGATCTTTTTTGACAGAAATTATCATATTTACTTTAATGCACATGTATTCAAATTCTTATATGCTGTTGTATATCTGATTTTTATCCGAACAGTTTGTGGAAGATTCACTATAGAATATTGTAAGCTTATTAAAGATCATTACAGGTTTTGTTTATTGGGTTTTTACAATGAATATACAAGAATATGTACGTTGATACTTATAAAAGTATTGGAAAATTATGCATTAATTAAATTAAGGTGATTAAGTGATTGGAATAAAGGGAGCATGTTGACATATTTACACCTTGGACTATCAGAATACTGATGCGCGTTTTGTGTTCTCAAAGTTTTCATATTGATTATTCTGATTAGGGTCCAATGATATATTTTTAATGAGACATTATAGATGAACAGGGTACAAATCATCTACTTTTGGTTGAACAATAGGACTGCATGCCTCACATGGGCATTTTATCCTAAGGCTTCTATTAGGCAAATTTACACATTTTTCTTCAAGCCTAAACAAGGTTAGGGGTTTGCATTGGTTACCTGGCAAAATATACGGATGGACCATTCCTGATATAAAAAAATAAAGAAAATAGAAGAGCTTGTCTATATCACCATTTGTATCATTGTATTTAGCCATATTTAGGCATTTTCTTTGCTACAAAAGACCAGGGTAACATTGGAGGGGGTGGGGCTAAGTTTAACCATACTTGAGAGAACCAAACCCAGATGCAAAGGGTTACCAGACAAATTAATAAATAAATTTGGATAAACCATTCCTGGTGAAATGTAATAATATGAAAGAAGAACGGCTTGCCAAAATTAAAATAAAAAATGTACAACATTTATTTGTTTGACCTTCACTAAGTTATAATTTGTACTTTTTCTTCTGTGGGACGGGAGCCTGATGAGGAGTTGAGATGGATTCTCCTCAAAATCCCCCCCCCCCCCCGGCCCGAAACAATAAAAATTGTAAACTAATATTGCATAATTATCTGGCGATCGTTTAATGTTCAATTACTTGTATTGGTATTTTTTCAGGTCTGTTCTTTGTCTGTCTTTTTAAAAAGTTGTTAAGTTCTTTTTTTTGTATAGTTTCTTTTTATATACATTTCAAATGGGGTACTGCAGTGGGTGGCGCCGGGGCATTGCGTCCAGTTTGGGGAAATTATTGGAGGAATTACATTAGTCACATCCCTACAAACTCTCGCGCGCACGCGCATTGCATCATTTTGTAATCATCATGGCGCGGGTTTTAAGATGCACATTTATCACACGTTTAATACAAATTTTCGTCGGAAATCAGCTAATTAGACTCTTTTAGATCGTTGTTGCAAGGACAATTGATCACAAGGACAAGCTTCTGGTACTGAAGGTAATAAAATATTTCCCACTTTTCTTTGTAAGGGCGGGCGTTACAAAATGAGAAATTAATTTTTGTGCAGATTCGTAGCCCAGTTTCCGGACATTTCACTACCAAAAGTCTGAGCCTGACTGTAGTCATGGAGGTATTCCCAGTTCTACCTCCATGCTGTAGTGTATCGGTGCATTGTTGAGTTAATTTATACAGAGCAAGGGAGTACAGTCGTTTTCCTATATCCGGATTTAAGTAAAAACAAAGTGGCTATCGTTATGGCAGCCGTCATGGCCGTTGTTTAGCGGCCTCTACGATACTTTTTTTAATTATTTGTTTCCCCACGTTTAAGCGAGCAGTGCGACAGCTCAGTCGATAGAGGGTAGAATTCGAGGTTTTGCACTCGAACTTTTTCCTTTTGTAACCTGGGGCTTTGGAGGATTTTTTTTTAAAGGGAAATAAAGTCCGAATTTCATAACGTTCAAATTCACTTTTTTCCTTCTAATTTTATATTTTCTTCTCATGCTTTTATAAAAGTTGCAGTCTACCGTAACGATAGAAAATGGGAAATGCGTTACGGCTGCCGTAACGATAGCCACTGCGAAGTAAAAAATTTAAGTTTTGATATAGTTTAGTAAAATGGAAAAGAATGTTGCAACCTGACGCTATTTCATCAGTAGTCCGAAAATTTGGGACTTTCAATACTGTTGTGTACAAACTTAACAAAGTCTATGGAGAGTCAAGAATTTTTTTAAAGTATTTCCTAACAAAATTGGAAATGGGTAATCCTTACTTTTAGGACACCTCTATTTTTTACGAGTTCTGTTCGAAACTGACTTTTGCAGATGACTGTCCAGTACTAGCTCTACTGAGTGGAGCGTTGAATTACTGGTACCCCTCCATACAAACGCTCCACCGATTTGCCATACTTTGGTGACGGCGTCACAGTAGCATAGTGTACATACCCACGCGAGGACAAAAAGACCCCAAAAAAACCGGTGTGTTCAAAGCCCATACTGTCGTACGGCGCGGATCGGAGCACGTATCATTACACGAAACAGTCGTTGATAAAGCGCGACTTGTTTTTCTTCGATTGAGCAACGACGGTGACATCACGTCAGACGCCCTCATTCGGCAAGTCGGGGCAAGGACTGAGCCTCACGGCAAACACATTGAGGTGTAAGTTTTCAGACTATTTTGCTGGTTTTTTTTCAAAATTTTCGCTGTTTGGGAACAATATAAGGGGTCTGATGGAATGTCATGAATGTGTAGATCAATCCAGGGTAACTGTCTCTCTCATTTGTATACTCTTTACCATATTTTGGGGGGTCTTTTTGTCCTCGCGTGGGTATGTACACTATGCTTCTGTGACGCCGTCACCAAAAGATGGCAAATCGGCAGATAAAGTAATGGCAGATAAACTCATGTTAGTTGTAATTTTGAAAGCACTTTCAAAGAAAATGTGACTTTCCTACCTTTTTTTGTAGTTCTCCATTTTGCTTTTTTAATGTATTTTCTATTTGTCATCGTCGTCTTTAACCCCTCATAAATCAAAGCCCTGCCCTCTTTCCACAAAATTAAACCTGCTGATATTCAAGAAGGTGTCATTGCCAAATGTTCAGATGTGCCAAGAAATATCAGAATGTCACTTTTGAGTCTCATTTAGGCCAAACTAAAAAAATGGTGTGTTGACGGTAACGGTCTGAAAAAAATCCAGGTAGGTAGGTAGGGAAATAATTTTATTTTGTAATTTTTTTTTATTTCAGTTTTGCAGGCTCATGCGTGTTCTTTCGCAAAATATTTGTATAAAAACATTATTCAAGTATTCAAGATACTCAATCGATACATTTCATTCCAAATTAATTTGTACCGTCCCAGGGTTCTCCCTGGGATTTTTTCAAACCTGTGGGGGAAGTTTTGCTGTGATTCAACAACCTGCGAAGCCATGGCGTGGGGTTCGGGCCCGCTTTTTAAGGGCCCCGAAAAAATTTTGAGAGAAGATCTTGTAGGCCCCTATTTTTGTAATTAAAGAAAAAATCAACATTACATTTACAAGTAAGTTTCAAATTAAGAAATTAAGGTGAAGAAAAAATCCTTTTGCTTCCGATTACATGCCTTTCAAAATAGCGTCAATAGGTCGGAACAATTATTTTGCCAATTTTTTGGGGGTGCTGATTAATGGAGCATCATACTTCATAGAGCAAGGAATCATGTTATTTTGTGCCTGGATTATTTTCATTTGCGCCACGAAAGATATATCAAGACTGGCCATCAAAAGTGATTAAACTTGCCTCACCTAATAAAAAATAGGAAAGATTTCCATATAAGAAGTTCACTAATTTTCCTCTGTATTGACTAACAAGCCCCCAGATAGCAATTTCATGTCATCAAAGTCAATTTGAGCAGTGAGAAAATACAAGCATTTTCTTAGAAAACACTTAGAATTTTTCAGTCCAAACTCATAGGGTTGTACACAGGGTGTTGAGTGAACTTCGTATATGGAAATCTTTCAAAAAAATATTTTTGAGGTGGGTGATTCCACTATATGCTTAACATACATCACGGCCGCTGGCGCCGCCGACATTCAGTCTGGCCGGCCGTACATCGCGCCGTGCTCACGGCCCAGTATCAGTGTGCATTTCAGCACTGTGTACGGCACATCTCACGTGGCCGAAAAATCTAGCACTACTGCAAAAACCCGCTACGATGTTACGCCACGAGTTCGAGCTTTGCAATCTCGTCATTTTAATGGAAAACACATACACAGATAATAAAGATCACGTTCTGTGAATTAATTCGCAGAAATTCTCTTTCTCCATCGATGTTTGTTTGGTATTTTTACGATCCAACTTCGGCCGACGGCCCAACATCATCGTGGTATGACGTTTGTATAGGCAGTACATGTAGTCACTGGTTCCGGTCCTTCATTATAGTATTGATTCCGTTAGCACGCGAAGGGAACCAGTGCACCATTCTGTATGCGCTGCATGCCTGTCAGCTGGCAGTCGACAGAACCCGTCATCGTGTGCATTTTGATCACACATGCATCTGAAAAACAGGATTTTTGTCAAGATTTTGCATGTCAAGATGAAATAATGGCGAATGTAACGATTATACTGTGCATTTTAATGGCGTGAATAATAATTATATTGTGCGTATCAAGGGCTGAAAAATGTGATCGGCATTTTTGTCGGGCCGATTCGCAGTACACACATTTGGGAGAACCCTGCCGTTCGTCGGCCAGGTGCACCAGTTCACCCCGATGCGTTTGTGCAAAAATAATCGTACTTCATGTAGTTTGAGAATTCAAGTTTTGAGATCGTCGCGATTTTCACATGTTTAACACAGGTATGTTTGTGTCAAGTCATGGTCAGTTTCAAGTGTGGAAAATGGTCCATGTTCGTGGCAAATAATTAAAAGTACTTGAAATTTTTTTAATTTGTTCATTAAAAATGATCAATATCAACCTTCAAAATGGCAATAAAAAGTTTGAGGTCGGCAATTTGGCCGAAAAAATTCCATGTTGGTCGGGTTACCATAAACACACCATTTTTATGCCCCGCGGCGAAGCCGAAGGGGCATACTGTTTCCGCCTTGTCCTTCCGTGGGTGGGTGGGTGTGTGGGTGGGTGGGTGTGTGGGTGGGTGGGTGTGTGTGTCCGGACAAATCTTGTCAGCGCGATAACTTGAGAAATACTTAACATATGAACTTCAAATTTGGTTTGTGGATTGTCCTTGGTAATCCTAAGAAGCCTTTTGCATTTGGGGCCGAAAGGTCAAGGGTCAAGGTCACAGTTGCTGAAACAATAGAAATTTTGTCAGCGCGATAACTTGAGAAATACTTTACATATGAACTTCAAATTTGGTTTGTGGATTGTCCTTGGCAATTCTAAGAAGCCTTTTGCATTTGGGGCCAAAAGGTCAAGGGTCAAGGTCACAGTGACTAAAACAAAAGAAATTTTGTCAGCGCGATAACTTGAGAAATACTTTACATATGAACTTCAAATTTGGTTTGTGTATTGTTCTTGGTAATCCTAAGAAGCCTATTGCATTTGGGGCCGAAAGGTCAAGGGTCAAGGTCACAGTGGCTGAAACAATAGAAATTTTGTCAGCGCGATAACTTGAGAAATACTTTACATATGAACTTCAAATTTGGTTTGTGGATTGTCCTTGGCAATCCTAAGAAGCCTTTTGCATTTGGGGCCAAAAGGTCAAGGGTCAAGGTCACAGTGGCAAAAACAAAAGAAATTTTGTCAGCGTGATAACTTGAGATATACTTTACATATGAATTTCAAATTTGGTTTGTGTATTGTTCTTGGTAATCCTAAGAAGCCTATTGCATTTTGGGCCGAAAGGTCAAGGGTCAAGGTCACAGTGGCTGAAACAATAGAAATTTTGTCAGCGCGATAACTTGAGAAATACTTTACATATGAACTTCAAATTTGGTTTGTGGATTGTCCTTGGCAATCCTAAGAAGCCTTTTGCATTTGGGGCCAAAAGGTCAAGGGTCAAGGTCACAGTGGCAAAAACAAAAGAAATTTTGTCAGCGTGATAACTTGAGATATACTTTACATATGAATTTCAAATTTGGTTTGTGGATTGTCCTTGGCAATCCTAAGAAGCCTATCGCATTGGGGGTCGAAAGGTCAAGGGTCAAGGTCACAGTGGCTAAAACAATAGAAATCTTGAATCTATTCTGAGATCATAGGGATTAGGGATTAATTCATATAAAACCTACAGAAGACACTAATGCTGTCAATGAACGTTCCATTTGACCAAGGTACATGTAAGTTGATGTTAGAGTGGTGTTATGTCATGGAACAGTCACGGTTGCGGGGCATTTGTGTTTGTAAACACACCTGACTTGTTTTGTTTGGCCTTAGTCAGCTGGTTTGGTGAGTCTTTTAACCTTATATAGGAAAGGGGTCCTAAAGGTAGGCCTAAGGATTACCTGGAAATGTTTCTCAGTCCCAGATTCATGTCTCATCATTTTTGCAATGACTGACCTTCATTGAGATGATATGTGAAGAAAAAGCAGGGTCAGGTTGCAACATTCTTTCCGTAAAATGTAACTAAGCTTCTGGATATCAGATGGACAATGTCTTTTCGATAAAATATCTTGAAAAGGAATTTTTGCCACGATAGGCCTATCAAAGCAAAGTTATCATCAAAAATGATCAATGTATCTGACTCGTGGCTTGTAAAAATTATCATCATGATCATGGGAGCCGCAGATTGACAATAGTTTTTCCCTCGGTACGTCACTCAGAACGTACTGTACAGTCAATTAACTCTTGCATCAAATGTTTGTTGAGTCAAATAAGTTGAAAAGACTCCAGTATTTGAAAATTTGTCAAACTGAGTACTGAATGTATATATTTTTGCCTAGTTCTGGATCGTGCATGTACCACATGTAAGACCCAACTACACGCACATAATGCCGGGTCGTGTTTGTGCAAGTTTGAAAAACATTTACATATCTGGAATTCTCTGAAATGAACTGTATGCATTTGTAAAATGCATTCAGTTCATTAAAGATATAGTCCATCATTTGTAATTTGTGCATTTTGTTTGTTTGAAGCAACAAAAGTGTTCAAAATGTAATGAAGGATACTGAATATTAAACTAACCTGTTGAAGTTTCAGCTCAGCTTCAGCTGTATATTCCGAGAAAAACAGCATTCTAGGATCTCGATTTCTAATCAAAAGTTGCTGAATCATGTTTTGAATTGGGCCTGAATTCAGCGTCTGAGGCACGTTCTCACTGAGCCGATTGCAGCTACGCGATGTCGCGCACTCATCCGACGAATTATAGCAACCGCACACGCGTGTGCGTCGTGCCAATGCTTGCGCGCGCTTTGCCGAATAACAAAACGAACTACTAATTTAAATTTTCCTACGGTGCGTCTTAAGACGCACCGTTGGAAAGGCCTTCTTTCGTTGATTACTTCAAAATGACAGCTTACCAGAAAGAATAATTTCACAGGGAGTTTAGTCCACTTACTATCTTTCAACCAAGTATGTTTTTCAACAATAATTACGCCAGTTACTTTTCGGATGGCTGCAAATGATGGACTATAGCTTTAAAAAATAAAATAATAGTTTATCAGAAAATCTGCTTGCTTTGGAGTGGTTCTGGCTGCAAACTGAATTTCCCCGCATGATTAGTTTTAATGCGCGAAGCGGTATTTGACCCAACCCGCAACTGGTTAAACCAAGCCAGAACTAGGAAAAGTGTCATTGGCACTTTTGACGTCGCATTGCTGGCATATTCCAAATTAAAAGAGCTTAAATTTGAAAAAAAAAAAATTTGTATATATATCTCCATCACTCAAGGTAACTATTAACTCCATTCCACTTGAATTGGTGGATGCTAGTTGAGCCAAAAGCAACCTGAAAACTGTTAGGGATCCGGAACTTGGAAAATGACTGTAGTTTATGTATGAATGGTGTTTTCGGGATTCAAGCTATTTTCCCCAAGTTAAAGCCTCCACGATAAAAGTGTCCTATTTTTTGTTTTGGGTGTTTTTTTTTGGCAAATCCCGAAACTTAAAAGTGGCTTCTCATTCATTCTCTTATATAGAAACGAGGTGCTTATAATGGTCAGTCATGATAAATATTCAAGTTTGTATTTTGTTTTGACTTTTTTTTTTAAACTAGGAGAATTAGAAGAGCGACGATCTGGCCCTTGGTCTGGGCTCCACCTCCATCCTGATGGGAGACGACACCAAGTATTGGTTGACAGGCTTTGGTGCAGCTATGGTGTCTGGTCTGATGGTCGTTGGTGCTATGGCTGAGCAGACTGTGGCATACTACCTCGCTGTGGCGCTAACTGCTGCTCATATTGGCAACCAGGTGAGGAGCATAGCTGAATTAGACCAAAGTGTTTTAGAAAGTAGTTAAAGTCTCCCTGACCCCTTTACCAAAAGTCCAACAAATCCTAACATTGGCAATGCTTTTAAAGAGGTTGTGGAATGCTCAAAGACATTTCCGTCATTTTTGGGGTATATGTAGCCTAGGGTGTGATGAAATAAAAACGACTATTGTTTCTGTAATGAAATGAATACAAAAGGTACTTTTGAGAGCTGTTTTTCAGGTCCTGTTTCGACCCGAACGTGCAATTTGTGTAAAAGTCGTCGTTGGGGGCAGCAAACAAAACATAGTAAATCGTGACGTAATAAACAGGACTCCCGATGCAGCGTAGTTCCAGCGAAACTTTTTGCAAATCACTCCGCGCAACGACATGACTTTGTTTACAATTACACTGAGCGACATTTTGTATGGGCAGCCACATGCTCCATAAATTCAACCGTAGTTGGCAACACCTTTTACCCCCGAAATTCTAATGGGCAAGTTCAGAATTTAACAGGAAGATATTTCCATTGACTTTTTGGTACTTTCTATTGATTATTCAGTGTTTTGATAGTTACACATCATTTTATTTATAGATTGGGGATCATTCTTTTGTGTTTGCCCTAACGGCCAACCATAGTAAGAAATGTCTGCATTACCGGTACAACATCGTTCGATTGTTCACATGCACATCGCATCACCGTGTGACACGCGCTATGTAAAGCTGGCTGGAAATTCACGGGTGTACTTGTGCCGCTGGCCCGGCCGCTGGGACCGTAGATTTTGACACCGGTAAACGGTGTTGGAATTTCAGAATAATTTGTTGTTGATACGTGTACTGGTAGCGAACGCACTAGGCCAAGGCAAACCTATATGCCTATAATTGTGTCAGTCGCTGGCTGTAATCACACCACGTTTTGTTTGCAATACATTTCCAGCTTTCCCGTCCGGGTGTCAGCATGGAGGAATAAGAATCCTCCGTAGCCATGCAGTTTGTCCGAAGGGTACCGTGCGAAAACACGAGATCGGATTTCAGCCAAATTAACGGATAGAGCGCTGATCATGCACTGTACATTTTGTACGGCGAGTTTTCTTTTATCAAGAGATTTGTTGAAATTGGACAAGAAATAATAGAGATATAATTTGTTAATGATTTATAGGGAAGACTGTTTTGGACCATTTGTCAATAAGTGTAACTCTTTAGTTGATAGTTCGTGTAGTGTTTATTAGTCATCAACCAATGACAACAGCGGCTGCAAAGTAAAGGAAAAGATTACATTATGAATCATAGTTCTATATGCCCCCCAAGTCTTTGGGAATAACAAAGGCTAACAATTCTAGGAAGAAAAGATTCCAAATGTAACAGACATAACTAAGTAACCTAAAGAAATGCACAGATTGCAAAGGCATGAACATGAACAATAAGCAAAGATCGAAACAAGAATAAGCATAGGTTATAGGAAGTAAACTGTAGCTGTAACTTTGGCTATATATAAAAAAAAGTTCAGAGTATATGGGTGTCCTATAGTTCATCCCGAAGCCTGGCAGGCGGTCGTGACAAGCGAGTGGATCGGTGAGTGGCAGTCGAGGAGCGGTCCAGGGGTGGCAGATCCACGGTCGGGCCAGGTGTTCCTTCAGACCAGGAGTATTGTGTGGCAGGAGGCCGCGGAGTGCACGGGGAACGGAGCCTGGGTGGGACCGGCTATTGGGTGGACGCGTGGTGGCCACGGTGGGTGTCACAGGTGAGGCGGGAGTCGGTTCCAAGCCATCCGGGGTTGGAGGATGGTTGGTGCGGGTTGGCTGGGAGACGGCTGGAAGCATCGCAGGTGGTGTGGCTGAGGCGTCCTGCGGTAACCGGTTGTTGGCCTGCACCAGAGGGGTTGCTTTCGGGTGCTGGCTAGCTGCATGCGACCCCGGCAACGAAGGTGTTGGGCCGGGTGCCATCAGGAGGGGCGCACGTGGAACGACAGGCAAGTACTTCCGCAAGAATCGCTTGTTGCGTAGGGTGAGTCGACCAGATCCATCAACCCTCACGACATACTGGTCGAATTGCCTAACCTCCACCACAACCCCGGTCTTGTCCAACTTGGTCGGGTGCGGTCCGGTCTGGTTTTGGATACGCACGCAGTCGCTGACAATCAGTGGCGTGAGGGGACGGGTGTGCTCTGAGACACGCTCTGCAGCGCGCATGTGCCGGTTGCGCAGTGCCTCCTCGCGGGATGTGAGTGTCTCCCGCCATGTGCTGTGTGGGTGGTACTTCCCAGGGTGGATGGGTATGAAGTCACGGATGGGACGCACATAGCAGGGGAGAGGTGTGTGTCATGGTCGGGTGTGTTGCGGTACTGGAGCATGGCACGCTGGAATTCATCAGTGTTAAGTGTGCCTTCAGCGTCAGTATTGTCAGTGATGAGGCGCTTCACAGTCTTGACGCCCACTTCAGCACGGCAGTTGCTGACGGATGAGATGCGGTGACACACGCCCCAGTTGCGGAGGAAAGCGCGGGTGGACCCTGCGGTGAACTCTGGGCCACCGTCTGAGGACAGTTCATCGCTGATTCCATAGGTCACGAAGGTGCGGCGCAATGCAGTAATGAGTCCATTGGCGCCGTTGGCTGCCTGTTCGACGATTGGCCAGTTGCTGTACCTATCCACCACCACCAGGTAGTGACAGCCGCGGTAGGTGAAGTAGTCAGCGGCAATGCATTGGAATGGATAATCGGGCTGGACGGGAGGCGTGGGCGGTGCGCCTGGCTGTGATGGCGCCATACGGTTGCAGGGAGAGCAGCGTGCCCGTGTTTCGGTGATGGCGGGGGTCATACCTGGCCAGAAGAATGAGGACTGAGCTCGTGCACACATCATGGTGATGCTCTGGTGGGCCGAGTGTAGTGCTTCAAGGACCCGGGCACGGAGGGACGAGGGAATGATGACACGGTCATTGTAAAGGCATACGCCATCAAACTTTGACAGATTCTCACGGAATTGGTGGTATGGCCGGAGCTCACGGGGGAGGTCACCAGGGAGAGTGGGGAAGCCCCCTTGTATCATCTCAATCAGTCTGCACATGTTTGGATCACTGGATGTGGCGATGCGGACATCGTTCCATGTGACTGATTTGATCATCTTAGCAGCTGTGGTGGCAGACTGACTGCATACTTGGACAGGGTCTGGGCCACTGGTGCGGGTAGCAGTGAGGAAGTCATGTGGCAGCACAGTGGTCGTTGGTTCGCTTAAGTCATAGTGCACAGGTGCGACATCAGGGAGCTGTAGCGGTGCGCCTTTACCAACGGGGTGGTGGGATACCCCATCAGCTGCAGCGTGGCGTGCACCAGGTATGTGGCCTTGTCAAGTGCATCGATGACAGCAAGGGCCTCCCCCTCCACTGGGGCGTAGCGGGACTCGGCACCTGAAGTGAAGCGGCTCCCAACCAGAGTCACCCTCCAACCAGTGTTGCAGCAGAAGGGTTTTGAGGAGGGGCAGTCGCAGTGCTTCTGGAGCAGCCAAAATCCCAGACCATCTTTGCTCCAGTCAGTTGCAAGGCAGGTCGGCTTGGTCTTGTCGAATATCTCCACCCCTTTGTGGATTTCGCTGACGATGAGGGCCTTTGATTCCTCGAATAGGCAGTCTAGCTCATCGGTCCACGAGAAGGGGGTACCAGGTTTGAGGAGTTTGCGGAAGGGCAGCATGCGGTCAGTCATGGCGAAGGCATAGGAGACCTGGTTGATAAGCCCGAACCAGCTGCGCACGTCTGTGATATTACGAGGCGTTGGGAAATTCTGGATCGCCTCAAGGTACTCAGGGCAGGGGCGTACAGAGGTTGGGGTGATCTCAAAGCCAGCAAACTTGACATTCATCTTGGCGAAGGCGAACTTTTTGGGGTTCAAGGTGACGCCATGTCTGCCACAAGTGTCGAGCCACTCAACTGCCTGGAAGAAGGCCTCCTCGATGGAGTCAGACCATACCAGGGTATCATCCACGCACTTGGTCTTCTTCGGGATGTCAGACACAATCTCGTCAAAGCGGCGGCTGTAGCCATCACCGGAGGCGATGTCCCCCCTTGGGGCGACACAGTATCGGTAGCGGCCCCAAGGTGTGATGAATGTGGTGAGGTGGCGGTCCTCCTCAGCTAGGGCAATGCTGTAATAGCCGTTCCATGCATCGAACACAGTTTTGCGAGTCTGGGGAGGGACTGCACGTGCTTGGTGGAATGGTGATTGTGTGTGGTGGGTCTCACGAACAGCGTGACGATTGAGTGACTGGAGGTCAACCGTCCGTCTGGGCTGGCCTGACTTCTTGGGGCAGATCACCATCTTGTGGCACCATGTGACAGGTGTGCCGACTGGGACTGGCTCGATGACGCCGAGGCGGACGTCGTGGTCAAGGCCTGCCTTTACATTGTCCTGCCAGGGGACAGGGACGGGGATAGGTGTGTGACAGGCGACGGGCCGAGCGTCAGGGTCCACCATGAGTCGCAGTGGGGGGCCAGCCATCATGGGGAGTAGTTGGTGCTCACATACATTGAAGGTGCTCGACTTGTAGTATTCCAGCAGCCACGTCTCAAGCTTCTCCCGGTTCTCCTCTGGCTGGGAATGGGAGGGCTGCTGGAGGAGACGGTGGCATCTGGCGTCTTGGGCACTCGCATGTTGGCGTGAGGCAGGCTGCTGGTGTGGGCGTCGGGGAGGTGGCAGAGGATGCGACGCTGGCACTGTCGGGCCTGATTGCCTCACCAATGGTGGGGAACCTGGTAGAGATCATGCCCAGGGCGACGCAGGCTTGCTTAGACAGGAACAGCCGGTCAGATGAGTCGGTGAAGTACACTATCTGCCGGGTCTCGAGTGTCTCTCCAGATTGGGAGGTGCCAGAGATGCGGAGGACCAGGGCACCTGCTATGTCGATGCGGCAGTTGTTGGCAGCATTCATTTTCATTGTGACAGGGATGAGGTGTTTCCTTTCAAGCCCCAGTTTGGATAGGAGTTTCGTGCCAGCCAGGCAGGACTGGCAGCCAGTGTCAGCCATAGCAGGGTAGATGGCTGAGGAGGTGGTGCTGAGCAGGGGGGTGGGGAGGCCGAGGTCACGAGCATCCTCAGGAGTTGCTTTGAGGGAGACGTCCACGATGGGTTGGGGGTCAGATCCTCGCCTCTCCCATGCGTCGCAGAACTGATTGTAGATGTGGTGCTCTAGAGTGATTGCATTCGCGTCCATGGGTGGGGCGTCGTCGACAGAGCACAGGGTTTCGAAGACTGCGGTGGCATTGTGAGGTGACTCCTGTGCCTTGGGCGTGGCTGGCTGCTGTCTCCGCTGGGATTGGCGGCACACACTCTCGTGGTGGTGGAGTATGCCACACTTCGCGCATGTGTGATTGTACGCAGGGCACATCAAACATGGCTACCTTGCACGTGCGGATTTTTCGACAAGTGAGAGAATACCAGCCTGTTCTTCATACTAAAAAAGGAAGGTGAATACAATGTCATACATCCTCACATCTCCAGCAAGTCATGGAGCCAGCAAGCCTTTGTGTTTGAACATGCATAGTCCAAGACCTCATGAGATACTTCCCACCAGTGATTCATCAACAAGTGGTCATGTTCACCCCTGCATGCAACGCCATGCTGTATGAAGTTTTCCTGTGTGTACTTTGACAAGGCTCTTCACCTGATAGGAGTCCAACAAAACACTAACTTGCTCAAGAATACGCTACCATGGATTGTTATGTTAGTGACAATGCTTGTGACATCTGTAAGCTTCAAGGACTTGACCATTTCCTTCAGTGTTTTTGTCTCCATCCACAACCACACATGTCGTGAACATGTCAAATGAGGAACAGACTTAGCTGTGATTCGTTTTGATCGATGGACCAGATGGAGTATGCAGTGTAAGAGACTGATGAAAACCCAGAGCCGCTGTTGTCATCAATAAGTATAACTCTTTAGTTGATAGTTCGTGTAGTGTTTATTAGTCATCAACCAATGACAACAGCGGCTGCAAAGTAAAGGAAAAGATTACATTATGAATCATAGTTCTATAATTTGTCCATTGCCAATCTTGAAGAACCGTAGACCCGTTCAAATGTACCCTCGACCCTCCATTATCTGCGCAGCATACGCGCACGCGTTGTCACACACAAATTGAAGATAAATGCGCAGAAAAAGGAGGACCGCGTAGTTTTCCTTACGTTAGTGCTGATTAATGTGACAGGCCTCCATTTTCCCTAGAACTTCTTTTGATCGAATGACAAATTCTCTGCCACTGGAATTTCTTGAATAAAGTCTTAATTAGGTACTGAAAATAATGATAGTGCTCGTTAAATTTCGGGACCAATGAATTTTGTTTTCAACCGGGATCCCGAACATGTCGTAAGTCCAGAGAGTTTTGTTTTATGAACGGAGCATGACTATGATTTATGAATTGTACTTTTTTTTGTAGCCACGTTTACAGGCCGAGTTGAAGCGGTAGTCCCATGGTCTCCTGGTGTTGTTTTACGGCTTTTTTTTTTGGTAAACAATAAAGTTAACAAATTTCGAAATTCAAGTAAATTCGTAATTATCGTTTCAGGATGTTAAAACAAGGGTTAAAATGCACAAGGAAAGAAAAGAGAAGAGGACTATTTTTTTGTGGCGAACGTATACATAAAAAGCACCAGGCAACGCAAGGAACTCGACCGGGGCCCGCGACGCTGCTAACCGTATACAACGTTAGTTCTGGACACGGTCGACCACATCCACCGCCGTGATGCGTTGTGCGTGCCGTACACGTATAATTCGAAAACAACCTGACGATTTGTCGTCTCTTTTGACTGAATATTCACCAAAATAACGTTTGAGATTGTCTGTAAATCACGAAGAAAGTTGCGGTCACGAAGAAAGTTGCGGTTGATGCTCATCTAAAAATGTTATCATGAACATAATACTTTGAGTCCTTGGATAAAACGCAGCTCTTTTTTCACACAAA